TCGCTCGCTGCGCTATGAACCCAGCAAACCGAGTTCGATGCCCTCTCACGACCAACACCAGTGACGATTATTAGAACTACAATGACAGGACAGACATCGTGTTGCTCGCAGCAGACATCGCTGTTATCGCGATTTTCACCTGCAGACGGGCGCTTGTGTTGCGTTCGAAACGTCGTGATTTATTTTATTTTATTTCTACCTACGTGACTTTACCGAAAGAACCAAAGAGTATTTCATAATCAAGTTCAGTTTTTTTTCTTCTCTCCGAAAAAAAGTGTTCCCACTTGTTCCCGTCCTCTCTGTTTCGGACATTTCATGTCGGGTTCCGCCTTCAATTTGAGTCGTCCCAGAGTTCACTCGAAACTCAGCTGTCTACTCCAGACGCGTTCCTCCTCCGACGGGACGCCTCCGATTGTGGAGCAAACTTCTTTGTATCCGCACGCGCGTTTCGCTCGCGTTCATCCCGAGCCCGACCTCGGCTCCCCTTTCCGCCGAATGAAGCTCTTCCGACTTTTGATTCTCCTGCGGTTCGTTCGCATCGGAGGGGTGTTCCTGTTGCACAATATCACGACGGCGTTCTGCAGCGAGCCGCGAGCTGGTGAATGTTTGTCCATTGAACGTTTGTGTGCCTTTGTTTCTCAAAAGCAAATCCACCTCCCCCCCCCGCATAATATCTATTAATGTCGCCGTATGACTAATCTTGGCTAATCGCGTATCAATCGCCTCGTCTAACTTCGCTTTTAGCGTGAGTTTGGATGCCTTCTTCGCGTTGTCTTAGTGTGGCTGGTTCGTTTAGGTAAATGGGTTTCACCGTCTCTAAAAACATCTGTATTTTAATCTTGATTTGAAGCTTTCGTGACTGCAGGAATTCCATACTCTTTGGTTCTTTCGGGAAAGTCACGTAGTAAAAAATAAAATAATCAAATATATCACGACGTTTAGATTGCCACACAGCCACAGCAAGAAAATGTGTTTTCTTGCTGTGGGTTTCCCACTTGATGACGATTGCTTGTGTTGCAATCTAAACGTCGTGATTTCTTTTATTTTATTTCTAACTACGTGACATTACCGAAAGAACCAACGAGTATTTGTATTTATGCCTTAGGCAGTGAGCGCTTGCATCTATTTTTACTGAGTTTGAACGATCTTTGTTATCGCCTTCTACGGCTATGAGGCTCGGTGGAAAAATGCAATTCTGCATCATCTCCAATATCCCATATTCGTTGAACTTCTTTCGCACCGTACATAGCCTACCACGATAATCGGAGGAGCGGGTTCGAAGGACAACACGCTAAAACACAACGCAGTTGTAATAAGTATGCGGAAAGGCCCAGCGGTTAGCGCGTTCACTGCTCGTTTTAGAGGTTCGCGTTTCGAATCCGACAGGCTGCCCTGGTTAATACTGTGAGTGTCGACTTCGCAAATACTAATTCCCTGACGTCATGAAAAAAGATCGTAGGCCATTGTGTGTGTCGGCATCGCGGTACAAATTTGTCGATAAAAAAAAGTATTCGCGATTTGTATTTATTTATTTGACCTTTATTTAACCAGGTCATACATCCTGGGGATTACACACATCAGCAGTCACCACCCACGACTGGCAGACGAATGGTCGCTTGCAGGCCCGGCGCTGAGTCACTTTGTGCCACACAGGGACAGCTGCCACCGGGGGTGGCCTTTAAATAAAACCACGTGCTGAGATGAATTGTGGCGTACGAGCTCAAGGAGTTGTATTACATTGTTCGGTGGAGGCAAGGGAATCTTGATTGAGGAGGAGTTTGAACAACTCCCCACCTGGTTGATTACGTTCTACCAAAGATTGCTAAATTTGAGAGAGAGAGACAAAACACAGACACGGAGACAACATCGACAGACACACATGCAGAGAGAGAGAGACACACACAGGTGTGTATATCTCGATGGTGCGTGGTGGTTGTGGAGTGATTATTGCGCTGCCCTACGAGGTTGATTCCGGCTCACGGCCATCGCCAGTGACGAATTCTTTGTTGCGATGTATAAACATCGCCACGATCGAGGCAAAGGTGACTGACTGGGCTTGTGTCGTGCCGGCCTTCAGAGGTGCTCGCTAACAGCACTTGCCCCAACAGTCTGTTACAGGCTATAGGGGGGATCTTTGTCTTTGTGATGGTGTATGTGGAGCGGTAGTGCCAGCAGTTCGCTCGCTGCGCTATGAACCCAGCAAACCGAGATCGATCCCCTCTCACGACCAACACCAGTGACGATTATTATAACTACATGAACAAAACAAGCGACATGTTATCATGTAAAGTAACCATAAACACATTAAAAGGCAGAGGTTTACAATTTACGAGTAAAACTCTACTATTTACACAATATGCATAGACGCAAAATGTAAAAACTTAAATATCTTGGGAACAGTAGCCAATCCGTTGTTTTAATTGTCATATTTGAATTCAGCACATCAAAATCCATAACAAACATCAGATCTCATCTCTGAAAGCAGACTTCGTCAAAAAAAATTCGTAGACCAGTATTTATCTGAACCGGTCTTGGGCCTCCCCTAGGTCGACTCAGACTCAAGTGTGTAAACATCGCCACGAGGGAGACAAAGGCTGCCGGGCGTACTGCTGTTTACCCACCCCCTCGTGTGCCGTTTGTGGCTTTCATAGCTGCTGCTACTCGCTAACAGCACTTGCCCCTACAGCCTGTTAGGCAACACGGGGGATCTTTGTCTTGTGTTGATTGCGTGTCTGCAAACGTCTCGCCACGGGCAAATTCTTGAGACAAAGTCAAGTTTTTAAAAAAATGTTTGTTTTTGGCTACTGGGCAAACCTCCCCACCTTATTGAATTTAGTTTGAACCGAGTGACACCCCCCCCCCCCCCTTCGCGTAAACCGAACGTGGATCTGGAAATAAACGTGTGAATAATGGACGTCGATGTTCGAACCAATTGTTCCATTTTGTGAGGTTATCCTAACTGGCTGGTGACTGCACGTGACTAAAAACAAACATAATGCAACGGGCGCTCTGCACGCGTGGCGTAATTTTGTTTCTTGCTCGCTGGTTACTCTTGGAAACCACCAACATTGGTTACGATCAGTGATTCATCTTCTTGGTTCTTTAGGTAAAGTCACGTAGAAGGGAAATAATAAAATAAAATAATAAAACATAATAAAATAATAAAATAAAATAATAAAACATAATAAAATACATTGTAATACATTGTATTTTATTATGTTTAATTTTTATTATTTTATTATTTCCTTTCTACGTGACTTTACCGAAAGAACCAAGAAGATGAATCCCTGCAGTAACGAAAGCTTTAAATCGAAATTTTACGATCAGTGAGTTTAGAAAGGTCTTTCATATCGTTATAGGTTACCATATGGATTTACATTTTATCGCAGTCATTTGACATTGGCAAATTCATACACGAGTATTCAACCAATGACTGTCACGATATCATTTCACACGTTTGTAAGTCACCTCGCGTACCCCCTGGGACATTGCCACGTACCCCAAAGGGTCCGAGTAACCCCCAGGGGACCCGCGTACCCCCACCGCTTTAGAAAGTCGCACCTCTCACTTCGGACGTTGACCGCTCCCCGAAGTTTGCGCAAATTCGCCGCGGGAGTTGGCGCATCAAGACGAGGCGAAACGCTCTGCGGACTGACGAAGCTCTCGTTCGCCAGGGGACCGATCCGTAGATGCAACGGGGACCTTTCTGGCAAAGTGGAAGCCACCGGACCCCAAGAGGGCCGTCGTTTAGCCATCACGCATAGAAGGAGGGACTGCAGCCGATCCAAATGAGCTTGAAGCTATAGCGACAACGTAACTGACGCAACACAGCGCTGGTGGACTATCAATTTGGCGCCCAGACTTAACGCGTTTCTGGGACCGTGGTGGTCTATTTATAATAATTATATTATCATTTGTATGTATAAAGCGCCCTTAAACAATCGTTCTCAGGGCGCTACGCTCGGAAAGACGGAACATTGTTTGACACCAACCATGAAGAGAAGTGAGAAAGACGTTTCAAAATAACTAAAGAGAGACAAAACCGTTTTAAACAGAGGCGTTTTTAGTCGAGATTCGAAGAAAATACCCACTGTGAAGAGGCGCCGTGCGCATTGTATGGCGCGCGGCATTAACCAGGGCTGCCCGCCAGGTTCCAAACACGAATCCCAGAAAACGAGCAGCGAGTGAGATCTCTCTCCGGGCAACGTCAAAGTGATCGTAGCAAACGGGGGCCCAGAGCTCCCTTCGTGTCCCTCTGATACTGCGAGTAGTGTGCGTGCGTGGACCAGCGCCTTCGGTGCATTGACCTCGGTTGCGCATCGCTGCTCCGGCGTGTGTGTGTACGTGTGTGCACGTGTGTGTGTGTGTGTGCGCGCTGGGTCACGTAGCCCGCATGCCCAGCCACCGCATGCTTAAACAGCTTTTGTTCGGCCGGATCGAGGCGGCTTAACGGGCGCGGCACGGGCTAGAGAAGAGATGGAGTGATATGGTACAGGAGGACGTGGAGCTGAGTGGACTTGCCGATGACTGGTACCAGCGGTGTCATGATCGGCCTCTGTGGAGGAGGCTCGTGAAGGACGCTACTGGGCAGTTGGAGGCAGTCGCCCTCCAACAACAACGGAGGGCGGAGGAGCGACGCTCACAACAACGAGCGGAGCGCCGGGTGGCTAAAGCACAGCAAGTTGGTACAGTTGGGGGCACATGTGGCGCATCAGCCTGTCATCTCGGTCATCTCAGTCAGTCGACCCGTGGCACCTGGGTCTGCCCCGTGACCTCCTGCCAGCGGGCGTTCGAGACTTCACGTGGCCTCAAGGTGCACATGGCCTGGCACAAGCGTCGTGGTGACATCACCGCCACGTAGTGGAGAATCGCGGTTGTTGTGTGTACGCGCGTGGGTGTGTGTGTGTACGCGTGGGTGTCTCTGGGGGAGGTGCCTCTAAAATGTCACAAACTCCCCCCACGCCCTCCCCACGTCTATTGAAATACATTCCGAGGTGAAGCGCAAAACCGGTAGGCGATTACGCACGGGGCATTAAAGCAGCTCGCTTTTAAATCGCGATTTTTCGATTTCGCCCGCCCGCCCACCGCTCCGCGATTCAGAACCAGGTTCTAAACCACAATTCCTGCTGCCACAGAGGGGCCCGACGAGAGACGAGGAGTAACGCGCAGCCTAAGAGGGGTGACTGCAGCACAATGGCAGGTACGTCCGCGTGCGAGCGTCAATTACTCGAACCAAATGTTTCTTAAGAAATGACATACATTAATTCTCATGCAGAGATTTATAATATCGGAAGGAAGGGCATTCCAGACGGCCGCAGAAGCGCATCTGATCGCGCGCGATGTGACTACCGTATTTTGTTCAGTGGCTGGCAGCCGCAAGCCGCTGCTGCGAGCATGAACGTAGTTCGCGTGATGGTTTACCTGCAGCAGAATGGGAGATATGCCCCGCGTGCGAATTTCAGAATTTTTTTAAAAACAAATTCTCATGCAGAGATTCAATGTATGTTGAACTTATTTCGCACCGTATGTAGACAACCGTGCTAATCGGAGGTGCGGGGGAAGGACAACAAACTAAACACAAAAGGCAGTTTAAAATAAATTAGTTTTCCATCGAGATTTAAAAGTGCTTAGCTCTCCAGCGGCATCCTAATATCGAAGGGAAGAGCGTTCCAAACGGCCGCAGCATCGCATCCGAAAGCGCCGCCCGCGACGCGGTGACCACCGCTCTCGTTCGATGGCGAGCAGCCAAAATCCGCCGGCTGCTACGAGGATGAGCGGAGTTCGCGTGACGATGGCTCACGCTCCTTGACGAGATCAGCGAGGTGATCGTGGTTTTTTTGTGGCGAGCGCTTTGCGTCTCACGGCTACAGACCTTGATGACGCTGTTGCTCGTTCGGCAACCGCACGGCCGATGTGTGGATTGCGGCGTCGCGTTTCGTTTATTCACTCTGGCGGCAGGGTGGTGGCGCGGTGGAAACGTGCGCACATGTATTTGATCGTCATCAATCAAAACCCTCGATAATTAAATAAAGAGTGGGCTTGGCCAGGAGGCGTCACGGCTAGAAATGTGCGATCATGAGAAACAACGAGAGAGCACCCAGCAAAAGTTAATAGATTTTAGTTTTGGTTTATTGGTTGCGATTTTGAACAACAGCCATATCAGGCATTGGAACATCTAATCGGCACAACGAGTGTGTTCGCTGCAGCTCAAAACGCTCACTCCTACAAGGCATGTGGTGGTGAAGTTAGGAGATGTACCGCGTGTGTTTGTGCGTGCTCGCCATTTGAAGGCGTGGAGGCCACAATCGGTGATTTCGCCGGCACTGTGCTCAGGGAGGCAGTGCCGTATCCCGACAGCGAAGTGCAGAAGAAGGAAAGTTCTGTCCATGGAGCAATGTTCTGGCAACTGGGGGGGGGGGGGGGGCAATCGCGTGACACGGCGTCTTTTATATGGGGTGGAAGTGTGGCCTGAAGGTCTGCGGGGGGCAGTGTTTGGTCTGCATTTTGTACACTTTGGAGAGGACCTCCACCGAGGAGATAGAGCCGTGAGCTCAGTTCTTGTGTCGGATGAATCGCAGGATCGCGAGAGATGACGGCAGCTTGGGGAAGCTGTCATCCAGCAGTGGATTGACCATGGCTGCTGCTGCTGATGATGATAAAGTAAAAATTAAAAACAGAGGATTACTTGGCTGGAACATCTCTCCGTGAAGGACCTCGGTTGTTGGGGGCATGCCACGTTCGAGAACATTTCCAAAAAACGTAGTCGGCCCGACTTGCTCCAGTGCCGATGCGTTTAACGCGACTCCGATCTCTATGAACAAGTTGCAGAATTTTTTTTCTTTGTATCTGTGACCAACACGAGCATCGCAAACGCGACGCATCGACTGCCTCCCTTGTTTGCGTGTTGCAGGTTTCCGTCACTGTCTCGTCATTCCGTGCCTGTTGAGCATCCTCTCCGTGCTCTACGTCTACATCAAGCAGCCAGACTTTGTGCACGTCACGTACGTACTTCCGACCGGCCGACCGAATGACCGCAGTTCGTTGGAACGAGTGAATTGGAGCGTCGCATTTAAATGCGTTCGAATGTGTGCCCCCTTTCGACTGCCGAGGTCACAGTGAGACGAGTGTAACTTCGAGCGCGACGTCAGGGTGTCTTTCACCACCGCTGTGAGCAGAGGGCGCGCGCTGCATTAACGCACCCGCAGTGATAGCCAGGGCGGCCCGCCGGACTAGAACCGCGAACCTCTGCGACAAAAATGTGGCCCATGACACAAACATATCAAAAGGCAACATTTTACAAGGCACGGGCACCAAAAAGCCAAGCCGGGCCGCATCACAGATGAACTCAATCGGAATATGAATGTAAACTGCAGGAGGAATCCGATGAGCTGTAAAGCTCTTCACCACGGGTCTCCAGCTAAATGTCGCCGCTCGTGGCTCGCCACGTGCTGCGCGTGCCGAGTGACAGCAAACAACTCGGCGTCCCTTAACGACACGCCGCGTTTGCTGTGCTCCTCCAGCATTTACTCGAGAGGGGCGCTGCGCGCTCGCGATCAAGGCCAGCAGCTGAAGCCACCCACGTCGCTCCCTCCACGGGTCACCGATGAACCCACGACACCGCCCGCCTCGTCCACGCCACTCGGCACCACCGCGCCCGCCGGCTGGTACGGAGTCACCGAGTGTCACGCGCACGCGAGCGAGCGCGCGCGCGCATTCCTCCCCGCGAGCGCGAGCATCTGTTGCCCGTTCTCTTTTTCTGACCTACACATCGCCCCTCCACTCGTTGCCGTCCCTCCCCCCCCTAGCGCTTTCCGTGATCCCCATGACCACGAGAAGGGGAGGTGGAGGGACGGTCGCCGCTTTCGCGCTTTGTCAGATGCGCTTCTGCGGCCGTCTGGAACGCTCTTGCGCCCGATGTTAGGAAGCCAGTGGAGCTAAGCACTTTTAAATACTGTAATCTCGGTTGAAAACTCGTATATTTAGAACTGCTTTTCGCCTTTAGTTTGTTGTCCTTCCCCCGCACCTCCGATTAGCGCGGTTGGCTACGTACGGTGCGAAATAAATGTACCATAATACATCATTGAATCTCTGCATGAGAATTAGTAAAAAAAAAATTCAAATACATATATACCGAACGCCGTCACTCATTCCTAGACCATTGTAGCACGTCCCTGCCATCGACATCATCCCATTCTGTGTCACCGTTCTGCAAGCCGTGCCAAGCGCCTTGAGTGAAGGCGCTCGAGAAATATAAATTAGACAAGTCAGCAGTGCCAACCATCAGCCCTTCACGGATAGTGTCCACTCGCTGCAAATGATTCACCTTTGTTCTCACAAACGAGGAAGACACGTGTGCGTGCAGCCCACACTGCCGACGAACCCTGCTCTGGAAAGGTGAAGTCATACATGTGTTTGCGAGCATTCTTCTTCAGCTTACCGATGTGTTCCGGCTATAAATATCCACACGCTGATGAGACACTTCGTTGAGCGATCATTAGTGATAGTTAGGTCGCTTCTGAAAGAGAACTACAACACAGCTCGGTGGGCCTTACCTGGTGGAATAACAAAAAAAACGTTGGTTTTAGTTATTTTGTTTATTTTTAGTGATTTGCTTACTTTTCCAATGCTTTGCGCTCCTATAGTTTTGTTTTGGATTGTTTGATGTTGTGACGTTCTGACGCCTGTGAAAAAGAGCTTCACACCTCATCGGATTTCTCAACGATAAATAAAGATTCTGAGATTGTGGGTGAGCTAAAAAAAAAGGACATCGAAATTTCACACGTGACCGTCACATTTGACTTCCGTTGCGTCAGGTGTGGTGGAGGGCTCCCTACGACACACATTATGGAGACAGATGGTTACGTGGCCGAACAACCCCCGTCCCCCCGTGCCCCCCAAAAACCGAATTGTGAATCGTGGCGCGTGCTGCAATCTCCTTCAGGGGGGCGGGGGGGGGGGGCATCGTCACCACCTTCCACCTACCGCTGGTGGCGAACCTGCGCAGGTTTTGTCCGGTGTGGTTCGTGGCCACGCGGCGCGCCAACCCCACTGGTGTCCATTGCCCCGGCAGCGTCACGTCGGCAGGGGGGCAAGCTAACGGGGTGGGTGCGCCTGGCTGAATGTGCAACACTCTAAGCGTTTGTCTGTGGCAAACGCTTTTTTTGTTTGTTGTTAAAGCTTACCTGTGCCGAATGGGCATAGTTGACTTTCATCATTTACTTGAAACGTTTGGGATTAGCTCGTGCTTCGGATGACTTGCGAGCATTAGGTCGAGCAGCGGGAGAAGCATTAAAACAAAACCCCGAACACACAAATTAATCCTAATTTTACATTTGCAGTGACGAATGTTGATTGCGCCGTCTATTTAAAGGTATCGATCAGCACGTGTGCTTCCCACGCACTCGCGCTGATCCGCACCAGAATCCGCATTTGGATGGACTCCCGGGGCGCCGGTCGTTGAGCGGCGATGTAAATGTCACGCGGGTCCACTCGACGTTTGCGTTTGAATCGTCACCGGGTCGCTTGATTGCACACACACAGTGCCTACCTACGCGAGCTTAAGGTGTGTCCACTCCACATCCCTCCGGGTACAGATTTTAGGTCTTAGCCGAACGATGCCCGGGCGCGTGACGGCCTCCGGTCTCTGCCGAGAGCCTTTGGTGCGAGCTTGCACCTTGCCCAGGTGCGTGCTAGCGTCGAAGCAAAGTGCTAAGGGTCCACAGATCGCCACTTGGGTCACGCGGAATCGAAATGGGAATGTGCATTTATTAAGCCGCGGGAGGAATCCGATGAGCCACGAAGCTCTGTTTGTGTCACACGTGTCCAGTCGGGGCACGGGGTCAGAAAGTTACAACAACACACAATACAAAAACGTGACGGGAGTGCAAGATATAGGAAATGTAAGCAAATCACACGCACACACACACACGCAAAAAAACATTTTTATTTTACCAGGTAAAGCCCACTGAGCTGAATGGCTTCTTTTTTAGAAGCGACCTGGTCACAAATTGATAGACTCAACGAAGTGGCTTCTCACCACGTGGAACTTTACAGCAGCCACGGCACCCTACGACCACCGCTCACCATCGCTCACCACCGGCTCACCACCGCTCACCACCGGCTCATCACCGGCTCACCACCGCTCACCACCAACTCACCACCGGCTCACCACCGCTCACCACCAACTCACCACCAACTCACCACCGGCTCACCACCGCTCACCACCGGCTCACCACCGCTCACCACCGCTCACCACCAACTCACCACTAGCTCACCACTAGCTCACCACTAGCTCACCACCGCTCACCACCAACTCACCACCGCTCACCACCGCTCACCACCGCTCACCACCAGCTCACCACCGCTCACCACCGCTCACCACCGCTCACCACCATCATCGCAGCCACAGCGGAGTGGCGCTGCAGAGGCAAAAAAAAATCACCCACATCATGGTTCTCATCGCACGCGCATCGCTTAAACGACCATCCACCCACCCATTCGTGGCTCATAAAAAAAAACATATATTTTTTTACATTTGACTCAAAATAAGTTGATCATGACCCATACTTACGATAACGTTTGCCGAAAATAACTTTGCGCGCGTGGCAAGCTCACAACGACTCAGGGCATGCGCGCGCTGTTTGTATCCAGCCGTGCTCACCGGAGGTGCTTTGCTTACAGGACCTGCCCCGGGCCCGTGACTGTAACGAACAGCAAGAACGAGAGCACCGTCTTGAAGTGAGGAGGGATGGGGTTGTTGTTGTTGTTGTTGTCGCGTGAATTGCGACTCGGTGTTTTTCTTTGCTTACGGCGGTGTTCTTCATTGCAAGGGCCACTGGGGGCCTCTGATGACCTTTAGTGCGGCCCCTGGCGTGCGGGTCACCGACAATATCCCAACGTGTGTACACCCCACCCCCCCCACCATCGATCATGGCTATCAAACCCGCAAAGGTAATGAAATGTGTAGTGGCTCTCAATACTGATGATGGCTTATCGGTGAAAGTGCCCCACCCCCCGACCCCCCGCCGCCTCTAAAAGTGAGTGGAGAACGCTGACTTGCACGGCACGCGCGTGGCGGTGACTCGCAGTTCCATCCATCTTCTATTCTACCGGGCAGCGTGAACACGGCACGCATCACGATCATCGCCAGTTCGAGACCGTGTTAAAGATTCGTATTCTCCGTCTGAAAACGTTTCGTAAAGTTTGCCCTATTCCGCTAAGTTTCGGTCAACATTTGTTTGACCAGGGTGAGGACTGACGACAGGATGATAGGGTTTTATTGCCGAAAAGGGTAAAAGCCATTCGAATGTTTCGTACTTTGATATCCCACGATAGAGCTGCTCGCTCCGAGCTATAATTTATCTGATACGTGTGGCATTGTCTTTGTGCTGTTCGCCTTTGGGAGTTGTTCTCTGGTCTGGCACTGGTGAGACTTGGCCATAAAGAAAACTGTTTCTGGTGTAGGCCAATCAGTTTCACAGACAATAAATATATTATCGGAGCATGTTTGTTTGCATGTTCACCACAAGTATAACGCGTGTGGCTAATGCAGACTTGATTCCTTGCACAAGGTTTATATTTGATGTTTGAACATCTTAACACAGCTGTATTATTGCCAAAATGGTAAAACAGCACAAATAGGAGAATTTAAATGCAACAACGAAGGAAAATAGAAAATCTGAGCAAAACAAAATAAACCCCAACAACAACTGCATCACAAAATACATCGGAAAGAGTGCACGATCGTCATGAACATGAAACAAAATACATTCCTATCAACGAACGTTGCCTCGAACAAATAACTTTTAAAAAATCATAGCAAAAAAGAAAGTTACGGAATTATTAGGAAATCCGACGGGAGCTCTGTGCGAAGAGCCGGGCGCTCGGTCCGGACTCAGCGATCGGCAATTTATAGAGTGCTCCAACAAATACCCAGTTGGGGCTACTATTGCGAGTCCAAATCCCGATCAAATCTCGTCTAAGGCATAATTTCATTGGTGTCAATACAGTGATCTACCACTCTGTGAAAAGCTGAAATTTTTTTATTTTTATCATGGACCTACCGGGCCCTGTCATAGGAATGTGGACATTTCCATTCCTGTATCAGGGCTGGGGAAGTCAATAGTGGTTGTCCTATGGTCAGACTCGTCCTGGCATCGGAGCGTGGAATTTCCACCATTGACTCAGAGCAATAAACAGGAAATAAGTGCCAGCCGGATATCACTTAAACTCGTGTGTTGTGCAATGCCGTCTGTTGTGTGTTTTAATGATGAGATTTCCACATAACCAGGTCTCATTATGTTTCTGCATTCCACAGCCTGTGTGACCATCACCTGCCCGTATTCCTAAACCCGTACAATCTGTCAAGCGCCAAATACAACCAGTTTGAAAACATCTCGTATAATCTGCCATTCGGAATATACAACGTTGGTGAGTCGCCTGTGCGCAAATGCAATTCCATTTTACGTAAAAACCGCTTTGCAAGCACGTGTGGCTTATGTGGCTAGACCCGTGCCTCTGTATCCAAAGTGGTGTATCCATTGCCCAGGAGTGCGCTCTCGTGATACCAACTGGAGCAACACGATGGCCCATGATTCATAACTCATTTCAGGGGGGGTGGGGGCAATGCCGGGTTATCCCAGTAGCAACAGTAGCTACATATTCTACGGGCCTCACTCTTTCAAGGGCCCCGCGCTAAATGCTTTCAAGCTATCAATTCAGGTTCAGTGATTCTGCACTTGCTCTATTACTATAGTACTATACCGCCTTCAAATTTTATGAACGACTGTGTGTTTAAGGTTAGCGATTTGTCGTATTATTTGGCTGTATAGCAAATGAAAAAATACAATTACTTTACTATGCAAGTAAAAAAATGTGTGTGTTTTAATATTTACTTATTTTTAGCGCCCCTTTATAACATCATGCTACAGGCCCCGCACTAGCTTAATCCGGCACTGCACGTGGGGTGGCGGTCACGTATTGATCTGGCCAAATTTGTGTTGCAAGCTCCTTCAACCGCTCAAACGCAGGCACAATGAGTTGAATTGTCACCAAGGGCTTGAACGCGCCTGTCTATCGTTGTTTCGAATCGCCCTCAAACAAATAAAAGTGAAAGAGCGATTCTCAGTTGCCAAATCGAGTGAGATTAGACGCGAGACTTTGCGCCAAGCAGGTGGCGTGTGGGGGGGCACGGGGGGGGGGGTGCAATGACCCGTGCAACCTGGACACTTTGTTTGATTAATTTTCAGTAGTTTACTATTAAGTCAATCTTGCTTTTAAGCTTTCGTGACTGCAGGAATTCATACTCTTTGGTTCTTTCGGTAAAGTCACGTGGTTAGAAAATACAATATATCACGACGTTTCGATCGCAACACAACCAGCGAGAGAGCTGTTACCAGAGGTCGCAAACGGGTTTTGATTCCTTACCCGTACCCGGCCGCACCAGGGTCGCAAACGGGTATCGGGTACCTGATTGCGACCTCTGGGATGAAGCCATGTTGCAAGCGCGGGGGGGTTGATTCTAGGAACTTGAATTGTGAGAAGAGACAAGACGTTGGGAAATGAGTGACAAAGGGTGACTCACCAGTGACTCACGGCCTACCCGTACCCGTACCCGGCCGCACCAGGGTCGCAAACGGGTACCCGTACCCGGACGGGTACGGGTAGCCGGGTATCGGGTAGGGTACGGGTATCGGGTACCCGGTTGCGACCTCTGGCTGTTACAATAAAGATTTCTATTAAGATTAAACATACATTAATTACATCCACCCGCGGTTCCTAACGTGAGGGACAAAGCTAACCCTTGCCCCCCTCCCTCCCCCTTAAATATAGAACTCGAACTCTGCCTATGGCCAAGCATCTTCAGGATGAGATCCTAAGTAGCCAGGCGAACAGCGCTGTACAAATGCAGAGCTGCTGGAGGGTTTAGAGTAACCTTCACTCGTATGGATACGGACGCACGGACAAGGCAGAAGTCGGATGTTGACCAAAGTGATCTAGCACTCTGTGAGAAGCTGAAATTAGTTTTTATATTATTATTATGGAACTCCCGAATCCTGCCATAGAAATGTGGAACTTCCCACTATTTGTTCAGGGCTGCCACCAGAGAGGAACGCAGGCCGGCTGCTCACTTGAGCACGCGAGGGAAGTCGACAATGGTTGTCCTATGGGCAGACCTCGCCCTGGCATCGGAATGTGCAATTTCCATCATTGACTCAGAGCAGTAAACAGGAGAGAAGCGTCAACTTAGACTCGTGTTGACCAACGTTACACAATCATCTCAAGCGGAAGACTTCCTTTACAACACATGCACAAGCCAAGGCTGATGTGAATAACGCGTAACGATACGCTTAGTAACTATAACATTCGATTAATAAACACCGCGCACCAAAATCCATCTGAGCACCGAAAACGGAAATAATATTTCAGCCCATGATCAATTTTTGCCGATGAAAGAATTATATTTTGGGCAACAAAAACCTGGGAAGAGTTTTATTTTGCATTCCCCCATTATCATTAAACCATCGTCTTCCTCCATACCCGGTGATACCATCACGAGTCTCTATAGGGAGGATACCACCACGAGGATCTGTACGTATTCACAGTTTTCCCTTTGGATGGGCCACATGGTGTTGTAACGCAGCCCAGATGACATTCGGCCAAATGAGCAGCATTATTCTGGTCAACAGTCGTGACTTCTCATCTAATCGAGTCGAAACCAGTCCAGGGTGTGTCTGCCTATAACTAATACTGCCGTATAACAACAGTAGGTAGATTGCAAACCAATTTCCTTAGAACGGCTTTTTGTGATTAGTTTTATGTCCTTTCCCCACCCCCCGCTCCTCCGATTAGCGCGGTTGGCTACGTACGGTGCGAAAGAAGTTCAACAAGCATACATAGACTCACACAGAGACCAATAGACTCACACAGAGACCCATATACTCACACAGAGACCCATCGACTCACACCGAGACACATAGACTCACACAGAGACCCACAGACTCACATAGAGACCAATAGACTCACACAGAGACCCATAGACTCACACAGAGACTCACACAGAGACCCATAGACTCACACAGACCCATAGACTCACACAGAGACCCATAGACTCACACAGAGACCCATAGACTTACACAGAGACCCATAGACTCACACAGAGACCCATAGACTCACACAGAGACCCATAGACTCACACAGAGACACATAGACTCACACAGAGACCCATAGACTCACACCGAGACACATAGACTCACACAGAGACCCATAGACTCACACAGAGACCTATAGACTCACACAGAGACCCATAGCCTCACATAGAGACCCATAGACCCACACAGAGACACATAGACTCACAGAGACCCATAGACTCACACAGACCCATAGACTCACACAGAGACATATAGACTCACACAGAGACCCATAGACTCACACAGAGACCCATAGACTCACACAGAGACCTATAGACTCACACAGAGACCCATAGACTCACATAGAGACCCATAGACCCACACAGAGACACAGAGACTCACAGAGACCCATAGACTCACACAGACCCATAGACTCACACAGAGACACATAGACTCACACAGATACCAATAGACTCACACAGACAACCATAGTTTGTTGTCCTTCAACGGGACCTCCGATCAGCACGGTTGGTTACGTACGGTGCGAAAGAAGTTCAACAAACATACGTACACAAAAGGCCGATCCAAAGGCTGCTGTGGTCAAATGTGACTTCACGTTGCTCTACATACGGAGTTTTGAACGTCTGCTTTCCTACTACCCGTGGTCATCCACGAGACGGAGTGCTTTTGGTTAAAGGGCTTGAGGTTGTTGGAGGTGAGAGAGAGTCGGGGGGGGGGCGGGGGTGCACGTTCTATTTAACACGTAGGCTTTCGCGACCAATATCATCCACAATACAAATCTGTATTGTGGATGCATGTACTATGTTCTTTTTTGTACGTATGTTTGTTGAACTCCGTTCGCACCGTGCGTAGCCAACTGCGCAAAACGGAGGTGCGTAAGAAGGACAACGAACTAAATGCACAAAAAGCGACTTCCAAGAAGTGAGTTCGCCAATCGAGGTGACTTTAAAGGGCACGGCGTCGGTGGCTTCCTCACATCGGGAAGGAAGAGAGCGTTCCAGACGGCCGCAGAAGCGGGCATCCGAAAATTGCGGCGCGTGACGATGCCGGTGACCGCCGCTCTTTGGGTGGTGGTTTAAAAAAAGAATAGAAACGAAAAACGAATGAGAAACGCAAAGAAAAGGCAAACGAGAGATGCGCTCATGCACGAGGGTAGATACCGTGGCCTCATCTGATGCATCAAGTGAGGCGGTATAGACGCACGCTGTCACTAAAGCAGTGGCAAGAGATCAACGTCCTCCTCTCGTGTCCCATGCGAGTTCAAATGGCCTCAGCGGCACTGGCTAATCCACAATTGAACCTGTAACTCAATAAATTGAACTTATAGCTTTCCCTACAAACGTGTGGCCTTGCAGGTGTCTCTTGCGAGATGAACAGTAACAACCCCAGTTGGCTATGACCTCAGTCAAAGAGAATAGGCAGACCGGGGCAATATAATTATATATAGCTCTTAGGAAATTCACCTTGCTGATGCAGCATTGCGATCCTTGTTGAGTGGTATAGATATTTTATTGTGCTGCAGACATGACGCCAAGAGCCATAAAATGTCACAGGGTAGAGTACCCATTTCATGGCTGTAAACTTCAATTCCCAAGGTGCTCTTTATTATACACTCACGAAGGAGGCTCAAGATTTGAGACATCCTGCTATGCGGCAGTACAATGCTATGCGAGTGACAAACTGTGAATCCTTTTGTCAATCCTGCGTTCTCTCGCAGAAAAGAAAGTGAAGTTGGTCTTGGATTTAACGAAGAACTACAGCTTACCAGCGCAATTACAGAGGTGGGTGAACTTGCGATGGACATCTTGGGCGCGTGAACGATCCCCGGCGAACCGAGTTCGATCCCCGCTCACGACCAGAATCAGTGGCGAATATATGAACGGATTCGGAGCCTCCCCGAGTTCGACTCGGCGTCAAATGAGTACCTGGTGCGACGTGTAAACATCGTCACGAGGGAGACAAAGGCGGCCGGGCGTGGTGATGACCACACCATCCCTTCGTGTGCCACAGTGTTAAGGCTATGGGGGGGGGGGGGGGGAAGGCATCGTCTTTGTGATAGTGTGTGGGGAGCGGTAAGGCAGCAGTTATCTATCTTGCTGCACCATGAACCCGGCAAACCGAGTTTGAGTCCCTCTCAGTGACGATTATCGGAACCGGCCCTGGGCTTCCCCTAGATCGACTCAACCTCAAATGAGTTCCTAGTGTCATGTTAAATATCGACACTAGGGAGACAAAGGCGACCGGGCGTGGTACTGACTACACCACCCCTTCGTGTGCTGTTACGACCTTTATTAGTGCTCGCTAACAGCACTTGCCCCAAAAGCCTATTAAGGCTACACGGGGGATCTTTGTCTTTAACTTTGGTTACACACAGCAACTATAGAATCGCCACAACTGGAAATTGAGTTTAACGTCGAAGATATGTGAAGGACAGCGTGAACTGGATTATTTTATTTAGGCCGCTCACGAGCGGAAGAGTTTGCACATTGATTTGTGTATGCTACGGATTCCGTTAAACCTCATGAACATCTAAAAGGAGCTATTAGCAACAATAATAATAATTTAATACATTTGGTATTCGCGCCGTTCTCATGGCGCAGGGCAATCACGAATGCCTCGACGTCTCACAGGTGGACGTAGTCTGCCAATAGGGAGCATGTGGATTTCCCTCCCTCTCTCCTTTTTTTTGTTTTTAAAACGATCAGACGAGAAAGATGCTCAGTCTTTCGGCACTTTACTTCGTTCATCATGTCGTTTGTTTGTATTTTTTTTATCAAAGATATAACGCGGGTTTTCCGTGTAACATTAGTCCCATTGTGTGTTACTGTGTTCATAGACACCAACAAGAAACACAAATCACCCTAAAAAAACCCATCACCAGATCCCCTGCTGCTGCGCTACCAGCACCATAGCGGCGAAGGCACCTCCCTCCCCTCCCTCCCTCCCTGCCTCCCTCCCCACCTTAAAATTTTGGACCACGGCGCGAAAACATAATGACCTCTATTCATTTCGAATGACGTCCAGACGGAACGTGTTTGCATGGTTCATACACCCACCCACAGTGATGACCAGGCTGGCCCGTCGGTTTCGAACCGTGGGTGAACACGTGACCGTTTGGGCCATGTCCGAGATCACAATTAAACCAAAAACACCTCCGTGTAACTCTTCTTACAGAATCTTAATTCAATACGTATTCATATCAGCGATACGCATCAATGCGCTCTCGCATTGGTTAAGATTAATTGATTCGTTGATTCATATTGTTTCAGGTTCTCCAACAGGTCCTGTGTGGTGGTTGGAAATAGCTTCATCCTCAAAGGGCGCAGAATTGGTAGCATCATCGATTCGTACAACACAGTAATAAGGCGAGTCACGTGTTTCGCGATGAGAATGAAACGTCACAGACTTTCTCAGCCGATCACGGGGGGAGGAGGGGGGTGGCCGGGTAAACCAAAATAACAAGAAGAGATAAAAAAAAAAGATTATTTCGAATTCGGTAACAAAAAAAAAACCGGCTCAAAATTTCACAAGCCGCAATGCACCGTGGGTGAATACGAGACGGCGGTGGGTTCTTAATAAATAACAGTCACGATGCGGCCCTTAAAGAGTCGCATGCGGCTCCTGAACCGCAGGTTGATGACCCCCCCTGGTCTATGGCAACGTGACCCCCTTCAGCACCGGTTGAGTCACTCACGCACTGTGCACGAAGCTTCCACTGTTTGACACGTGGCAGGCTTTCGCGACCAATATTATTAATAATAGAGGTTTTTTAGTTAGATCGGGTGAGTATAAATGTGTCGCAATCCACCACCCGACAGAGGCCAATTGGTAAGGGATTCGTCGCCCGATGATGCTGGATGTAATTGCCAGCGAAACGTTGTACTCAAATTGTAAATGTTGCGGATTGGCGTTTCGTTCACGTAACAAATCCCTTACCAATTCTAGATTTGAAGCTTTCGTGACTGCAAGGATTCATATTCTTAGGTTTTTTCGGTAAAGTCACGTAGGTAAAAAATGTAAATTAATAAAACTAAAATAAAAATAACATAAAAAAATGTTTACCTACGTGACTTTACCGAAAAAACCTAAGAATATGGACCCTTACCAATTGGCTGTGTCGGGTGATGGAGGGTTGTGCCACATCTACACTCACGCTTTCCGCTCTAATGAGCCACATTGAGCAATTGGTGTTCATGTCCTGCTTGGCAGCCCTGAGCCAGTGGTGGAGATTCTACATTTCTACGGCAGGGGCGAGTCTACGCATAGGACAAGCAACTGTTGGCTTCGCCATAACATAATACCAGTTTTATCGACCCTGTAGGAATGATGAGCTGAGACAGTTAGATCAGTGGGTTTTAACCTTTACTGCAGCCTTGCATCCCTTTAGTTCTCAATCGTAAACAATTCTATAATATTAATGTGTAATATGAATGTGTAATATTAATGTGTAATATTAATGCGTAATATTAATGTATAATATTAATAAACACATAGGGTGGAAGAAACAAAGTAGTTGTACTGACATGCCCGTGTTAAATTTGTGTTGTCGATTATTTACCTTCTAGAAAAAAATCTGTCCATATCTCGCACTCCCAGAAAAGAGCATCTCTCGCACCCACAGGGGCTGTGTGCACCCCCAGGTTGAGAAGAACCACTTAAGTTAGATGCTAATCAACACATACATATCATCTAATGGGCTATAGACCGGGCCACTTTTTGTACACCAATGCAGAGGCAAACCGCCGTGTGAGCGCGCGCGTGTTGTTGTTGTTGTTTTGTTGTTGCTGTTGTTGTTGCGACCGTGCAGGATTAACGACGCGCCGACGAAAGGCTACGAGGAGGACGTGGGGAGCCGCTGTACGCTGCGTGTTGTATACCCCATGACGGCTACGAAGGATCAGCAAGCGCGCGACCAGAACGACACCATAGCCCTCTTCGTGCCCTTCAAGGCGGCCGACATCGATTGGATTCTCAGAGTTGTGCGGGGTGTTGTCGTGGTGAGCGCCGGGTTTTGGTTGTGGTTGTTGTTTGGTGGTTGTTGTTGTTGTTTGTTTGTTGTTGTTGTACGGGCGTTTGGCAGGTAGCGGTCGCGGTGAGATGGGAATATTGAAAAAAACTAAAATGTATTTTTAGTCTTGATTGGAAGCTTTCGTAAAGTCAGGTAGGTAGAAACATCAAATAAAGCAATTTAATTTTATTTATTTAAAGCTTTCGTGACTGCAGGAATCCATACTCTTTGGTTCTTTCGGTAAAGTCACGTGGGTAGAAACATAAAATAAAGCAAATTTTTATATTATAAATAGATAAATATACAAATGTTTGCACGTATTTAAACGGCTGTACGCCGTATGTACCTGACAATTCGATTTCCCTGTACAAGATCACGGGTACACCGTATGGGTGAGAGCGTAGGGGTTGTTGTGCGGGATTGTGGGTGAGGGATTGTACATAAGCCACAGGGGAGACAAAGGCGGTCGGGCGTTGTCCTGGCCACCCACCTCCTCGTGTGCCGTGCCGGCCATAAGCACTCGCCCCTAATAAGGTCTGTCAAGGCTGTACGGGGAGGTCTTTGTCCTTGGGGGTCGTCCATAAATGACGTCACGCACCTGGGGGGGGGGGGGGGGTCAGACATTTGTGACGATGTGTGACGAGGGGAGGGGGGGTGAGAAATGTGACGTCACATCAAAATGCGCAACTTTAAATAAATATAGACAACACGTTCTATTTAATTAAATAGACTTTTTAATAAATGTTTTCTCCTACAACATCAGAGTGCAGCGCCACATTAAATACGCACTATAATGACAGTAGTTTAAAGCGATTTGAAGCATGTTTTATTTTTTGAGGGGGGGGGGGGGGGGCAGAGCTTTGAACGTCATATTTGAGAAGGGGGGGGGGGGGTCTGACTTTTGTGACGCCGTGTGACAAAGGGGGGGGGGGGGGGGGGTCAAAAATCGTCCAAAATCGCGTGACGTCATTTATGGACGGCCCCTTGTCTTAGCCGATGAAGACCGGCGCGTTCCAGTGGGACGTTCCTCCCCATAACGTGCGCATCCTCAACCCCGTGTTCATGCGCGTCGCCTCCCTCGAGCTGCTCAACAACCTCATCCCCACGCGCGCGAGACGCGCTCCGGTAACGTGGATCCCCCCCCCCTCCAGCCCCTCCCCCCCAGCCCCGCCCCTCTCCTCCCCCAGCCCAGGTCCTCTTCCAGCCCCGCCCCTCCTCCCCCCTCAGCCCCTCCCCTCCCACCAGCCCCGCCCCTCCTCCCTCAGCCCCACCCCTCTCCTCCCCCAGTCCAGGTCCTCTTCTAGCCCCGCCCCTCCCCAGCCCCTACCCCCTCAGCCCCTCCCTCCCCCTCAGCCCCAGCCCTCTCCTCCCCCAGCCCTGGCGCTCTTCCAGCCCCGCCCCTCCCCCAGCCCCTACCCCCTCAGCCCCTCCCATCCCCTCCCCTCAGCCCCTCCCATCCCCTCAGCCCCGCCCCTCCCCCCTCAGCCCCGCCCCCCTCAGCCCCGCCCCCAGCCCCGCCCCTCCCCCAGCCCCTCCCCCCTCAGCCCCGCCCCTCCCAGCCCCGCCCCTCCCCCTCAGCCCCGCCCCTCCCCCAGCCCCGCCCCTCACCAGCCCCTCCCCACCCGGCTACACTATAGAGCTGTGCTCTTCACTCATTTCCAGAGCGGGGGGGATAGGGGGGAGGCACTTTCACCGACAAGGCATCGTCAGAGTGAGGACCGTCACACATCTGAGATCATTGGGGGGGGGCGGGGGGGTTGATGGCCATGATAGATGGGGGTGTGTCTCCACGTGTTCTGCATTGTCGGTGGCAGCAGATGCGCTGCTGCGGCCGTCTGGAACGTTCTCCCTTCCGATATTAGGAAGCCACTGGAGCGATGCACTTTTAAATAATCTAGATTGACAACCCAATTCTATAGAACTGTTGTTTTGTGTTAGATTTGTTGTCCACTTCCGCTACATCTCTCAGCACAACTGGCTACAGGCGTTGTGAAAGAAGTTCAACATACACACACGTACCCACCTCTGATCTTGCCGATCTCTCAATCCGAGACCGGTTACAGATGTGGAGACATGTCACGGGTTTATCTTCCGCGTGATACAGACAGCAGTCATCGCAGGGTGAGGAGAGAGCGAGAGAGATGGAGGAGGGGGAGAGATTAGGGTAGATGGGAGTTGAAGAGAGCGGACAGAGGCAGCCAGAGAGGGTAGAGAGAGAGAGGGAGGGTGGTGTGGATTAAGGCCAGAACATGCTTACAACCACGAGAATGAAGCGTTGCGCGTGTGTGATGCTGATGATGCAACGTTGAGGCTCTTTGTCTTTCAATGCAGATTCCCACCACGGGGTTCCTGACGGTCACCGCAGCCCTTCACATGTGCAGGGAGGTGCACATCGCCGGCTTCGGGTACCCAAAGGCAACGAAGAATGTTGGCAACCAACTGGTGCACTACTACGGCGAGGGGCGCATGCGGCAGATCACGCGGGTAGGCGCGCTCTGCAGCAGCGGTAGAACGAGTCCGTGAAATGACGCAGCGATGCATCGTGGTCACGTGGAGGAGGTGCTTCGTCTGTCGCGTCACACAGCGCTCGCTCGCATTCAACTCTCGCCTCCACTTCCACGTGCACTCCACCTCCACGTGTTCCACTTCCACGTGCACTCCACCTCCACGTGTTCCACCTCCACAGTGCACCCGCCACCTCCACGTGGCCACGTGCAGTTGTAAGTTATTTTGTAATGGCATCGACCACGATTGTCACGTGTTGTTTTTCCCCTTCCCCAGGCGAGAAATCACGACGTCAATCCAGAAGGTTTTGTTCTCCGGAACATGATAGCGAGCGGGCTGATTCAAAACCTCACCCCATCGTAACAGCCGGAGGTGACTCGCCCCGTTACGGGACCATTGCAATCGGTGGTCACGTTCACAGCGCCAGTTTCCCCCGCACCTCTTCCTCTGCATCCGTCACCGCGAGACTCATTTTGCACACGACAAAGTGCTTGCCACACAAATGAACCGCAATGCTTTGCCGATCTCGTGAAGGGGCATCAACCACCATCACGCCGAACTCCGCTCATCGTCTGAGCAGCGGCGGCTTTTGGCTGCTGGCCATCGAACAAAGACGGTCACCGCATCGCGCGGCGCTCTCAGATGCGCTTCTGCGGCCGTCTGGAACGCTCTTCCCTTACGATAATGGGAAGCCACTGGAGCTATGCACTTTTAAATCATCTAGATAACTCATTTATTTTTTAACTACTTTTGGTGTTTAGTTTGTTCTTCCCCCACACGTGTGATGAGCATGGTTGGCTACATACGCGGTGCGAAAGAATTTCCACGTACATAAGCACATCACAACCCTGCCCTTTGCACGTTAGACCAACCATGCCAATCACACACGGCTTGTAACAGACCATTCATGCAAATGGTCTCCTACGAGAGGGGGTTAGAGTGAGATATTTAAGATAAGATATGGGGGGAAAAGTATCCTTTTTTGGGTTTGGCACTTTTAGCGTCAAGCATCGCTATTATTATTTATATGGAACGATTGTTGAACCGAGGGAAGTTATGCACAGACAGAAAGCAAATTTTGTCTTATTTAAAAAAATAAAATGTCCTTTTTTTCTCCTCTGTGGAGGTTGATGTCAAAAGTAACTGTATCTTGTGTCCTGCAATTATTTCTTTCGAATCGTGTGTACGAAATGCTGCAACCTTTCCAAGCACATCCAACGCCAGCAAACGTAGGCCGCCCTTCACGTCAAGTGCAACTTACGAAATGAACGGGTGTGCCTCACGACCAACCGTGCTGTTCAAACTCGTACAACACGGAGAATCTGTGCAAGCATTGTAACAATGAGGATAAGCCTCACCCACTTTCACGACTCTCACAACGGAGATCTCGGTGCAGGATGTCCCACGGTGCTCACCGCTCGCGAGAAAACAAATTCACGGAGCCACGACAGAGAAGATGCAGCACGAGTGGCGGAGTGCGGGTGGCGGGGGCCTCACCATCTAAACAAACTCAAACGCTTGCAAACAATCTCGCCCGCGCCCCGTAAATTCTCGGTTCCCCCTCGCTTCCCTCTGCTCGCACCTCTGATGAGCGTGGTTGGCTAAGACGTTGTAGAAAGAAGTTCAACATAGTAATCGGTTTTTACCCTTTCAACTGGTACAAAAACTGACACCTTTATACAAGGCATCATGTTTGCAATAACCACAACACAGTCAGTCCAAATGCAAACAAAAAGAAACAACTCTGATGATGATGATATGCACTGTCCTTGAAGTTGATTGGTCCACAACCGAGACAGCTTTTCTTAGAGCTTAGTCTCCATTGGTGTTGGACCAGATGACGCCAAAAGGCGTACAACTCAAAGACAGCACACTATCAGAGTATTGAGAGCTCGGGGTAAGCATTTACACTATGAGACCTCCTTTACCAGTGGCAAAATATAGTAATAGGTTTTTACCCTTTCAACTGGTACAAAAACTGACACCTTTATACAAGGCATCATGTTTGCAATAACCACAACACAGTCAAAATGCAAACAAAAAGAAACAACTCTGATGATGATGATATGCACTGTCCTTGAAGTTGATTGGTCCACACCCGAGACAGCTTTTCTTAGAGCCTAGTCTCCATTGGTGTTGGACCAGATGACGCCAAAAGGCATACAACTCAAAGACAGCACACTATCAGAGTATTGAGAGCTCGGGGTAAGCATTTACACTATGAGACCTCCTTTACCAGTGGCAAAATATAGTAATAGGTTTTTACCCTTTCAACTGGTACAAAAACTGACGCCTTTATACAAGGCATCATACGTACGTACATACGTACGTACATGCTCCCTCCCCTCCACTGGCTTCCCACTGCCAGGCAGGGTCAGCTCCAAGGTCACCTGACTGTGCCGCCACACCTCCGTGTTGTCGGTCGTCCGCCGCGTCTCTCTTCGCGACCGTCACACTGCACCACGGCTCACGGGAGAACTCTCCGCAGCAGTGCGACTCACAACCTCCACCTCCTCCTCCGCTCTACACCGAGAACCAAGTCCACGGTTACTGCTGAGCGTCTCTTCTTCGTGGCAGCCCCCACCGTCTGGACGCTATCATCCCGCGGCTGCTGCTGCACTTTCGCAGCAGCAGCATCAGCAGCCAACTATTGTTATCCACAAAGCAGCTATCATTTGATTTTTGAACGCAGTTCCTGAGCCACAGACCCAAAACGTCAAGCGGACAGCGACAAAGTTCGAATAGCAAAAGAGTGCAGCATGTTTCTTGAATTGAGCAAGGTCACGACATCTTGGGGAAAACAGATGGTGGGAGTAAATTCCGCAGCCTAAAGTATTTGGTTACAAAGTTTTTATTCTCATACCAACTCAATTGACCATGCAACTACATTGAATATTGTAACAGAAATACGGCCTATAACTGATATATTTTTTAACACGTGGCGTTAACTCCCAGAATCGATTGTGAATTAGTATCAAGTCTAGTCACATCAATCTCTGCCGACACACGCACACACACGACGACGCGCGATGTCTTCAGGCCGACGTGTCAAAGAGACGATCGATCATCTCGGCCACCTGCTCAGAGCGGAAGCGCACGTACTTGCTGGGGTTCTTCGTGAAGGGGACGCTCCCATACCTGGTGGGGGTGGGGGGAGGCGGGAGGGTTGGTGGGGGGGCAGAGAACCAAATTACCCTCGCCCAATTCCTGTCTCACCGCGTGTGAAATGTCAACACCGTGTGGCACCCTCGCCGTTTGTCAAAGTGGCTCCAGTGGGACGGATGCAAGGGAGGGGGGTGGAGGAGGGGGGGACGGGAGGGGGAAGTGGGGAGCGGTTGCCCCCCCCCCCCCTCAACTCCTTGTTAGTTTTAATGTCAGGTCTGTGCTCTCCAGATTCCTGGGAGAAAAGTTCCCAGCTGGCTTCACCTAGGTGAGGCCCACGATCAGTTCAGATAGTCGCCACCGGCGTTGGCGGTACATGAAGCGGGAATCGAACTCGGGTCGCCGGTTTCGTAGCGCCACCGCGCTAACCGCTGTGCCACCACTCCCCACGCACGTACCTGTCCACGAACACACGGTAGCTGTTCAGCAGCAACTTCTTGCCTTCCTGGCGCAGACGCTCCCTGAGTTCTCGCTCCGGCACTGCCCAGCACTTCTGAACCCGGCACAGCTCCTCCAGGCCCTCGTTAAAGCCCTGCAAAGACAAAGACATCCCGCGTGCAGCCATTAGCCATTAGCAGGCCGTTGGGGCAAGTGCTGTTCGTGAGTAGCACTTACGAACGCCGGCACGGCACACAAGGGGGTGGGGACATGAGTTTTATTAGGAAGCCAGCTATGCACGTTTAAATCAAGATTGAAAACTAATTTGTTTCTAACTGACTTTTGTGTTCAGTTTGTCGTCTTTTCACCGGACCTCCGATTAGCACGGTTGGCTTTGTAAGGTGCGAAAGAAGTTCAACACACATATATGCCCAAAGCGGCAGAGCGGTGGCACAGCGGCACTGACCTTGAAACGATCCTTGATGACCTGACGCTCCTTATCCTTCAGCTGGAAACACGGACACAAGAGAAGTGTTATGACTTACTACCGCGTGGCGAGCGAATGGTTGAGTCGGCGAGTGAGTGTATGAACGAGTGACCGGTTGAGTGAGTGTGTTGTTGTGACCTGCAGTATGGTGGCTGAACACAGTGCGGGTGAGATGAAACAGTCAGTCTGTTAGACCGAGTTCTCAACATGGGTGGACAGAACACAGCAATGTACATGTTGCCATCGTGTATGGTGTGGTAATGTTGATGCCAAAGTGTATGATGTGGCCCTAACCTTTGCGCCAGGTGTGAGGACAGGCATGTTCCGATCGGAAATGCTCTCCAAAACCTTCATCCAGCTGCATTCCATGACACATGTCAACGTACACGTGACATAAATTGTACTTCATGTGCTGTTTACAGTCAACAAGAACACGTGTGTGGTGACGGTATTCCCGTCATGGGGCGGTAACAGGGCCCAGTGGTAGTGTGTTCACAACTCGCTGCAGTATTTAATAATGCGGATGAATTCACCATGAAATATTACACTCCATCTGCTTCACGGTGGACGTTCAAGATCCCGTGAAGTCGTTCAACACGAGTAGGCCATCGTGTGCCAGCGTCATGATCCACATTTGAAATATGACCTGCACATTACTCAATTGCGATTACACACAGCGACATCGGCCCCTTCGACTTTGAAAAAACTGCAGGCAGACCGTGTCTGTAAGGATGATGGTGTGAATACCAAATGTGCTAAATTTTTTTTATTAAATCACAAGCTAGAGAGTTAGGAGCACAAATTGTTATATTGGCTTGTGCTGTGTTTAAAGCAAGTAAAAACTCTTGAAATGTCATCCATTACTCACGCGTTTATGTCACTTTTTAACACGTCGTAGGTTTTCGCAGCCTATATTACGATTCATAAATGATTTTTGGTTTGGCCCGCGGAATGATCTGGCCAAATTGCTTTAGTCGTGTCAATCTCTGCCACTCAACACGTAAAAACATGTTTTAACCGTCATGTGCACAAGCATTGAATGAAGTGCCAATTATTTTTAGATACGTTTCGCTAGAAACTGCGCCAAGCGTTTCAAGGAATGAAATCAGGAAGCCAGAATAAGCACCGCTGCACCTGCGCCGATAGCTTTGCAGCTGACTGTCGATGAGCTCTTCGTACGTGCGCTCCAGATTAGGTTGCGTCACTTCCACGAGCTGCAACAACTCTGACCTGAACACCAGATCACATACGCACACACACAAAGGTTAGCGGACACCTATGAAGGCCGGTAGGGCACACGAGGGGGTGGGTGGCCAGCACTATGCCCGGCCACCTTTGTCTCCCGAGTGGTGATGTTTAAGCATTCACACGAGGTGCTCATTTCAGGCTGAGTCGACCGAGGGGAGGTTCAGGACCGGTTCAGTTAATCGTCACTGGTGTTGGCCATGAGTGGCAACAGAACTCGGGTCTTGCTAGTGTAGTGTTTTGCAGCGGACAAAGACAAAGATCCCCTGTATAGTCTTAACAGATTTTTGGGGCAAGTGCTGCTAGCGAGCACATATGAAGGCCGGCATGGTACACGAGGTGGAGGGTGGCCAGCACTACACCCGACCGCCTTTGTCTCCCTAGTGGCGATGTTTACACGCCACACCAGGTATCGCAAGACTATACACACAATGCAATACGCGCAATGCAATCGATAACGTCATGTGATACACAATGCAATGCGGTGAAGAATACAATGCCTTACTCATTAAGTACTTCAGCCAAATAAAAACTTCAGTATTGAGTCATCATTCATAATATAATTCTGAGTTAGGCCACAATGGTCTGGCCAAATTTGTTGTGAAACGCTGCTCCACCTACGAAGGCTGGCATGGGATCCGCTTACCGTTGCAAGGCCTTGAGAGTGTAGTTGTAGTTGTTGAGCAGGAATATACAGCCCAGTGCCGGGTCCTCATACACGCGACACTTACTCAGCAGGTTACCCTGAAGGTTCCCCAGAACCCGTGCTGCAACACAAAGACAAAGATCCCCCGTGTAGCCTCAACCGACTTTTTGGGCAAGTGCCGTTAGCGAGCACCTATGGAGGCCAACACAGCACACAGCTGATTAGGTATTCATTTGAGGCTGATCGGTTCATATAATCGTCACTGGTGTTGGCCGTGAGTGGGAATTGAACTTTGGTTACCGGGTTCCTCGTACAGCGCGCTAACCACTGCACCACCGCTCCTCATATACACACACAGAAGTGCGCGCGCATGCGTACGTGTGCACAAAACACATGCACGTACTCAACCACAACAGAAATACTCTGGGCGGCTATCATCGTGTCCTTTGCGTCACCAGTGACCGTATACAAATCCCGGTTAAATCCGGGTGTTACTGGGTATTTGCCACATGCACAGAAATGTCTAGAGGAACAAACTGAACGTTGTAGCCCTTTAACCGACCTGCCGGGTCGCGCGCGGTGGGGTCACAGTTGGTATTTACACCTCTTCCAAACGAGTCCGGTCAACGTGAAAGAGTAGACTAAACAACCCTCTAGGGCTCGCTCTCGTGGAGGGCACTTTCACCAGCAGTGGCGTGGGCGGAGAACAATCGCTGCACGGCTGCAACCTTTAAACCACCACCACGTTTGTGGGGCATGTGTGTGGGTATGCGCGCGCTGTTGTTGCGTTAAAAACTCACACACGTAGGTGCTCAGAAGTTTTCGGCTGAATTCGGAACTGTGACTTAGGGTGCTGCTGTCTGCAACAACAACACCAGTGCAAACGGCAAGTTGAACGACAACAGCAACAACAACATTAGCGCAAACGGCAAGTTAAACGACAACAGCAAGGACAGCATGCAAGGCTCACGCTCAGCGCACAGCCCACAGCGTGTCTACACAATGCCTGCGTGCGCTCGTGCGCAATTCCGCAGTCAAGTGCATGCTCTTAGTACGCTGTTATCCAACGCATGCACGACTGTACAATGAAGACGATGCACAACACAAAAACCACGAGGTACATGCACTGCACAGTAAACACTCAGCCTTCATGCGCCACTGACTATTATGCTTTCGGAACACATTAAAGGTTCATGCTGTCAAGTGAAAGTGATCTCCGGCTCAAATGAGCATTGAGACATTGGTGCTGATATCCTGTTTACAGACCCTGAGCCAGTGGTCGAAAATTCCACATTCATATGGCGAGGGTGAGTATGTCCATAGGACAACCACTGTTGACCTTCCCCATGAAGTGTTACACATTTTATCGACCCTGTCGGGAGGGCGGATGGGCTGAGTCAACCCACGCCCCAATCAGGATTTAAACTTGTATCCAATTGCAGCCGCTCGCCCTACGGTTGAGCCACATGATAAAGAAATATAGGTTTGCCGGTTTAATGCAACATGAAACGTGAGTTTGAGCAAGTTACATCATTTGTTTTTGGTACAGTGCCGTCTGCTACACACGGGATGTTAAGTATCCCACGATGTCATTTAAAATGTGTTAAGATGTTAAAAGACCAAACTGAAACCTCTTACAAGGAAACATGTCTGCATTAACCACAATGCTTGTGGTCAGAATGCAAAAAAAGAATTACTCTGATAATATATGCATTGTCCTTGAAACTGTTGGAAAAATATGGGAAAAACCTATTATCATATTTTGGTACTGGCAAAGGAGATCCCATGATGTAGGTCATTTAAAATTGAGAAGGCCTTTGAGTGCCGGCATCACAGTCCAAATGGCAAAAGATGACACCACAAATGTTCCAACTGGGATTACACATTGCAACAATCATCACCTCCTACCGGCAGGCTGATGCCCTGCTTGCAGGCCAGGTGCTGAGTGACCTTATGTCGCACAGCTGCCACTGGGGCTGCCCTTCGAATGTTCGAGATGATCCAGTGGCGTCACACGAAAATAGCAGTAGCCCAACTGTGTGCCTGCGTTACGGTACAAATTTGGCCAAATAGGAAATATTTACACCGCTAATTAGTCGATTGAAATTACATGTAGCCATCACGATCATCGCCCCCTACTCGCAAACTAGCTTGCAGGTACCGAGTCAAATTATGCAGACATTGACAGTTGCCACTGGGGATTTTCCCTTTAAAATGTGTCGATGTGAGATGCGATATAAGTCGCTTATTACGTGTAAATCGCTCGGGAAAAGCCCCCTGGCGTGAAGGGCACTCCGTCAAAAACAACTCACTTATTATTCGGGTCGCAAGATTGTTATTGTGATAGGAATATGCCACCTGCGGCAACTAGACGAGAGACAGGGTGGTGACGTGGCCCAGCGGTAGCGGGTTTACCGCTTGCTGCAGAGGTTCGTGGTTCAAATCCGGCAGGCCGCCCCGGTTACTACTGCGGGTGTATTAACCGTGAAATACTCCGCGCCACCTGCTCCGCAGGTGAGAGGCATTCAACACCATGACTCTCCACTGCCCATTGAGTCTCCGCATGGCCCTCCCCTTGACCCTACCCTTCAGAACTCACCACGGGGCTCCAGGGAATATTGTACGTGTCTCCCAACACTAGCGCATAGTGGGCATCCGTGACAGGCAGAAGGGACACAAATATGGCACATCAAGCATCACGCACACTCCACACATACACACAGGCATACTTATATTTAAAAGGTATCACGTTAACATTTACCGATATTAACCTGACAAAATACAGTGCATTAGTGATCTAATGATTTGTTTGAGGGCTCATGATAATCCAATAACGGCTGAACACAAAAGTTTTTGCAACCAATATTACGATTAATAATTGATTTTTGGGGTAAGTCATGTAATGGTCAGGCCAAAGATGTGTTGTAAGAACCTCCACCACCCAACATAATTCATCATTCAGTATTCTGTCCAACGATCAGTCCAAGGCATGACTCTCTCCTCCGTGTTCCTCCTTCTCCGCTACTTTCTTCATCTGTCCGCACGTCCTTCCTCGTTGAACGCTGTCAAGCAGTCGCCATTCTCTTACTTCCTCTTGGCCTTTTCGCAAGAAATCTTCCCTCGATCGCCTCCTTCATTAAGCCCGTTCGCCAACCGGTGCCGATGTTTGAAAACCACATCAGGCACTCTTTAACGGTCGAGTCGACCTGGGGGAGGCCCAGGACTGGTTCGTAGTGCCGTGCGCTCAACCGCCCTGTACCGGTCCCCACTACTGCCTTCAGCAAGCCATTCAAACGCACCCAAATACTACTACGCGTCCAATCCCAGGCCTTTCTTCCTTTATCCTAAACTCTGGCCTGGGTGACAAAGAGGAAATGCACAGCGTATTGCTAACATCCTTGTCTCCCTGGCCAGCCAGAGCACCCAGAGTGCATCTGTCACGCACGCAGCGGGCTGAGGGAATACCTTGAGAGGCCAGCATGGCCGCCGCTGTCTCCTGAAAATCCAGCAACTGTTGTAGGAACAAAATGGCCTGCAAAGACAACGACGCACATTAATTACCCACAATGCACACGCCCGCATTACGTGACACAAAGCTATCATAATGATCACAGAAGTAGCCCCCCAAACGCAGAAGACCCCTGGGTTCGATCTTCGAAGCTCGTGGTCCACCCTAAAATGCATCTACACAAACGACGGCAGTTGCGGTTACTTGATGCACAAATGGAAAATTAAAAAACTCTCCAGTGTGCGACCGTGGTCATCCAGATCAGACCGTACAACATACAACGACGCAATGCCCGATACACAAATACGAAAGAAACATCACAGCGATACACTCCGCTGCTCCTGACGCGGTTGTCTGGCTTGACCGCCTGAATGTGAAATTGTAGCTGTTGCTCTGCATCTGCATCAGCCATGCGAAAAAATAGGTAATAATAATTTTCTTGGTTCTTTCGGTAAAGTCACGTAGAAGGAAAATAATAAAAGAAATTTTTTTTAACGTAATTTTTCTTATTTTATTATCTTATTATTTCCCTTCTATGTGACTTTACCGATAGAACCAAGATGATGAATCCCTGCAGTCACGAAAGCTTTAAATCGAAATTTAATAATAATTTGTTTTTAATAGAATGCCCTCCTTTACACCAGGGCGTCTCAACGCTTTACACGCGATAAACAGCCAACTTTCATTGCATCTCATCTCAATAATTTTATAGGGCACCCCCGCTGGCAGCTGTCCCAGTGCAGCACAAAGCGGGCCTCAGTCTACCATTAGTGGACGATGATCGCTCTGTGAATTCCAAGTTGAATACTTTGTGGTGTATTTTTTTCGATTAGGAAAATTTGGTCCGTGATGCGTGCACACAAAGGCCGACTCGTTTTACTCAGGCACACCATATATTGCACGTTCATATGTACACATTAGCTATCCTGAAGACATGGCCCAGCGGTAGCGCATTTGCCGCTTGTTCCAGAGGTTCACAGTTCAACTCCAGCAGGCCACCCTGGTTATCACTGTGGCTGTATTTACCAGTTGACGTTAAAGGGCCCGTTGCGTCATTCAAAATGAGTAGAACATTGTGTTTCGGCGTCATGATCCACATTTGCCAATCTCGGAATATTAGAGTTCACATCCATGCGTGTGAGACTCCACTCACGTTGCTTGTGAGCTCATGCACCGTCCCATCTTTCGGCATGTTGTACTCTTTATCCGGGTCATTCTGCAGAGACATGTGGGAAAGAAAACTGAAGGACAACACAATCCTATTCAAAGCCTCGTAGCAATATCATTCATAGCCTTGTAATCTCATTCACACTCGAGCAAACATTTAACAATGTGGTATTTTAATCACACTGATAACCTGAAGACATTGTGGCTGACATAGCTGATATATGTGAAACACCAATTAGGGAAACAGCATTGGTAACACTCACGACTCAGAGCAAGAAGGGCCTGGGTTCAGTTTCTGACTTGACAATTACTTGAACTCATCCTGGGCTGTCCCCTAAATCGACTCAGCCTCAATTGAGTACCTGATGCGGTGTGTAAACATCGCCACTGGGGAAACAAAGACGGTCGGGCGTGGTGCTGGCCCCCCACCCCCTCGCGTGCCATGCCGGCCTTCATAGGCGCTACTCGCTGAACAGCACTTGCCCCAACAGTCTGCAAAGGCTACACGGGGCATATTTGGTGTGTGATGTACCGTACCTTGATGCTGTCTGCAAACTCCTCAAGAGCCTTGGCCCCAGTAGTCTCCATGGCCGAGATGAGCGTGGGCAGTTTGTTCTTAGTAGGAGCAGCTGTGCCCTGCACACCATGGCACAGAGGGAAGCCTGCCATGCAGAGGTTGCAACCGGGTACCCGATACCCGTACCCTACCCGATACCCGGCTACCCGTACCCGGCCGGGTACGGGTACGGGTAGCCGTTTGCGACCCTGGTGTGGCCGGGTACGGGTAGGCCGTGAGTCACTGGTGAGTCACCGTTTGTCACTCATTTTGGGTAGGGTACGGGTACGGGTAGGAAACGGGTACCCGTACCCGGCCGGGTACGGGTACGGGTACCCATTTGCAACCCTGGTGCGGCCGGGTACGGGTACGGGTAAGGAATCAAAACCCGTTTGCGACCTCTGCTGCCATGTGAACACACCCAGTGCATTCACAGATGTGGCGTTCATTATTTCGACTCCATTCGGGTATAGCCGCGTGTGACTGCCGTCACCAGTTGTTGCTTCAGTCTTCCTCCTTCCACCGGGCCTCCGTAGACCACAAAGGCAAACTGCGTTCATAATATAGGTTTTTTGGGTCAGATCGCATTATTTATGAATGTGTCGTAACCCTCCACCACCCGACACGGCCAATCAGTAAGAAATGTGTCACGTTTTCAAAGGACAAATTAATTGATTTAAAAATGCTGTTGATTCTCTCTTCAGCACACCGGTGGACTAAAGAAGTCAATTAATTTGTCCTTTGAAAACGTGACACATTTCTTACTGTTTGGCCGTGTCGGGTGGTGGAGGGTTACGACACATTTATAAATAACGCGATCTGACCCAAAAACCTATATTATGAATAATATTGGTCGCGAAAGCCTACGTGTTAAAGCAAACTGCGTTATTAGGAGTGAGAGAATGTAACGTGATGTGAAGCGATTTTTAGTGAGTGCCGAGTTAACGCTCGCAAGACTGCGACTCTGTACCAACCCCTTGCTGTGGACCAGGGGGCAGCAACAGTGGCAAGTAGCATATAGCAGCAGCTAGGTTCATGAACCCTTACATGGCAAATGTATTGCAGCAGCCCGTACGGCAACACCAGTAACCAGGTTCATTTGGCAAATATATAGCAGTAGCCCGCACAGTAACAACACCAGCAGCAGCCAGGTTCATGAAGCCTTATTTGGCAAATATATAGCAGCAGTCCATATGGCAACAACAGCAGTAACAGCCAGCTTCATGAAGCCTTATCTGGCATTAGATGCGCCTGATATACTTCAGGCTTCTTCTTGCTGTTGTTTCTAGGTTTTTTAAGATAAGGTATATGTTCAGACCACGTATTTTGTATTTTCATTTGCATTTTTACAGTTAAACCTTGGATTGCGAGCATAATTCGTTCCGGAAACGTGTTTGTAATCCAAAGCACTCGTAGACCACAACATCCTGCTTAGTAAAATAAGTTGCCTTCGGTTTTTCCGAAAACACAGTAATGGTTAAAAAATTACCTCTTTTCTCGCACCCAAACTGTATTCACAGATGGTTGGAGGTCAAACAGTGTTAAGGTAACAAAAGGGGTTCCACAGGGTTCCATTCTCGGCCCCCTCTTGTTCTCTCTTTATGTAAATGACTTGGGCACTGAACTGGATTATTCCAGGGTTAATCTTTTTGCAGATGACACGGTACTGATTACTGCTGGCCGCTCTCCGGATGACGTGATTGCTAAGCTCCAGAGTGATTTCAACAAACTACAACATCAGCTAGTGGCTCTTAAACTAGTCCTAAACCCTGCCAAAACCAAGGTGCTATGCTTTTCACCAGGACTAAAGTGGGAAGTTCTTTTCCCCCAATTACATTCCTTAAATAATGATCAAATAGAGCAAGTCAAGATCTATAAGTATCTTGGGCTCATCCTGGATTCAAAACTGAATTTTGAAGATCACATTGATTATATTGGGAAAAAGACAAAAATAAAAATTGGTTTTCTATATCGACACAAGCACTGCTTCCCCCCTATGTTCCGTTTGGAATTGATAAAGCTACCATACTGCCTCTACTTGATTACTGTGACATTGTGTATAAATCAGCCCCAAGTACTGTACTGAAGAAGCTTGACTCAATGTATCACTCAGCCTTAAGATTTGCATTGAACTGCCCATATAGGACTCACCACTGTGATCTCTACATTGGGTCAAACTTAACATCTCTGAATGTTCGACGGCTTGTGCACCAGATCTTATTTATTCATGATGTACTTGCAAAAAAATCCGCAGATTACCTGCTGGATCTCATCTCTGTTTCAAAGAACAAATTTGACCTAAGGTCTACACTCATTTACCAGCTTAACATTCCCTATTGCCGTACATATACTGGAGGAAGGGCCTTTGCTATTGATGCCCCCAGGGTCTGGAATGCTGTTGCCAATAAATTGAAACTTGAGTCACTACCTATGAGATCTTCACTCAAAACTGCTCTAGAGGAGTTGTACACCCCTAGCTGCCAGTGCTATTCAGTGGCCTAAAATAAAATGTTTCGCTCCGGATGATCGATACAAAGTATGACCTGTGTTTTGATTTAGTGTGCTGATCTTAAAGGTGCTTTCATAGCTTTATTTTGGTGATTTCGAAAAGTGTATTGGTTTAGCCATGTTTGTTTGTTGTAGTACAGAGTTAGACTGATGGCCTTAATCCAAGTTGTCTTGTGGTTGTTGTTGTTGTTTGACTTGCATCCCACTGGGATTTTTGCACAGCGTTGGTGTACGGTGTTTTTGTGCAATATTTTGCTGTCTTTTCTTGGATTTTCTGTTTGCACTCAGTCACATATTCACTTTAAGATGTTTTTTGTTCATGTTTTTGTTTTTTGTTTGTTGCGGTTGCACCCGATTCAAGAGCAGAATGGCTCACAGGGCTATACCTAATACATTAACTTGAACTTGTATATCAAAGCACTAGTATATATTAGTTGTGATCACGTGACGCTCGGCAGACAAGGCGTATACACGTACTACTCGTATTGCAAGACCTCGCTCGTTTATTAAATGAATATTTATTTTAAAAAATTGCTCGTCTTGCAAAACACTCGCAGACCAAGTTACTCGCAATCCAAGGTTTTATCGTATATATTTGGAATTTGATTACATATTTTCCAAAACATTGCGTACTTCCGATTTCACATACAGCTCAGCTGTGTGTTTTTTTACATAGCTGCTGAGCACAGGCCCAAAAGGCCCATAACGTCAAGCGACCAGCAACAAGCAGAACAATAAAAGATGAGAATAAGCACGTTTCTTGAATTGAGCAAGGTTAATATAAGAACTTTGGAAAAGAGACGGACAATGGGAGGGAATTCTCAAGCGGAGCAGTGTTATGACCTGCAGTGTGGTGAGTCAGTGCATGGGTGAGTTTGGCAAGTTTGTTGAGCGGGTGAGTGCGTGGGTTGGTGAGTGAGTGAATGAATAAGTGTGTAGGTGAATGAGTGAGTAGGTGAGTGTATGGATGAGTGATTGAGTGTGTTGTTGTGACCTGCATTGTGGTGGTTGAACACGGTGTGGTGCATGAGACAAAACAGCCAGTCTGGTGGACCGAGTCTCCAAAATGGGTGCAGGCATCAATGAGTGACGTTTACGGGAATATAGTCACCACGGCAGTAGCAATACAAGAGTGATAAGCAGCAGGCGACCGACCGCTGCCGGTTAGTTGTTTACCTGCAGCACGATGTCGAACTGGGGCTTGCAGGCTTTGAGGTGGCGCAGCACAGGCAGCACGGACAAGACGGCCGAGTAGTCGTGCCGCATCACAGCACGGCGCGCTGCTGCCACCACCCCATCCCCCTCTGCCACCAGGCTATCCAGGGACTCCTGCAGCCACGCAAACAAAGACAAAGATGCCCCCGTATAGGCTTTGCAGATTGTTGGGGCGGGCGCTTTTAGCGAGCACGTACGAAGGCCGGCACAGCACACGAGGTGGTGGGCGGCCAGCACCACGCCCGGCCGCATTTGTGTCATGGCGACGTAAACACACCGCACTAGGTACTCATTTAAGGATGACTCGATCTAGGGAAGGCCCAAGACTGGTTCAGATAATCGTCACTAGTATTGGCTGTGAGCGGGAATTGTACTCAGGTCGTAGGGTTCATAGAGCAAAGCGCTAACCGCTGTCCTTCCGCTCCCTACGCACCCAGCAACAACCTCTTTCAGCAGAGTTCGTTGTTGGAAGAGGGTAGGGCTGGGCCCATTCACTTTTGCACAGGTGTCAGCAAAATGTTACGACTCGTAATAGATGTTTGGGTTAGGCCACGAAAGTGATTTGGCCAAATATTTGTCACAAAACCCTCCAACAAAATCGACGCAGCCAAACAAATTAAATTGTCACGCGTACAAGCGTTTCACGAGTCAATTGTTTCTGTTTAAGCTCACCGGTAAGACGAAGAACAATTCTCAAAGTTAAAATGTTTAGCAATTAGACGAAACTGCACCAAGCATCTTCAGGACACAAGCCAGGAAGTAATTGGTGCATTAAATGATTGTACAAGTGATAATTTAATTTGTTGGCTATGCCAGGTGGTGGAGCAGCGTTTCACAACAAATTTGGCCAGACCATTGTGGCCTAACTCAGAATTATATTATGAATGATGACTCAATACTGAAGTTTTTATTTGGCTGAAGTACTGTAATGAGTAAAGCATTGTATTCTTCACCGTATTGCATTGTGTATAACATCACGTTATCGATTGCATTGCGCGTATTGCATTGTGTGTATAGTCTTGCGATACCTGGTGTGGCGTGTAAACATCGCCACTGGGGAGACAAAGGCGGTCAGGTGTAGTGCTGGCCACCCACCCCCTCATGTACCATGCCGGCCTTCATAGGTGCTCGCTAACAGCACTTTCCTCCAACCGCCTGTTAAGGCTACACGGGGGATCTTTGTCTTATCGTATTGGGTTGTAGTGTGCACCTGTATTAGAGAGTCGAAAGTCTTCTTGTGGTGGAAGTCAGGAATGATCTGGGTGAGCAGCTGGTACTCGCTGTGAGCCAACTTCACGAAGGCCGACACACACAGGATGTAGGCGTCGATCTCCACGTCCCACGCCTCCACACTGCCTGCACACACACACACACCACATATCACTCACCTATCACTCACCTATCACTCGTTCAAACGTGGCACGACACACACACACACACCGCATATCACTCATCCAACATCACTCACCTATCACTCACCTAATGTGGCACGACACACCACAAACACACACCGCATATCACTCACCCAATATCACTTACCTATCATTCACCTAATGTGGCATGACACAAACCAACACACCGCATATCACTCACCAAATATCACTCCCCTATCACTCGCCTAACGTGGCATGACAAAAACCATACACACTGCATATCACTCATCCAATATCATTCACCTATCACTCGCCTAACGTGGCACGACACACATCACACAGTGCATATCACTCCCCTATCACTCACCTAATGTGGCAGGACACATACCACACAGACCGCATATCGTTCACCTAACACTGATCTAACGTGGCATGAAACACACCACACACTCACGCGCCACATATCACTCACCACCACATCTCGCTCACCTTAAATAGCACCACACAACCCCTAAGCGATTAAACCCATGGTCTAGACAGTTAGGCAGAGTATTCTCAAGTGTGTGGTCAATGCATGCTAGTAATGGCTGGTAGTGGATGGCAATAGTTAATAATATTTACAATAACGTTTGTACATTCGGTATCTGCGCTATTCATTTAGTGCACGGCTATCACGAAAATCGTTGTGTTTCACTGACATAGTCTGCAGTAGGTTCACAGTCGGGGGCGACGCAGCTTTGTTTAATCCCAATTTTTTATCTGCGCGTAACTTATCGGACTCGGACTATGACGCAGCCACACAAATGACCTATTCTTTAACGAATTACATCAAGAGTATGTCCACTGTGAATTGTTTTAAAATGTTGTGGTTTCACGCTTCAACACACCGGTGGGCTAAAGCAGTGAACTATTTGTCTTTTGTCAACGTGACACTTTTTTACTGATTGGCCGTGTCGGGTGGTGGAGGGTTACGACACATTTATAAATAACGCGATCTAAACCGAAAAACGTTGATTATGAACCATACGGTGTATAATCATGGATAATGCACCTGCGCTATTTTCCAGGGCAGCCAGCCGGATCCGACTCTGTGAACCTCTGCAACGAGGGAGCGAACGCACTACCGTCGGGCCCCCTCCCCCCCCCCCAATGCGTGGCTTGAGCGAGCCGAGTGACCAACGGAGTGTGCAGAGTCCACAGGAGCTGCGGCAGTTAGAGGCCCTCCACACGACAGTACCTTCCATGGGAGAGAGGTTGGAGCAGCCCTTCCTTGCCTCCTGCTGGGCGTACTGTTTGAGAAGGTTCTGGGCTTTACGCAGAGTGCCTGGGGCCATCACCCCCAACCCGACAGGCAGAGAGCACACCAGCAGGAGTGATCCCAGGTGAAGGGAAGGACACCGATGAGAGGAAACACCAGGGCACGGAGCGATACCAAGAGAGTGAGGAGACGGGCCGGTGAGTGGGGGAGGGACAGAGAAAGAAACAGAGACAGACCCACACCGTAACAGAGTGGCACCAAAACCGAGCTCCACGTTAGTCAAGCACCGATGCCAGCACCTCATTGATTCGTAATGGATTTTAAGTGTTAGACCGCGGAATGTTCTGGCCAAATTTATGTTGTGAAACCATAAACCGCCCCGGATATCCGGTGCTTAAACTCCCACCTTACCCGTGGGCATCGAGATCGCTATCCTCTGGCTTGCTGACTTGCCACGGCTTACCGTGGTACAGTAGAGTATAGTGGCATTACAGCAAGTGGATTATTTCCTTATGTGTTCCATCTTGTCGAGTATTCAGAGTTCTATCCTCCCTCACACATGGGGTTTTTTTTTTCTCCCGATAATCTGGTGTCCTCCCACTTGTACAAACACTCACGATTCATGGAGTGGGCCAAGCATCCTAATATAGGCCCAGAGAGCTTGGGCAATTCTCGGCGTCAGTTCTAGCTGCTTTCCTGCTTGTCTCGCACCTCTGAATGATTCTCTTATCGCTCTCGCTTCCTCTGAAAGGGTTTTCTGACACAAATTTGGCCGGATCATGACTTGGCCTAACCCAAAAATCAACGATGAATCGTGATGTGACCGATTGGCTTAGTCAGCTTGGCAATGGCCACTTCAAATCGACACGAGGAAACACAGCGAGTGGAAAATCCACCTACCTCACGTTCCCACACAGCAGGAGTGCAAGCCTTACCTGGGATATAGGCTGAGATGTCCACGTTCAGGAGTGCAGGGAGAGGGGGGTAGAGAGAGAGCAGAGTTAGAAAGTGTAGCGTTTACGATGGGAAGAGCTCACAAAAGCCAGCGCAGTCCCATGCGTTACAACCTTGGCATCGGCCAAAACCACAACAAAGTTCAAAAAATTCTAATTAGCGTCGTCGTTGAGAAGTAACAAAATAAATGTTAATAATGTTGCCACCTTCACGAAATCTATTCCCTCTATTTAAAAAAATTTAAACTATTTTTTTACACAGCCCATTGGCCAGACTGCCTTCTGGCAGTACATCATTTTCACAGAATCGGCTCAATACAAAGCAGACTCTCATATAGGTTCGTACCTTGATGCCGGGCCGTCTCAAGAGCCCTTGTTACACACAATAAGCGACTTACATTACATCTCGTTTCAAAAAAATTGGTAGGCACCTCCAAGTGGCAGCTATCCCTAAGTGCCACAATGTGACACGGCACGGGACTGCGAGTGGGAATTAGTCTGCTAATAACGGGGCAATAATTTGTTATCCCAATTGAGTAAGTATCGGTGTCATGTTTTCAAGCTTGGTACACATGGACCACGACGCTGATACAAAATGGCCGGCATCAAACGTACAGACAACGCTCGTCTAGAATGACATTCCGGGATTTTTAAAGCCCACTGTGAAACAGACAGTATGGTTAATACAACTGCGGTAATAACCAGGGTGGACTGCCTGAATCGGACCTCGAACCTCTGCAACAAGTAGCTAACTCGCTACTGCTGAACAATGCTTGTATAATAATTGTTTTTTTACCCTTTTATCTGGTAACAAAACTGACACCTTTTTTACAAGGAGTCATGTTTGCATTGACCACAATACCTGCGGTCAGAATGCAAACAAAAAACACAACTCTGATAATGTATGCACTGTCCTAGAATTTTTTTTTTTTTTTAAAGGTGTCAGTTTTGTTGCCAGATAAAAGGGTAAAAAACCAATTATCATATTTTGCTACTGGCAAAGGAGGTTCCAATGGTGATGCTTGTATAAATATATGTGTGGCTCTGTATGTATATGTGTGTGCATATCAATGTGTGTTTACCTATGTATGTAGGTCGACTCAGCCACAAACAAGTACCTGGTGCGGTGTGTAAACATCACTGCTGGGGAGGGCGTGGTGTTGGCCACCTACCCCCTCGTGTACCGTGTCGGCCTTCATAGGTGCTCCCTAACAGCACTTGTCCCAACAGTCTGCTAAGACTATATGGGGGATCTTTGTATCGATATTATGGATACAAATATAATTGTTAAATCGGATGGGAGCAACTGTGGAAAAGCAGCAGTACTTTATTGTTGCCATTATAAAAAGCATAAATGCAACCCAAGCTGTCATATCTCACTTGGAGCACCCAGTTCCTAGCTCACTGCACTTGAGTAAAACAGCCAGGATTGATTGATGATCCAGCACTCCCTAATGACCCTCTCCGGTAACTCACTACATCGGCGGCCACTAGTCGCCTCCTTATCACTCTTCTCTTGCTGGTACCTTGGCTACTGTTACCGTGAGTTGTCACGTGTCGCTGCTGCTGCTGCTGCTCGTCGTACCGGTGCGCTTGCCAGTGGAGGCGGGGAGACGCTTGGTGGGAGTGTTGGTCCTGCGGGCCCCCACGGCCGGCGAGTGCCCGGCGGCCGCGTGGTGGCTCCGTCGCAGGTGCTCCTTGAGGCCTTGCAGGGAACGAAGCATCTGGCCCGAGCGTAGCTGGTAGTAGACGGTCATGAGGTCTGCACCCCCGGAGGGCAACGCAAGCGAAAAACATTGCAAGTGTCACCGAAGCGAAGCGATGACATCGGTTGACGTACAGGGGTTAGACAGAGCGTTGCATCGCAGAGACCGTCTTGGGGAGGCTTTAATCCAGCAGCGAAAAGACCAGGGCTGATAATAATAAGGACAAAAAGCGTACGATGAACGTGCACCAGCAGGCCCAGCACCCTCTGTGCCGGTGCCGCCATCTCTGTCGCCGCGCCGGTGCGATGCCGGTGATACCGGTGATGCTGGTGGGCGCCGGCGCTCACCGTGGCTGCGGCCGCTCTCCACCAGCCAGTGTGAGATGCGCACGAGGTCGGCGAGCGCGCGCTCCGGCAGCTGCTGGATGTGAACGTCGGCCGTCCCCTCTGTGGCGCAGGCCTCGCCCTCCTGGGCCGCCTCGTCCTCGTCCTGGGCCAGCGCGTCCAGCAGCAGCACGGGCGGCACGGCCTTGCTGTGTCGCTGCAGCAGCGTGCGTGCCTCGCCCTCCAGCCACTCCTTGCCGTTCTCGAACAGCGACTTCTGCGGTGAGGCAGAATTGAGCATTGGTTATGATCTCGCGGTTCTTGAGAGCTCGGGATAAAAGAGATGATGGGAGGGGATTTTTCCAAAGTGGAGCAGTGCGTGTGTAAACGGTCAAGCAAACTCCGGTCATCCTCGCAGAAGAAGCGCTTCTGCGGCCGTCTGGATCGTTCTTCCTTGCAATATTAGGAAGCTTCTGGAGCTATGCACTTTTAAATCGAAATATAAAACTACAATTTTTTAAACAGAATTTTGTATTCGTTTGTTGTCCTTCCCCCGCACCTCCGATTAGCACAGTTGGCTAATGTCTGGTGCGAAAGAGGTTCAACATACATAAATACAAATAAAAGTATTGTGAGCCGCAGTTGCGGTGGTTGAACACATTGTGTAGTTTGTGCGTTCTAATAAGGTTGGCATGCGGACATAGTTGGTGTGACCATGATGTCGGTGTGGCTGTGGGGACGTGGTTGTTGTGTTGATGTGATGTGTGCAGTCTGTGTGTGGTGAGGGCGGTTGTAGCGGTGTGCCGGGGAAGGCGATACCCCTCACCACAGTGTTGAGCTCAGGGCTGTCTGGGTTGTTCTCTGTGAAGTACTCGACTGCGTTCTGGATGCGCGCCATGCACTCCAAGTACTCCTCCAGACGACCTGCCGGCCTGTACACACACAAAGACACGTATTTCCCCATATAGCCTCCACAACCTGTTGGGGCAAGTGCTGTTAGCAAGCACCAGTGAAGGGCAGAACGGCGCATGGTGCTGATATTTACACGCCGCACCAGGTACCCCATATAAGGCTGAATCGACCTAGGGAAGGCCCGGGACAAGGTCAGATATTCGCCGTTAATGTTGGCCATGAGCGGGAATCGAACTAAGGTCGTCGGGTTCATAGTAGAATGCACTAACCACTGCGCCGCTGCCCCACTCGCTGTCTGTGTGTATGTGGATGCAAACGTGTAAACACCCCATCGAGCGGTTTCAAACGTGTGGCGGTGCTCACACTGACGATATCTTATCAGTGAAAGTGCCTCCCAACCCCCCCCCGCCCTCTCTGAACATTAGCGAAGAGCACTGCGTTCTAAATAATCTGCGAAGCTACGAGTTTTTTTTTCACCCCTCCTTGACGACGCGCTGGGTGTCGCGCGCCACGCTGTAGTAGCCGATGACGTGGTGCAGCGCGCCCAGCGTGCGCTCCACGTTCTCCTGCAGCCGCTGCAGGGTCTCCGTCTGCCGGTAGACCGGCACGATGGCGTCCTCCAGCCGCGCCAGCCGGCACTCGAACGACGACAGGATGCCCACCTGCCCGGGAGGAGGGCCTCAGCGATCAGCCCTGCGTCATCTGCGTTACTGCTCGTGAGAACTCACGGGCCTTTAGCTGTGCATTTTAAAGCATTTTTTATAAACTAAATGTATAGCCCAGGCGTCGGTAACTTTTCAAAGAAGAAGAGCAGTTTTTTGCTTGTTTTTGTCTTTGACCAAAATAGTTTGAGAGCCACATCACACGCAGAGCTACTTGCACACAAACACAGCAGCAGGTATACAGCAATGGCAAAACAAACTTAAATAAACAAAATATGTGATGGAATAAACTGCGTCTATTTAGTTACTTTCCCCAATAGTTATCTTGACTGTTGCACATTTTGTTATCACCAAGACGCTCCACAGTGACCCATTCCCTGCCATATTTAGTCAATTATCTTTCTATAATTATGTTTAAGATTTAATAATAAAAGACGGTTGCTCCCAAGAGGGCAACCAAAGAGTCGTAAGGGGGAACCCAACGAGCCGCACGCGGCTCCGGAGCCACAGGTTGCCGAGACCATACCTGTCAACCCACACGGTTTACCCCCTATTCTTGTACAGGGAAATTGAGTTTTCAGGTCCATACGGCGTACAGCTGCTCCAATACAGGCAAAAACATAATTTAAAAAAATATTTAAAAATTTTGTCTATTTGCGTGTGTTTCTCCCTTGTGATGGGACTTTGTAGGATTAACATTGAGATTTATAAGGGCACGGGGTGACCAGTAAGGTCTGAATTGGTCTGTCATAAGGCGGCACTGATAATGAGTTAACAGGTATGTGAGCCTGGTATAGTCCTTTGGTCAATTCACTGCTGGATGATGGCCTACTCCACACCATGCCGGGCACGGGAGTTGTTTGACCGTACTTCGCGATGCTGGCAAACGTGGAGAAGCATAGACGGGCGAGGACCAGGTTAAATATCGCCCGCCACTGATGTTAGCCATGGCTGGGAATCATCATCAATGACAACTCTTATCTTTTACAAATGTGATAGTGTTGTTTGTTGCTGGATATTACACATTACGGGCCTGTGCTAAGCAACAAGATAGCTGGAATCATGGCAGAAGTACATTATCCACTTCACCACTACTCCCAGCCCCATCGTGTTTAGATGTAGTCATACCGCTTTGGAATACGTCGAATTTGGTATACGTTGTGTTTTGACGAGAAAAAAATATCTTGGGATACGACGTCTTGCTTGGGATACGACGCGTTTGCTAGAACTTGTATGGGTCGGGATGAGTCACCGTGTACCTGCGTAGACCCCGTTCACCACTCCTCCCCTGCCTCACCACCATCCTCGTAGGCTATCAACTACTCCCAGCAAGGTAAAGTGATGTTACATTTAATTTTTATTTAAATTAATTTAAATACATTTATGCATTTATTTGAATTTATGTATGCATTTTGGTAATAAGTAGTGTCTAAATTATTTTATACAACCCCATTACTGTATACTATGCCATATAAAATATAATTTCTTAGACTCAGGAACGGATTATTTCCTTTCCCTTGATTTCTTATGGGAAAAATTAGTTTGGTATACGTCATTTTCGGTATAAGTCCTACCTTCTGGAACGAATTAACGACGTATACCGAGGTACCACTGTACTAATGTTCAATGAGGTGCTCTGGCTTCGCTGAAAGAGCAACATGTCATCATAGATTGGGCCTATATTATCAGGATAATCTCCATAATCTTGCTGCAGAGCACCCAGTGACTCCTCTCAATTGTCGATAATCTCACCAAGATAGTCGCTCACACTCACCATGCTTGCGGTTTGCTGTTCGCTCTTATCCAGGCTCTCCCGGATGAAGTTCAGCACATGCTGCTCCTGGATGAGTGACAGGGGAAGATGCGGTCAGTTTGAAATATCAACATTTGAGCACTGCAGGTTATTTTCTTTCGTTTGCACGAATTTCTACGAGGTTCATCTTCTTGGTTCTTTCGGTAAAGTCACGTAGAAGGGAAATAATAAAATAATAAAAATAAAACATAATAAATTATTCTCACGACGTTTCGGCCACAACGCATAGTAGTGTTTCATTCCAGTCACCGCACAAACCCATGCACAACACTCATCATCGAGAATTATCTGTATTTATCCTGGAGAAATCCAATGAGCTATGACGCTTATTATCATAGATGTCCAGCAGGGGCAGGTCAGAAAATGATAACCAATCACTCACCCTCAATCCCCCACGACAACCCTCAACCTACTCACCCTAGCCTAAACCTTTCAAGCTCTACGGCTTAGGGGCCGTCCATAAATGACGTCACGCACCTGGGGGGGGGGGTCAGACATTTGTGACGATGTGTGACGAGGCGGGGGGGGTTGAGAAATGTGACGTCACATCAAAATGCGCAACTTTAAATAAATATAGACAACACGTTCTATTTAATTAAATAGACTTTTTAATAAATGTTTTCTCCTACAAGTTCAGAGTGCAGCGTCACATTAAATACGCACTAAAATTACAATAGTTTAAAGCGATTTGAAGCATGTTGTATTTTTTTTTGGGGGGGGGGCAGAGCTTTGTGACGTCATATTTGAGGGGGGGTCTGACTTTTTGTGACGCCGTGTGACGAAGGGAGGGGGGTCAAAAATCGGCAAAAATCGCGTGATTTCATTTATGAACGGCCCCTTAACCCGTATTCTTGGACAGGGAAATTGAGTTTTCATGTCCATTACGGTGTACAGCCGTTTCAATACGGGCAAAAATGTTTCGTTTATCCATGTTAGTGTTTCTCCCTTGTGATGGGGGACTTTGTAGGATGAACGTTGATATTTATAAGGGGCACGGGGTGACCAATAAGGTCCGAATTGATCTGGTACGAAGATAGGCACTCAACACATTCCTGCGGAGGGAGCTGGTAGGAACGTTGGGTTGCTCGGTCAATGGCCTGCAGGGTCAACGGCGGCGTGGTGTATTCCGCAAATATGACCGACTGTGAGGGCGGGCACAAGCCGGCGTGAGTAGGTTAAACGTTGAGTTTTAAGAGGGTACCCCGTGACCCTCACTCACCCCCTGACTCCCACTCACCCCCTGACCCCCACTCACCCCCTGACCCCCACTCACCCCCTGACCTCACTCACCCCCTGACCCCCACTCACCCCCTGACTCCCACTCACCCCCTGACCCACCCTCACCCCCTGACCCCCACTCACCCCCTGACTCCCACTCACCCCCTGACCCACACTCACCCCCTGACCCCCCCTCACCCTCTGACCCTCACTCACCCCCTGACCCACCCTCACCCCCTGACCCACACTCACCCCCTGACTCCCACTCACCCCGTGACCCACACTCACCCCCTGACCCCCCCTCACCCCCTGACCCACACTCACCCCCTGACTCACACTCACCCCCTGACCTTCACCCTCACCCCCTGACCCACACCCTCACCCTCTGACCCACCCTCACCCCAGTCACCTGGTTGAGCTTCTCCTCGATGTCTCGCTTCCTCGCCGACACCGTCTCCTCGGCTGGCATCGCAGCGTTGAGTGTGTCACAGTGTCAGTGGTGTGTCACACTGTGTGGTGTGTCACAGTGTGAGGTGTGTCACACTCAGTGGTGTGTCACACAGTGTGTGGTGTGTCACACTGTGTGGTGTGTCACAGTGTTTGGTGTTACACAGTGAGTGGTGTGTCACACTGTGTGGTGTGTTACAGTGAGTGGTGTGTCACAGTGTGTGGTGTGTCACACTGTTTGGTGTCACAGTGAGTGGTGTGTCAACACTGTGTGGTGTGGTCACAGTGAGTGGTGTGTCACACTGTGTGTGGTGTGTCACAGTGAGTGGTGTGTCACACTGTGTGGTGTGTTACAGTGTCAGGTCACAGTGTCAGTGGTGTGTCACACTGTGTGGTGTGTCGCAGTGTCAGTGGTGTGTTACAGTGTCAGTGGTGTGTCACACTGCGTGGTGTGTCACAGTGAGTGGTGTGTCACACAGTGAGTGGTGTGTCACAGTGAGTGGTGTGTCACACTGTGTGTGGTGTGTCACAGTGAGTGGTGTGTCACAGTGTGTGGTGTGTCACAGTCAGTGGTGTGTCACACAGTGAGTGGTGTGTCACAGTGTGTGGTGTGTCACAGTGAGTGGTGTGTCACACAGTGAGTGGTGTGTCACAGTGAGTGGTGTGTCACACTGTGTGTGGTGTGTCACAGTGAGTGGTGTGTCACAGTGTGTGGTGTGTCACAGTCAGTGGTGTGTCACACTGAGTGGTGTGTCACACTGAGTGGTGTGTTACACTGTGTGGTGTGTCACACTGAGTGGTGTGTTACACTGAGCGGTGGCACAGTGCTACACTCGCTGCGTTCGCCTTCGGCCCGCAGCGTCGCCCTGATTGGTCGAGCTCCGCGCGTGACACGCAACGGGCTCGCTCCTGATTGGCAAAGGCGCCGCGCGTCACCTTTGCCCCCTCCCCTCTCCGAGGTCACAAACCTCGGATATGACGTCACCGGCACGTGACTAGCGCCGCCATATTACCTAGGGGAGATGTAAATTTGTGGTCTCAATAAATCGTAATCTTGATTTGTCCTGCAGGAGGAATTCCTCACCTGTCAACCCCTTATCAGTGCTCTACCTTATTACAGACAAATTCAGATCTTATTGGTCACCCCGTGTCCGTTATAAATATCCACGTTCATCCTACAGTCCCATCACAAGGGAGAAAGAATAAGTATAACCCGTAAAAACAAAGTTTTTCACTCTAAATCCTTTATATGCGTGGCGGCTAGAGTCCTCTCGTCCTCTGGCTTGAGATGGCTGCCACCTATGGGTCAGATGATTGCCTGCCACCATTAAGCAATTGGTAATTAAATATAATTTATTTTTTCCTAAAAAGTGTAAAATTTTGGAAAAAATTTTCACGAAAATAAATTGTCGCTAACAACGAGTGTGTGCAAAATGTCAGCTCGATTGGATCACGGGAAGTGGGTTAAAAAACGACCGAAAGATTTGCACGGTCGTAAGCGCGCAAGCAAGCAAGTGAACTTCATATAAAGGATTTTAAAAAGACAAAACGTGACTAGCGCCGCCATATTATCCAGGGGAGATGTAAATGTGTGGTCTCAATTAATCGTAATCTTTATTTGTCCTGAAGGAGGAATCTCATACCTGTCAACCCCTTATCAGTGCTTAACTTACAGGCAACCTCGTGCCCCTTACGAATCTTAAACTTTCATTCTACAAAGTCCCATCATAAGGGAGAAACAGACAATGTCTTTTTGCCCGTATTGAAACAGCTGTAACGCCGTATGGACCTGAAAACTGAATTTCCCTGTACAAGAATACGGGGTAAACTGTATGGGTGGGGCAGGTATGGAATACGGTGAGCTATAAACACAAACAAAACTAAACCTCCCCCATCCTCTTCTTGGTTCTTTCGGTAGTCACGTAGAAGGGAAGTAATACAATAATAAAAATAAAACATAATAAAATAATGAATGAATTCATTCTTCACCTGAGGACGGCTGCTTGCGTTGTGACTGAAACGTCGTGAGAATTATTTTATTGTTTTATTTTTATTATTTTATTACTTCCCTTCTACGTGACTTTACCGAAAGAACCAAGAAGATGAATCCCTGCAGTCACGAAAGCTTTAAATCGAAACTCCCCCATCCTACCCAGGCAAAGGCCACTGAGTTATTAACTTATTGTTCACAAGCTACCTGGCCACAAATGATAGCTCACCAAAGTGGCCTTATCATTTGGACATTTATAGCAGCAAAATTATCCAAATCATCTCAATGCATGGTTCTAAATGTGGAGGGAAAACCGAAGGAGCCGGATAAGAAAATCCAGGCAACCACGGGGAGAGAGACACAAACTCCAAATATACAGCAGCAGGTGTCAGGGTCGGTATCTACCCCCGATCTCCTGCATACCGGGCGAGGTACTTAACATCTCACCACCGTGGCGTCCCTTGAATAAATAAATGAACACATACATCAACTGCTGTGGGTAAAGTCCTGCAGAGCCAGTGGTGGAAATTCCACATCCCCATGATGAGGTCAGTCTTTTTTCTATAAAGGATAGCCAATCGCCGTTGAACTCCCCACAAATTGGTTGCAATATTATCACCCCGGAGGGATTATGGGCTGAGTCGATCCCCCATGCAGGATATGCTTTTATAAAGAGCACGTTGAACTTATTTCGAACCGTACGTAGCCAGCCGTGCTCATCGATGGTGCGAGCTAATGAAAAAGAAAAACAATGTGCCTCCTTCCCATATCAGTCCCTCCACACACAAAATTATATTGTTTTAACTGAATGTCAAAAACGGTCCACTTTGCTCAAACAAATGGCGCTGGAATGCTGCACTTCCAGAAGGTTCTACACTATGGGAACCTCATTGCCAGTAAAAATATGATAATTGGTTTTTTACCCTTCTATCTGGCAACAAAACTGACACCTTTTTACAAGGAGTCATGTTTGCATAGACCGCAATACCTGCAGTATTATGACTGCAGGTATTGCGGTCTATACAAACATGACTCCTTGTAAAAAGGTGTCAGTTTTGTTGCCAGATAGAAGGGTAAAAAACCAATTTACAGAAGGTTGTGTGGCTGACGAGTTGTATGAAGGTCACTTGTGTGTGGTGGGACAGATATGTGAAGGCTTGGGGCTGTTTCTTGTTTATATTGTACACAATGCCAATGTAATGCAACAGTATGCTAAGCGACCCTTTGGTTTTTCGGTGTCATTTAATAGGTTGCATGTATATGTACAAGTGTTTATAAAGCATTACAAAGACACATGCTTAGCATATAATCCTAAATCATAGCATAAGGAAAGCAGATACAATTGAAAGCATAATAAACCATCAGTAAACAAAACAAACATTTTCATTTGAAACGTACAATTGGAAGGTATAATCTGTCCTCTGGAATTCGAAAGTCAAAAGAAGCCTGTCTTTCAATAACTGAGAAAGTGTTTGCGTTGTCAGCGAATTACAAATACAAAAAACTTTCGCGCAATTTTTTCATTGCGGCAATTCAACGCTGAGGCACCATGACGTGGACGGTGTATGTCAAGTATTTGATGTTTGGTGGTGTTACATTAAACAGGCCATGCCTTGCGGATGAGACTGTGTGCCGTCTTAATTCAGGTGACGATGTTAAGCAATCATTCGTGGACTGTAAATGCCTCTAATTTGACCACCAATGCAGATTCCCACCACCTGTTCTGCCATCAGTGTCCACTCAGATGCATATTTACAACGTGAGGTATGCGAGCCTTGTGCAAGTGTCTTTTATTGACGGTCTATGCAAGAGCAGTACGTCACCTTAACGCAAGCTTCCAAACAATTTCTACCCTTGTTCCCGAAATGACTGACGTTGCGAATTGTGTTGTCGTGTCACTACCACGTCATTAGTACATTTTGTTGGTTAGGCCATGTAAACGATCCGACCAAACTTGTGTTTATAACAGAGTTTTTTTTGTTGTTATATCGCGTAAATATAAATGTGTCGTTAAACCCGCCACCACTTGAAAGCCAATTCGTAAGGTTTGTCACGTAAAAAAAACATGCCAATTCATTACTGTTTTGTTAACGTGACAAACCTTACTAATTGGCTGTGTCGGGTGGTGGCGGGTTTAAAGACACATTTATATTGGTCGAGAAAGCCTACATGTTAAACACCAAATATGGCCAAACAAATTAAATTGTCGTGTGTGCATGCTTTCAATGCGCCATGGCCATAACAACTGTTAAAAGCCACGGTGGCATGCGCCCAATCAATGACGTTCAGGAATGAGAAAGAAAACTGGCAAGTTGAATTACCTTGATGTGCACCCCCCCACATCAATTATTGCTGTCCGTTCTGCGAGCCTGTTGTTGCGTGAGCGTGTGACTCGGCCGTGCCAGGGCACGGTGTACAGGGGGCCGAGGCATGTGCCGTTTCCTGGAGGGGTGGGATTGAGAACGCGGCAATGTTTCCCTCCGACTCGGCGTGAAACGTGGCGAGCTGAGTTACATCGGCGTGGGAGGTCTGCAAGTGCTCGCTCAGCGCTTGCGCGTCGACGGTGGTTTGCGTCGCCACGTATTGCGCATCCGTCGTAGGTATTTCCACGTACTGCGTTTCCATTGAGGGTATTTCCACGTACTCTGTGTCTGTGCTGGGTATTTGCACATACTGCGTTTCCGATGTGGGTATCTCTACATATTGTGTGCCTGGTATGTCCATGTGTCGTATATCCATCTCTTGTGCGTCCAAATGTTGTGTTCCTGATGTGACGATGTCCATAGACTGTGTGTCTGTTAAGTCCTCATGCTGTATAACCATGTGTTCTGCACCTTCTGTGTCAATATCGACATACTGGGCATCTTCCATAGGAATATTCACATGCTGTATGGTCATGTGTTGTGTGTCAGCAGTCGAGGTCTCCATGTGTTGTGTGCTAGGTATTAGTATGTACACATGTGTGTCTGGTGTCGAGGTGTCCATCTGCTGTATGTCAAGATGCTGTGCGTCTACCTGCTGTATATCCATGTGCTGCGAGTCTGATAATCCGATATCCATATGAGTGTACACCTGTTGCATGTCCAAATGTTGCGTATCCATGTGTTGTGCGTCTTGTATGGGTACGCCCATGTGTTGTGCTTCTGTGGTAGCCGTTTCTGGTGCAAACGTGCCCACGTGCGTGTCCACAAATAGCGTTTCTTGCGTGCCTCTCTCAATGTCCTGAGCATCTGACGTGTGCGTGTCTATAAGTTGCGTGTCGGCTGTCGGTGTTTCATCTGCATGCTGCACAGTCTCATATTGTACGTATGCCGTATGCATCTCCTCGGCATGCTCCACACTCACATATTGTGTGTGTTCTGGAGGTGTCTCCTCTGATTGCTGCACTGTCACATATTGTGTGTGTGCATTGGGTGCCTCCTCTGTTTGCTGCACAATCACATATTGTGTGTGTGCTGTGGGTGTCTCTTCTGTTTGCTCCACACTCACATATTGTGTGTGTGCATTGGATGTCTCCTCTGTTTGCTGCACCGTCACATATTGTGTGTGTGCTGTGGGTATCTCCTCTGTTTGCTCCACACTCACATATTGTGTGTGTGCTGTGGGTGTCTCTTCCGTTTGCTCCACACTCACATATTGTGTGTGTGCATTGGATGTCTCCTCTGTTTGCTCCACACTCACATATTGTGTGTGTGCAGTGGGTGTCTCTTCTGTTTGCTCCACACTCACATATTGTGTGTGTGCAGTGGGTGTCTCCTCTGTTTGCTGCACTGTCACATATTGTGTGTGCTGCAGTGGGTGTCTCCTCCGTTTGCTGCACAGTCACATATTGTGTGTGTGCAGTGGGTGTCTCCTCCGTTTGCTGCACAGTCACATATTGTGTGTGTTCAGTGGGTGCCTCTCCCGTTTGCTGCACAGTCACATATTGTGTGTGTGCAGTGGGTGTCTCCTCCGTTTGCTGCACAGTCACATATTGTGTGTGTGCAGTGGGTGCCTCTTCTGTTTGCTGCACGGTCACATATTGTGTGTGTGCAGTGGGTGTCTCCTCTGTTTGCTGCACTGTCACATATTGTGTGTGTGCAGTGGGTGCCTCTTCCGTTTGCTGCACCGTCACATATTGTGTGTGTGCAGTGGGTGTCTCCTCTGTTTGCTGCACAGTCACATATTGTGTGTGTGCAGTGGGTGTCTCCTCCGTTTGCTGCACAGTCACATATTGTGTGTGTGCAGTGGGTGTCTCCTCCGTTTGCTGCACAGTCACATATTGTGTGTGTTCAGTGGGTGTCTCTTCCGTTTGCTCCACACTCACATATTGTGCGTGTGCAGTGGGCATCTCCTCTGTTTGCTGCACAGTCACATATTGTGTGTGTGCAGTTGGTTGCTGCACTCATATTGTGTGTGTGCAGTGGGTGTCCCCCCCGTTTGCTGCACAGTCACATATTGTGTGTGTGCAGTGGGCGTCTCCTCCGTTTGCTGCACAGTCACATATTGTGTGTGTGCAGTGGGCGTCTCCTCCGTTTGCTGCACTGTCACATATTGTGTGTGTGCAGTGGGTGCCTCCTCTGTTTTCTGCACGGTCACATATTGTGTGTGTGCAGTGGATGTCTCCTCCGTTTTCTGCACGGTCACATATTGTGTGTGCGGTGTGGGTGTATCAATATGCTGTGTGTGCGATTCAGAAGTTTGCTCGTACTTCATGCCCGGTGTTTTTGTGTCTGCGTGCTGCAAGTCTGGCACTTGTATGTCCACCGTGATGATGTTGAGAGTGTGCAATTCGGTGGAGAGCAGACCTGTGTTGTGCACATCATCCATGTGTCGCTGCAGTTCGTCAGGCCGCGTGAACCAGTGGTCGCATGTTAGGCAGTGGTTCGGGCGTTCTCCCATGTGCTCCGTCAGGTGCTCTTTGAACTTCTCCCACTGCTGAAATGACCTCGTGCAAATCTGCTTAAACAAACACACACACAAAGAAAAATATCCCCCGTATAGCCTTAACAGACTGTTGGGGCAAGTGCTGTTAGCGAGCACCTATGAAGGCCGGCACGGCACTGGAGGGGGTGGGTGGCCAGCACCACGTCTGATCGCCTTTGTCTCCCCAGTGGCGATGTTGACACACCGCACCAGGTACTCATTTGAGGCTGAGTCGACCTAGGGGAGGCCCAGGAACCTGTTCAGATAATCGTCACTGGTGTTGGCCTTGAGCGGGAATCGAACTCGGGTCGCCGGGTTTGTAGTGCAGCGTGCTAACCGCTACACTACTGCTCCCCACAAACACACACACACATTCACCCACATCAGTTTCACATTCATTTAAGACTTTCCACAAATTATATACGTGTCATAAGAAGGCTCATGGAGCTGTAATTACTCAAGTTGGTTTTATCTTTCTTATGAAGCGAAGAATGATTTGAGGCATCTTTCAGTGATTTAGGTACTTCATATCGACGTAAAAATCATTGTGAAGAGGCCCGCTAATTTTGTTCGAGCAACGAGTCCCGGATATTTGATGGGTGTCCGCAGTTACACCATCCGGCCCAGTAGTTTCTCCCCGTTTTAACCCTGCCACCAATCAAGCTCGCGGTACGGCGCCCATCGCGGTGCCCGTTGCGCAGAGGGCATCTTCGCACCTGGCACTCGTACACCTTCCGACGGCCCTTCTTGGCACCAGAGGCCGAGGAGCAAGCCTGCAAGTGCGTCTTCAGAGTGCCCTTCCGGCCAAACTGCTTGGGGCAGTTTGGGCACTCGAACGGCTTCTCGCCTGCAGCCCCCGACACGGTGACAAAGAGACAACAGCTCGCGGATGAAACACTCCCAACACATTTTAGCACCTTCCAATTAGCATCGTTGGCCATGTACGGCACGAAAGAAGTTCAACACACGTACATTTAACTACGATATTCTTAACGAGTAGTTTCTTTTTTTGCGGCCAGTATGATTCATGATTGATTGCTGGGTTAGACCACGTAATGATCTGGCTGAATGTGTGGTCGAAGGAAACCTCCACCACCGGACAAAGTGAAACAAATTAAATTTCCATGTGTAACTAGTAAACCTGTTATTGTTTTAGCTCACTAAATAGAAGCATTTGTAATGGTACATATCTAGTTATTTCTTTTATTGTTTTGATGTCATGACGCAGATTTAAGAATCCGAGTCAAGTAAGATACTGATTCTGACTTCATCGATCTTATCCTGAAGATGCTTGACGCAGTTAAAAGCAAAACGTTGTAACTGATCGTTAAATCTGGTTGTGAGACTTGTTTTTCAACCTACGGTGAGTTGACACAATAATAATTGGCTCGTTTTCAAATGCTTATACGTGTGGTAATTTAGTTTTCTTGGGCTATGTTTCTTTAAAGGTGCATTTGAAAAATTCGATACTCCTACTGGTTCACTGAACGGCACTCATTAATTCCTCCGCCCATGTTGACGACTGGGTCGACCAGACCATCTCATCCACAATGTACGTGTGTATGTTGAACCTCTTTCAGCTCTCGTTCACACGTGTTTACCCACCACACTGTACGTCTTAAAAACTCTATTTCCGCTTCTTCCTTCTGGCACTGCTCCACTTTGGAATTCCCTCTCATCGTCACTTTTTTTCCCAAACTGCTTCCAATAACCTTGCTCAATTCAAGAAACCTCTTAACTCACAACTCTTCGAACTTTGATCGTGCCGTTTGTTGCTAGCCGCTTGACATGCATGGCATTTGGGCCTGATCAGCAACTGTGATCAAATAAAAAGCTAAACAGCTCCGCGGTTTCAACTTCAGTCTTCTTCGGCACGTCTCCTGTCCAACCTTTCTGGTCTTTTCCTAACTTCAGCCTAAACCAATAAACACAGCTAAAAACAGTTGGCATGCGTCCTGGTACGATTTAAACGATCAGCAACCGATACAAGAACAGGTCTCAACAGCACGCCAGCTCCCGTAACCGACGTGTCGTCCCGCAACTGCGTTAAGATGATCTCACCCGTGTGCTTTCTCAAATGCTCCTTGAAGTGCCCCTGATGGCGGAAGATCTTGTTGCAGTAGATGCAGGTGCGTATGATGTTGGAGTTTTGCGCGCCCGCGTCTCCGCTCGCCTCGTCCTCATCCTCTTTGTGGTGACACGCCACGTGCTGCTTCCACGCACGCTCGCGCGTGTACTTCTTACCGCAGTCCTGAGCAGGCGCGCGCACGCGCGGACACGGAAAACATCACACGCCATGCGAACGGGAGCTGTTTAGAATACTGTTTGTTCGCCATGGGGGAAAAAAAACTTGCAGCCCATCGCAAGCGCAACGTGAAGGCAGCAATCTGATCTCTTACTCTTTGGTTCTTTCGGTGTGCTTAATGAAGACACGTTTAATCAACTGCCTTACTACTTGCTCTTAGATTTGGATCACAAACATGGTCATTAAGAAAATGGAACAAAAACTTAAATGTGCACGAAAAATGATAGAAATGTGCACGCTTGGAAACAAATATAAAGAGGAACAAGTGAAACAATCACAGACGCACGGTAAAGACATTCTGTTAATAAACTTAATTCGGATTGATTCACGGGAATTGATGGAGTGGCAGCCACAGCAAGGAAACTACTCTTTGGTTCTTTCGGTAAAGTCACGTAGGTATAAAATAAAATAAATTAAATAAATTTTCTACCTAAGTGACTTTACCCAAAGAAGCAAAGAGTATGGATCTCTGCAGTCTCGAAAACTTTTAATCTAAATCTAACCTCTTATCAAGTCTAACACGTGAAGCTTGTTTTGAATTTCCCAACAGAATAGTAGTGATGATTTTTTATACAGCGCCTTTTATGCTGGGGCATCTCACGAGTGATTTACACGCGAGAAGGACAATGCAATCAACGCCCCCTACTTGCAGACTCAGGACCGCTTTCAGGCCAGGTGATGAGTCACCTCGCGCCGTGCAGGAACAGCTGCCACTGGGGGGGCACCCTTTCAAATTTTCGAGACGAAAATGCGACGTATGTCGCTGATTATACACTGGTCAACAAAAAAAAAATTTCTGGCCTGGACTTTTGCAGCTGTTTTAGACTAATTCCAGATTTGCTCTATCACATCTCATTTTTATGCTATCGGCATACCCCATTTTCATTGATTTTACCCGAAATTAACTCTGTCACTTATGATTGCAAGTTGTTGCGAGTCAGTGACTGCTTCAGTGTTAAAATATGGTGCTGTATTTTTAGGATAGTGTGTTTATAATATCATTTTATGTAGATATCCACATTTATTTAATATTTTTCTTCTGCAGTTTTTATTGAAAATGCAATATTTGATATGTGATAGACAAAAACTGATGCCAGATTTGGAATCAGCACCCCAAAATTACCTTAAAACCGTTGGAATACCTTATGCCAGAAAAAGTGTGTTGACCAGTGTTATACGTGTCAAGTGCTCCGAGATGCCCCCTCCCCCCCATTATCATCTTTCTCAGACGAGCCTGCACGCATTTTCAAGGCGAAGGAGTTTCTCAACGTATGCCGACGACGCTGGCATGGTGCACGCTGCGCGCGCGGTGAGAGGCACTCGGATCGTGTGCGTTGGCTCACCTTGCAGGTGAACTTGGGTCCCGCGTGAGTGCGCAGGTGCTCCCGGAAATGGTAGTACATGCGGAAGGAGCGGCTGCAGTACTTGCAGCAGAAGAGTCTCTCCTGAGGTGGTGGAGGTGGGGGGACTTCACTTGTGGAGCTCACTTCTACCTCCACTCCGCCCCTCTCCACTAGCGCTCCTTCCAGGCAATCCTCCGTCAGCTCCAGCTCCATGGCCGGACACTGGCACAAAAAAGGTGAGATACACAGAATCAGAATCTGCATTTATCCTGTAGGAATCCGATGAGCTATGAAGCTCTTTTTATTTCGGTTTACAGATGTCCAGTAGGTACACCTTAGGATGATTAATTATAATATTAATTTATTTATACTGCAGGAGGAATCCGTTGAGCTATAAAGCTCTTTTTCACAGATGTCCAGTAGGGGCGTGTGAGAAAGTTGCCACAACAAACAGTACAAAAACACGATAAAAGTGCCAAGTATAGGAACGGTAGCAAATCACAAAAATATATGTTTATTTTACTAGGTAAAGCGCACTGAGCTATTAGCTTATTTTTCAGAAGCGACTTGGCCACAAATGAAAACTCAATGAAGTGGCTTATCACGTGGAAATGTATAGCAGATAGGGTTGTTGTTGAAAAAACAGCATTAACTTAATAATGTTTATCAGAACTTCAACGGGATAAATCAATCACGGACTTAACTAATCGCAATAATGATTCATGTATGGCACAGCGGTAGTGCATTCGTACGCTTGCTGCAGAGGTTCTTGGTTTGAACCCTGCAAGCCGCCCTGGTTAATACTGCCAGGGTATTAAGTATAAAATAAGTGGTTTGCTTCTAAGTAGGCGTGAAAAAATTCCATGATACAACACTTGTGTTGCCGGCGTTATGGTCCAAATTAGAATTGTTTGACCTACAATTTAGATTTTGCAAAGCATCATGGCCCCTTACGCTGAAACTACTGCAGACTATGTGAAACAAAACAGGTGTTAAGATGTTAAAACACCAAACTGACACCTTTTACAAGGAATCATGTCTGCATTAACCACAATGCTTGTGGTCAGAATGCAAACCAAAAACACTGATAATATATGGATTGTCCTTGAAACTGATTGGTCCACAACCAGAGACAGCTTTCTTTTGAGCCTCGTCTAAAAAAATGGCACGAATACCAAATGTATAAACCATAATAAAGGTTTTTTGAGTTAGATTGTGACAATATAAATGTGTCGTAAAACCCACCACCATCCGACACACCCAATTAGTAATGTTTGTCATGTAAAAAAAAGTGCCAATTAGTTACTAGTTCAGCACACCGTTGTGTTGGAGAGTAAACCCACAATATTTACAATTCGAGTACTGCGACGTTTCGCCGGTGATCACAACAACCAGCTTCAAACAGCCGATCGGCCAGAGTTGTGGAGAATTCCTCCTAACGTACTAAACTAGTCACGATTATCAACCACTGGGTGTACTCGGCGAGGAGGCAAATGGATTAGCGAGTGCTCACCTGCGAATCCTCCCCCACCTGCTCCTGCTCATATTTGCTCGTGATGTCAGCGAGCAGAGCCAGGGCTGATCCACCCTCGCCCCCGCCGCCACCGACCCCCTCGGTCGCCTGCTTCGGAGTATTCCCTTGCTGCGGATTCTTGGCACTCTCTGGGTTGGGCAGCTCTGGCAGCGTTTCTGTCACGACCTTATGAGTGTCGAAGACTTTCCGGTGATCCGATGACTTTTTCGCACTCGTCTGCTTGGAAGTTTTCTGCCTGCAAGGCACAGCGGACGAGCGATGCAAGTCTGGCTCCTGTATACGTGTCACCCATGCTGTTAAGATATGAACCAACAAGATCCCTCAGATCCTCTGGTACTGGTGTTTTAGTCGTCTCAAAGGCCAGGACTAAGAACCTACGGGAGAAGCGGCTTTTAGTGTTTGCGGTCCTTGCCTGTGGAACAGCCTGCCAGGGGATCTGAGGACTTCAGAATCATTAAGCACTTTTAGAAATACATATAAAAACTAACTTTTTAAAACTAGCTTTGAATTCGAATTTTTCTTCATAAGTGACCTTCAATTTGTGCAAATTCACTGCTCCGATACTTTATTCTGCTTTCGGTCGCTGGGGTTGAAATAAATTGGAATTCGATACAATATCTGGAAAATCACTGAGAAATTTATATTTTACCATAATGTAGAAGCATAAATTAGACTTACCTTTTGTCTCAAGTGCTGAAGAAATAAATAAAGACACCAAATACACTTTGTTGCTGCGTATAATTAATTATTTATGAGATTCACTTTCAATAACATACTCTGATAATGTATGCATTATGTTTAGAACCGATTGGGACTGTCTCTGGTGTGGACCAATCAGTTTCAATGCATATATCATCAGAGTATGTTTTGTGTTTGCAATCTGAGCACAAGTATTGTGGTTAATGCAGACATGATTCCTTGTAAAAGGTTTCAGTTTGGTGTTTTAACATCTTAACACCTGTTTTGTTCCCAGAAAAAAAGGGGAAAAAACGATTACCATAGTCGGAATCAAGTCTAGAAGAATAACTGTGTCATCTTACCCAGGTCGTAAATAGGTGTCCTGACAACTATTTAACAATTATTTAATGTTGTATAGCATCATCCATGATAATTGCATCCCAGAATGCCATAGATTAATGTTATATAAGGGCTAATTCCTTTTTATAGGAACTACCAAGCAAATGAAAACTATTAAGATAAAAAAATCAAGTCAATATATGGCACCAAAACAAAAGCTACAAACAACAAAAAAGTTATCACCATGGCGAAATTATGTTGTTAAGTCGCATCCCACATACCCAACTTCTTACACGGGCCAGGAAACCTTTCAGGAGGAAACAGGGCAAGCACTTTACTTGTTTGCGCATATTCTTGGTCCTTTCGGTAAAGTCACGTAGAAGGGAAATAATAAAATAATATAAATATAAGTCAATATTTTATTACTTCCCTTCTACGTGACTTTACCGAAAGAACCAAGAATATGAATCCCTGCAGTCACGAAAGCTTTAAATCAAAATTTGTTTGCTCATGTTGGGTAGCGAAGGCTCATGGGACAGAAATTTGGCCAGATCATTGGGGCCTCACCCAAAAATATATTACGAATCATACTACTGTCTGTGAAAATCTACATGTTGAGTCACGGTTACGAACGCAGTTATTTTGTACGTATCTTTAACTTCTTTAGTACCCTACGTAGTCAACCGTGCTCATTTTGAAACCCATACCTGGCCGTGAGCGTCCGTATCGCCTCTTCCATCTGCAGGTACTTCGCTGCCTTCAGAACGTTGGCCAAGCTCGCTGGGTTCATGCCCTCAACAGCGAAACGCGCCGCGTACGTGAACTCCAACAGGTGGCGAAACGCCTCCACGCTTACGCCTGCACCCACGCGCGCATAACATCAAAGCGCAGAGTCGATACCACAATGTCCTCTCTCACTGCCGCAGTGCTTTTTTAGTTCTTGCTAAATGGAGTCAACCGTGCACTTTATCGCGCAAGCTATATAAAGACACATGAACGGTACACTGATTTTTTTTTACCGTACAGGCTACAGCTATATCACGTCACTTATTAATCGTTATTGTCATAATTCTTTCTGAATAACCAGTAACAGAATAACAAAATAGTTACCATTTCACCACACAAAGAGAAATGTCAAGCAATAAACAAAGCGAATTTGCCTTTTTAGTCGAGGTCGCTGGTTCAATTACATCTCCCTGTACATCATCACTAACCAAATTCGTAATTACTTTTTCGGGTTAGGCCACAACAATCTAGCCAAATGTTTATTGTGAAACCCTCCACCACCCGACACAGCCAAACAAATACAATCATCACGTTTACAAGCGTCATTCAGACACAATTGGTCAAACTTCCATGATTCTATCCTGAATTCCTGGTCTCTGACCTAAAGATTGCTCGACATAGTTTCAAGCGAAACTTCGTGTATAATTACCAAATATGACTTTGTGAATTGATCTCAAACTTACCGGAGAGAAGAAACAATCAAACTTGGTGCATTATACATTTCTACATTTGACAGTTACATTTTTTTGGCTAAGTCGGGTGAAGGAGGGTTTCACAACACAAACATATGTTTTTAAATGAATTAATAGATATTTGCATTATGCTCTATGACGTTACAATATATATCAGAACGCAGATCCCCCTATTGGCAGATGTCCCTGCACGCCACAAAAGTTGAGAACATTTGGCTTGGCGACAGGAATTAGTCTGCCAGTAGGGGGCGATAATTGCCGTGTGCAGTCCCAACCGAGCGATTTTCCAGCGTAGCTTTTCGAATTTGGAAAATTCGGACCTTGACACCAAGCACATGATGGCCGACCAATTTCCAATTATGTAAATGGTTCTTTAACATCCGCTCCGAGCGACGCAGACGGTGTGCAGTTAAATTTAGGTGAGTACAAACCGCAGTAATTACTTATCGCGGGCCTGCCAGATTCCAACAGCGGTACTTTTGCAACAAGCGGCAAACACGTGTTACTGCTGGGCCATATAAAAGTCGGTAAATGAAACTTAAACAAAGCGTACCTCCATAAGATCAGCACGCTGAATTAATCTACTTCGGTCGCACCTTGTGGAACAGGCAACGTTTTATGTGTTCCAATGGGTTTGGTTCATCTCCTCGTTAAATGAAGGATACAAAAGCCGATACATTCGGTTTAGGTCCGTGACTTGCACACTTATCCAGGAGCCTATTTGTTATCAAGGCTTTTGTATATGTTCGACATGATTGTAAATACTCAACGTCACCGCCCTACGTCAACTGTTACGTGGGTGTCATGGGCACATTCTCACCCTCAATCTCGACAAGTGGCTCGTTGTGGAAGTCCTGGAAGAACGTGTGGAAAAAGTTACTGCTTGCAGCCAGAACCGCTCTGTGAGCTCGAAACTGCTGCCCTGTACACACGCGCACACACACGTAGGAATGCAAATAGATAATTTTCAAGTGCACGTATATATACAACAAAGACCCCCGTATAGCCTTAACAGACTGTTGGGGCAAGTGCTGTTCGCGAGCACATATGAAGGCCAGCAGGGAACACGAGGGGGTGGGTGGCCAATACCATGCTCGACCGCCTTTGTCTTCCCAGTGGTGATGTTTACACACCGGTACTGAGCACTTATTTGAGGTTTAGTCGACCGAGGGGAGGCACATGACCTATTCAGATAATCATCACTGGTGTTGGCCATGAGTGGGAATCGAACTCGAGTCACCGGGTTTGTAGTGCAACACACTAACCGCTACACACACACACAGGCATATCGGCACAGTTAAATTTATGCAAGAATTAAGGTTATTTAACAACCAATAAACAGGTAACCATTTTTGAATCAATTACAGGTTCCAAAAGTCTGGATCCCACTCAAATTGAAGCCGACATAAATTCAAATGAAGACAGCCAGACATCAGACAGTCACGTGACCTCTCTGTTATCCGAATCGAAGCTGATGTCCCAGTTGGCCAACAGCGTAAGTTGTAATCAGATCCGTTCAGATTTTTTTTGGCAACGGGATTTTGACAATTAAAAAATGCTGTGGGACCCATTGCCAGGGAATGGTGATTGGGGAGTGCGAGTCTCACCAGACACAATGAGGGTGATGTCTGTGAAGTGTTCGTGCTGTCGCTGCTCGTTGAGTTTGTCCAGGATGTAGCGGAAGTGCGTGGGAACCTCATGCGCAGCCCACGCCATCTAAGGAACAATGGCCACGATTAACACGACACAAGCTGGAGAAACTTGAAACGGTAATGTGACAGTGATGTAACACGTGGGCTTTTTCAGCTGTTTCCTAAAACCCAGGAAGTCATCATTCTGGGTTCCTTCTGAATTCCTGGATTTTAGGGTTGGGCGACTATCCTGAAGATACTTCGTGTATTTTCAAGTGAAACATCATATCCAAATGATGTTTGAGAGAATTGTTCGACTTACCGGTGAGCCGAAAATAATTGGCGCGTTCAACGCCTGTACACATGACCATTTATTTGGCTGTTGGGTGGAGGATGATCTCGCGACAGAAATGTTGCCAAATCAAAAAATCTATAACAAGTCATTAAACAACGTTTTATTTGTTAAGCACGCAAATCGCATCTCAAAATTATATTGTAGAAATAGTGTCATGCATGGAGGCGCAGGAAACGACAGCAAGTCCTCGTTTAACACATTACATACGTTCCTAAAAAAGTGTCGTGTTAAGCGAAAACAATTTTCCAGTTAATAACTTAACAGATATAGTTTGGTGAGATGTGATGCACGCACACGCACGGTGAGATGGCGTACCGTATCATACAGTTCAGCCGCCAAGCTCAAGAAAGTGCAGGTAGTCCCCGACTTACGATGGTCTGACTTACGATATTTCGATCTTACGATGGCGATATGACAAAATAGTAAAATATTTTTCATTTCGCGCGGCAGGCAAACGCAGCAGCGTACGAGGTATGATACTGTACGTTGGGACGCTGCCGGAATGTACTGGACGCATATAGTTTATACAGTACGGTACTGTAAATTGCTCTGTTTTGCTAAATTATTACCATTATTTAAGACTCCTGGGGTAGGCTAGGCCATTTTCGACTTACGATATTTTCGACTTACGATGGGGTCGTCGTAACGCATCTCCATCGAAAGTCGGGGACTACCTGTAGAATGTCGTCGACCACTCAGTAACCGCGTTATAACGGTGCGTCTTACGCGTTATAACGATGGGCCTGATGTGTTATAACGGTACATGTTACGCGTTATAATGGTGCGCATGCTACATTGTCGCACCTACGACTGACACAGTTGGCTACGTACCGTGCAAAAGAAATTCAACATACATTGCGCAAAAAGTATTCCCCAAATGGAAGAACCGCGCTTTAGTGAAAATGCGTTATAGTGTGAACACGCGTTAAGCGAGGATTTACCGCACAGCCAAGTAGAAATAAAAGCAGCTATAGAACTTGTGGCCAACAATTTCCCAAACCTTGTAGTCTTCTAAAGGAAGGTTGGGCCATCTTCATTGTTTGTACATTTGGTGTGCCGGTTTTGCACAGGAGCCCTATGCCACTCCCCGTCCTCTTTGCCATGAGCCCCCCCACATTATTTTCCGCACGTACGGATTTTTATTTTCAGCGCATGTCGTACGGAAATTAAGGCGACACCTAATGTAACGTTCCTACAGGCACTTAAAACTTTAAATTCACGACTTCCGTCGTGATAACCGCGCCCATCGCGATAACGATTCGAACTCGGCAGGCAGGCCTGGTCATTACTGTGGGGGTATTAACCACAGAATGCTTGTCGCCATTTGCTTCAGTCCACGTTAAAGATTCCATGATGTAATTCGCAAACAGTAGGCCATTCGTCGTGGTGCAAATTTGCCACATTCGAAAAACGACACAGCAAATCGCTCATTTGGGGTTATAGAGCACTATTTCCCCCCTACTGGCAGATTCATGGCCGCTTGCAAGCCAGGTGCTGAGCCACCTTGTGACCCCAAAGGCAGCTGCCACAGTGGGTCCCCACATCGACCGTCTGAGATGAGACGCGATGGATTTGACTATCGCCACGAGCGTAAAAACACCCAGACTCCGTCGAGTGACTCCACAACCTTGTCGAACTTGGGGCAGAATTTGCAAAAATAAATTGCGGAAACATTCCTGCGGAGGGAGCTGGTAAGAACGTCGGGTTGCTCGGTCAATGGCCAAGGTCAACGGCGGCGTGGTGTATTCCGCAAATATGCCCGACTGTGAGGGCGGGCACAAGCCGGCGTGAGTAGGTTAAACGTTGAGTTTTATAAGGGCACCACGGGGTGACCAGCCCCTCCCCACCCAGCCCCACCCTCCCCACCCAGCCCCTCCCATTTTTGGATGCACGACGGACGGACACAATAATCCCCTGTGGGCTGGTGGAACCAGGTGGTTCCTACCAGTAAAATCTCTCCTCTCGTGACGCACCTAGTCTCTCTGCTCACCCATTTAGCACCCATGTGGTCTCCCATCTCGTCTTCTGACGTGCTTTTCCATCCAGGCACCCATGTAGTCACCCATGCAGTCACCCTTCTACCCACCCATGTAGTCACCCATGTAGTCACCCTCTATCCACCCATGTAGTCACCCTTCTACCCACCCATGTAGTCACCCCTCCAGTTACTCATGTAGTCACCCTTCTACCCACCCATGTAGTCACCCCTCTAGCCACCCATGTAGTCATCCCTTCCAGGCACCCATGCAGTTATTCCTCTAGCCAACTATGTAGTCACCCTCCAGCTACCCATGTAGTCACTCCTCTAGTCACCCCCCAGTCACCCATGTAGTCACTTATCTAGCCACCCCTCTAGTCACTCCTCTACCCACCCATGTAGTCGCCCACGGAGTCACCCATGTAGTCACCCCTCTAGTCACCCACGCAGTCACCCCTCCAGCCACCCACATAGTCACCCCCCTCCCCTCCAGCCACCCAGGTAGTCGCCCACGGAGTCACCCATGTAGTCACCAATGTAGTCACCCCTCTAGTCACCCACGCAGTCACCCCTCCAGCCACCCACGTAGTCACCCCCCCCTCCTCCCCCCCAGCCACCCAGGTAGTCGCCCACGGAGTCACCCATGTAGTCACCCATGTAGTCACCCCTCTAGTCACCCCCCCCCCAGTCACCCCTCCAGGCACCCACATAGTCACCCCCCCCCAGCGACCCACGTAGTCGCCCTCTCGCGTCTCCCCCTCGTGTCTCTGCGCGCGCCGCCTCGCACTCAACTGACGTCATCACGCCGCGCCGATTACCGCCGCGAGAGTCCGCGGCGCGCGCGGGGGGGTGGAGGGCCGCCTCCTTCCTTCCCTCCCGCCTCCTCCTCCTCCTCCTCACCGCTTCCTCGAGCGCGGGCGACGTGGAAAAGAGGCGCGCGCGGACGGAATGAGGTGAAGGACGACGAGGAGGGGAGAGCGAGGGACGCTAATAATGGAGGCCGCCGCGGTCCGTCTCTCTCGCGTCCCCTCTTTGCATTTCCTCGCGCGCTTGGGAGGCTTCGCGCGCCCGATTGGCCAGGCCGCGCGTCACGTGGCCGCCGCGGGCCAATCCGCGCGCGCGCTCGGCGGGCTCGGCGCTTATCCGCTCTAGGGAATGTGAAGCGGCGGCGCTCACATTCCCTAGCTTGGATAGAAGCGGCCGTTCACATTCCCTAGTGCACATAGGGTTAATGGGGGGCGGGGCGGAGGTGGGGGGTGCGCGGTCACGTGGGGGACCCGCCACGCGTGCTGATTGTGCCAGGCTAGGTGCACCTTTGAGGCCAGGGTCCTCATCTCAAGAGGCGCGTGGGGTAATTCATGAGTAACTTTGTGGGATGAACACAATTTATAAGGGACACGGGGTGACCAATAAGGTCTGAATTGGTCTGTGATAGGGTAGGGCACTGATACTGGTAGGAACCTCCTGGTTACACCAGCCCACAGGGGATTATTGTGTCCGTCCGTCCTGCATCCAAAAATGGGAGGGGTGGAGAGGGGAGGGTGGGTTGGGGCTGGGTGGGGAGGGGTTGGGTGGGAGGGGTGGTGCTGGGAGGGGTGGGGGGTGGGAGGGGTGGGGCTGGGTGGGGGGTGGGAGGGGTGGGGCTGGGTGGAGAGGGGCTGGGTGGGGAGGGAGGGGCTGGGTGGGGAGGGGCTGGTCACCCCGTGGTGCCCTTATAAAACTCAACGTTTCACCTACTCACGCCGGCTTGTGCCCGCCCTCACAGTCGGGTATATTTGCGGAATACACCACGCCGCCGTTGACCATGCAGGCCATTGACCGAGCAACCCAACGTTGCTACCAGCTCCCTCCGCAGGACAACGTGTTATTGGAGGCATTATACTGGTAGGAACGAAGTGGACCAGACCACCAATAGATTAATGTGTCCGTCCTGTCCGTCCGTGGGAGGGGTGGTGTTGAGGGTGGTGTTGGAAATGAAAGACTACGAGTCTTTAAATCTCACAGCGTTTCTTGTCAAAACAAACACTTTTAATTAACGTTACACTAGAATACAGTATTTTTTTCTTTAACTCCTCTATACCCGGTCGATATCTCTGTACCGGTACTAAGTATTATTCCTACCAGCCCACCCCGCAGGGTCCTGTTATTTCCGTCGGTAGAGACTCCGACCAAAACCACCACAAGTGCTTTCCACCTGAACCATCACGAAACAGATGCCACCCTTAACGTGTCCTTCTGTGGTAGCCGAGTGCGCCTTGATCCACACTGTGATAAGACAAAAACAAGAATCGCCCTGCTGCGGAACATTGCAGGAACCACTCTGGGGCATCTCAGCTGATGTGCTGATGTTTAATGTAAATACATATGAATGTTAAAACAAAACCTACCTGCATATCGAATAAACATGTACACCTATTGCCTTGTATTGAAAATGTGATTTAAATAGCGCAGCTTTTAGGCCCCGGAATGGTTTGAGGCGTTGCTGTGTATTAGTCAATACTATAGAGCAGCGGTCGGGAACCTATGGCTCGCGAGCCATATATGGCTCGCGAGCCATATATGGCTCTTCCGGTGACGGCATATGGCTCCCAGACAATTTTGAGTTGAAAAAAAATCAGTTTGGAACTGATTTTAAAATACTTGTGATATTGCTTAATAATAGTGTGTCATTTTAAAGTAAACAGAAATTAGTTTTGAAGATAAATTTCACGGGTCACGGGTCCCGTGACCAGAAGTCGCATTAAAAGTAAGACATATTTAATTTATTATACGTTAAAAATACTATATGGCTCTCAATGAAAGATATTTAGAAATATTTGGCTTTTATGGCTCTCCCAGTCAAAAAGGTTCCCGACCCCTGCTATAGAGTCAAATCTTGATTTAAAGCTTTCGTGACTGCAGGGATTCATATTCTTGGTTCTTAAAATAATCGTATTTTTTATATTACTATTATTTGATTATTTCCCTTCTACGTGACTTTACCGAAAGAACCAAGAATACTATAGAGTGAGTTTCCTACTCAATTGAGCGTTGAGCCACTTGTTGTATACTAACCCTTCTTCCAAAATTGAGATTAATAATATTTGATGATATTTTTATATATTATCTTTTTACTTGTTTTTTTTAATGAATGAAACACACCAAAGCGCAGCAAACTGCAAAACACCAGGTGTTGTTAAGTAATGAACTGGAGGAGGGCTAGGATGGCAGAATTTGCAACCTTGCTTCAAGGAAAGATAAGGCCTGATGAACGGGCACATGTCACCCGTGCAGGCGGCAGAGACAGTGGGAGTGTCAGCCAGACATAGTTAAGGCAAAAAGCCCAACCATCCTGCATGGTTTTAAAGTAACGTCAAAATTCGAAATTCAACAACAGAGTAGGCTAAAGTATCGATCCTCGCGCTCGCTCAAATTGGAGACCAGGCTGCGAGCTACATCAATGAACCATTGCCCATTTGCTAATCCAATACTGAATGTTAATATTACTGAAGTCAAAACGAATTCTATGACCTCAGCACATGGGCAAATAATAGGGCAGTGTCGACTCAAAGGCAATGGAAGAAAGCAGAGGCGCCTTTGTCTAAATCACAACCACAGAAAGCCAGGAATCATCACTGATTGTGTGTTTAGGGATTCCGAGCTAGTTGGAACACGTGCACAGGGGAGGGAGCTGATTTAAACAACCCTGCACGTCTGAACGTGAGGGGGCCTTTGACCTGAAATTAAGAATAACACTCCCAGAGCAGAAGGTTGGATGGCCACAGTGAGACGAGAATAAGAGTGGTGTATATCTCTCAAGGAGGCAGACCCAGCTGAACAACAAGGCTGCGGGGGTCACCAGAAGTTCGCGTTCGCCTAGTTAAGACAAAAAGCTCAATTATTCTGTATTGCTATTAAAGTAACGTTAAAGTCGGAATTTAACAACAGGGTAGGCTAAAGTTATTGATATTCACACCCACTCCAATTAAACCAGGCCACAAGTTACGCCTACTGAACCATCACCATCATTAGGTCAATATGAAATGTTATTTCCATACTTTAATACTTTCTATACAACTCGACCCGAAGCATATGACAATCAGAACCTTCCTAAGTCAAAATTGAATCGCACCCAGACAGGAGCGAATAGTCGATATAAGGTTGAAGAGGGAAGGAAATTAAGAGCACGGCGAACTGCAAACGTAAGCAAAAAGCCGGGAACGACACCAGCCCAGCAACAGCGAGTCGGGCTTCGACAGGCCATAAAGTAGAAATAATAACTCCCGGGGTCAGGGGACACAAGAAGAAGCAGGCAGACAAAAACCAGAACTGACTCCAAGGTTCAACCGCCCTCACCTACAAGGAGTGACGGAAATTAATGAGGCCTTGAGTTAACGGCGTCAGCTGGACGGCAACAACAACGGCGAGCAGAGATAGGGTGGGGCAAAGACTGCGGGGCTATGGAATGCAACTTCGTGTCAGTAAAGTCCTGACAAACAAGTTAAGTTAAAGACATCACAATACATAATATCGTACATAACATCAATGTTAACGCTATTCACCGTAAACTATATTCCGCTTATATAACCATGCAGACACCAAGGAATACGAATTCCTAGGATCAAGAAACTTACCCTTAACCTAAGATATCGGAAATAAATTAATAATAATAAGCATATGCATGAAAAGACAAAAGTAAAACTTATGGAAAAGCCAGGATAACGGGATGAATCACCACCAGGTCGAATATAAATACATAATAAAAAAAAAACGATGTAAACCCAGGGTCGGAGAGAAAGGGAGATCCCGGCCAGTCTTTGTATCCCCGCAGCGCGGGATAGGAGTGTGTATACGCTCGGGGAAACACCTCCACTTGAGTCAAGCACCACGATGGGAAACGACAGACCTTAGGTTACATACAGAATCATAACTGTGAAATAGTAAGGGACAAATGTTAACTTAAAACTTTTTAACCATTTCTTTGTGCGCCGGGTCGGAGAGAGTGTTGCCCCTCCCTCCAGGTTGTGCAACACGAACAAAGACGCCTATGAGACGATTTGTAACGTCTGTGTTTTGGGTTCATGAAGAAGGCCAGACAAGAGATAATATTGCACCCAGACAGAGAGACGACTTCGAGGCAATTTGTAACATCTGATTGTTTGCTCGTGGGTTTTATGGAGGGAGTGTGACAACGGAATATACCGTGGGTGATGCACACAAGGACATACGGACGTACGGACACACACATGGACACACCTGCCTACGGACAGATCCTGACACAGCAAAAATCGAAAGAAGCCCCGCCTTGTGGGCGGGATCCAGGGGGATTTTTCGGCATAAAGGAAAGGATCCTGAGCATTGGAAACTAGTGCGACCAGCGGGTCGACTCAGGAGCGAGTGCGACCAGCGGGTCGACTCAGGAGCGAGCTCGACCGGGAGGGTCGGCTCAGGAGCGAGCTGCGACCAGCGGGTCGGCTCGACTCATCTTTAGCTCGTCTGGGACTCAGCCGAGTTCGATCGGCTTACCAAAGCCAGCTCTCGGGGCTCGACTCAAGCGGCTCCCCATCTCCTCTGCAGGCGGGCAAGACCCGCTTGACAGCTCAACTCGGCCTGCGTGGGTCAACCTCTGCCGAGTCGGAGGTCTCTGCTGCCGCCGGAGTGGTGAGGGTCGCGGTTTGGCGACGAGGCTCCGTGCACACCCTGGTCGACGACCCGACACTGCACGCTGCGAGCGAGTTGTGGGCGCCACCTACCGACCGGGTTCCGAACTGCGACAGCGTATCAACGGGCATCCGAACCAGTTCACCACGGTGACAGGGGAGCGACTGATACGTATGACGCGCACCGCCCCCTCACCACACGACCACCAGGCGTCTGTTTGACATAAAGAATCGACTCCGAACACTGACTATTCAAGACAACTCTTACCACTCAAACACACTCGAACCCATAAGCCATCCGTGGCTGGGAAGGCATCACAACGAGACCGAGTGATGGCCATCCGTCGTTTATAAGAGTATTCGTAATTTTTATCTTTAATATTTAGTGGGCTGTACTCTTAATCGCATAAATTCCCAACAGATCCATCAATACGAACTGATTCTTGGCACCTCCTTCCGCCGAGCCACGCTCACGTGGGGAGTGGTGGCCCACCGGATCCTTATCAGGTGATCTGGTCCCCAATTAGTAAACTTGGTATAAGATAACGATCTTCGGAAAAGGAGCACCGTCGCAGGCCCTTACTCCGAGCCGTTCTGTTGTCAGATAACCTGCCGATGTATCTGTTGAGATTGATGCCTTTAAGAATAATAACTGTTTTTGATTGTGTTTTTTTTATCGCCGTATAATCTTTCAAGTATCTTTCAGTCATAATCGCCGCACGTACTCGCATCCTCTACAGAATATTCAACTGTCCCGTGACCCAAGGTGCTAACAACGTGATAAGGGTTGCGTATGATCAATAAGGAGTGCGGTACTGCGTGAACAATATTGAGTATAATCATTCATTAACGTTAAGGTTTTCTTAGCATAGTATTTGCATATTTTAACGACTCTCTCTCTCACTAACAACCATCGCGTTATGCGGGATCCATGTGCCGTTGTCAAAGTGAAATCAGACAATCGTTGATGATACTGTATTGATGCCGTGTTGACGTTCCGGGATTGAGAGTTCGCATACTATATCATAGTTAAGGTTGAATTAGTAATAAATTGATCAATACAGAAGTGGTTGTGTGATTCTTTCCTGAAATCTATGCATAAGATCTGCTTCTGCGTTGAGATCTGAACTTGGTGACCTTAATAAACACACTAACACATACTCAGTAAATGTTAAAGCGATAACGGGGTGAACCGGGGACCTAAAATATAACCACGAATACACACTCTGGGAATGTTAAAGCGAGAATGAGACGAACCTAGACAACGATGCCGAGTTAATCTAAGTTAATCTTGCATACTTACACCACACCTGCATAACTGCATACGATTAATTGCCTTATTCCGATCGATAACCCACCCTCGTCACCGAGGCGGGGTCTGGTTATCATAACGACTTGCATTATCATAATTACACCCACTCGCATAATTAATACGATTACCTCTCGAATTGGCATAATTAAAATGTGCATAATTACATAAATTAACATATTTCCGGATAATTACACATTTGGCCAAATTTCATTTAATTATTATTATTTTCACTGAATATTCATAACCCACATATACAACATAATAATTTCACCCACGCACGCATACAACATAACAAATTTTGATAACCAACATATACAACACACTGCTCATCTCCTATTCACAACCCTGAGCAAGAGGCGGAAATCCCAATCCAATGGCGTTTGAGAGACCACTGTTGTTGGCCTAAGGGGCCGTCCATAAATGACGTCACGCGATTTTGAACGATTTTTGACCCCCCCCCCCCCACCATCGTCACACGGCGTCACAAAAAGTCAGACCCCCCCCCTCAAATATGACGTCACAAAGCTCTGCCCCCCCCCCCCAAACAAAACATGCTTCAAATCGCTTTAAACTATTGTCATTGTAGTGCGTATTTAATGTGCCGCTGCACTCTGATGTTGTAGGAGAAAACATTTATTAAACAGTCTATTTAATTAAGCAGAACGTGTTGTCTATATTTATTTAAAGTTGTGCATTTTGATGCGACGTCACATTTCTCAAACCTCCCCCCCTCGTCACACATCGTCACAAATGTCTGACCCCCCCCCCACCCTAGGTGCGTGACGTCATTTATGGACGGCCCCTAATCATTACACACAAAGTGCTTGCCGTGGGTTCGATTCCGACCCTGACGCCTGCTGTATATTAGAGGATTCTAGATTTGAAGCTTTCGTGACTGCAAGGATTCATATTCTTAGGTATTTTCGGTAAAGTCACGTAGGTAAAAAAATTTAATTAATAAAAGGCAACACAAGCTTCCGTCTTCAGGTGGAACCGTCACAGCACGATACAGCAATCGTCGTGATTTTTATTTTATTTTTATTTTACTTTTATTAATTTTTTACCTACGTGACTTTACCGAAAAAACCTAAGAATATATATTAGAGGAGTCGCGTGGATTTTTCTCCGGGTCCTCCAGTTTTCCCCTCCACATTCAAAAACATGTGTTTCGAGTATTTGGCTGCTATACATTTCCACATGATAAGCCACTTGGTTGAGCTATCATTTGTGGCCAGGTCGCTTCTTTAAAAGTAAGTATATAGCTCAGTGGGCCTTACTTGGTAAAATAAAACATGGTTTAGTTTAGTTCATCATGTTGCGTTCTCACTGATAATTAGCTCCATTGGAACCTCCTTTGCCAGTAGCAAAATATGATAATTGTTGTTTTACCCTTTTATCTGGCAACAAAATTGACACCTTTTTTGTTACAATGAGTCATGTTTGCATTGACCACAATACCTGCGGTCGGAATGCAAACAAAAACACAATTCTGATAATGTATTAGAGTTGTGTTTTACAGGGAGGAACTATGTTTCATACTACCCACCAGGGATTTTTTGTCTGTCTGTCGTGCATAAATATATATATAATATAAACAGCTCTTTGATTGGTGGAGACCTACTGCTGGGTACGGGGAGGGGCCTAAGGGAAGGGGGGTTAGGGGAGGGGCCTAAGGATATAGGGGGGTGGTCAGGGGAGGGGGGGTCAGGGGAGGGGCCTCAGGGAGGGGGGGGGGGGTAAGGGGAGGTGTCTAAGCAAGGGGGAGGGGCCGATAGTTAAGGGGGCTGGCTACCTGGCTGGCTGCCTGGCTACCTCAAGTCAAGTTATCTTTTATACAGGTAGGAACAACAGGTTCCACACTGCCCACCAGGGATTATTTGTCTGTCGTGCATATTTGTCTGTCGTGCACGAATGCGCTGTCCAACCAAGTTCTACCTGCCCACTTCGAAGGAACGTGTTTTGTTTGTTGTTGCCAGATAAAAGGGTAAAAAAACAATTATGCTATTTCGCTGTTTGCCTTTGTTGCGAGTGGACGTGAAAGTGAGTGACTTAAGCAACTGTTGAAGGAGTCGCACACGCAGTCACACCCGAATTAAAGTTACATGTGAAATATAGGCTATATTTTGCCATGACATCCCATATTCCAGTTTCTACACACATCTTGACACACATACTTAAAACTCATTTATTAAGTAATCACCAACTTGTAACACCAAGTTTCAGAAGAAGCAACCATTACAAGTCCCCACTTTTAAATACGATGTCATTAGGCTGTTTGCTCCTCATCACAAAATGTGTTTTTCAAATATATTACCACTAACACCATATGTGACTCATGGTATGACTAATATACATCTCAACACAAGGCATATAGAGCAGCTCACGTCTGCTTTGTATGTCTGAATACAATGCCAACCACCAATTATTTTCACGTAAGAATTATAAACATCTTCCCAGCGTTCCCTTGCCACATACAACATTGTAACCTCGGTGACCAGTTTAACTGAACACGTAGGTTGTCACATTCAATATTAATTCATAATTGAGATGTGGGTGAGGCTATGTAGTGTCAACTTTGGCTGTGTAAATTGTTCTTTATATTGTTTTGCTTTGTAAAATCTGTAATTGTGGAATGCTTTGACGTCAGCCAGCCAAAGTCGCCCTTAACAAATAGCTTCTTAGCTCCAAGGGCTTCACTCGGTGGGAAATAAACTTCTGATTCTGATGAACTGACGCGCTAAAACGCGTGTTCACGTGACAATTTTGATTTGTTTGTCTGCGTCGGGCGGCAAAGAGGGTTTTTTGACAACAAAACTTGAAAATCATTACATGGCCTAATCCGAACATCTAATACGAGTCTAACTTTTCACTGACACCTGTACAAATGTCAATACTGTCACGAAGGAAGTGGTGAGGCAGATAAAGCCAATCGCACATTCAGGTAAAGCAGGCATGTCCAGATTTCATACGGCCCGCAGCTTCGGTCTTATAACGTGTAATTTATCGCTCGCCAGCTCTGTCAGAATAAATACATCATAAAACTCATGGAAATTTAAGGTATTCTATACAGTTTGTTCAATGTTATCTGACTGAATGAAAGGCAGAATTGCGTTTTTAGAGTTGTTCCCGTTTGCCTGAGTGGCTTATATTTGGTTACATTGGCATTTGAAAAATAAAGGTAATTGTGACAATGAAAGTTGTTTTATAACAGTGTGTATTTCCACGTAACTTTTGTGGTTAAAACAATGTCAAAAGGAACTATTGGCCCCCGGGCATCTTCACTTTATCAAATGTGGCCCTAAATTTTGATTTAAAGCTTTCGTGACTGCAGGGATTCATCTTCTTGGTTCTTTCGGTAAAGTCACGTAGAAGGGAAGTAATAAAATAATTAAACATAATAATTATGTTTTCAAAATTATTATGTTTTATTTTTATTATTTTATTACTTCCCGTCTACGTGACTTTACCGAAAGAACCAATAAAATGTGGCCCTCTTTGCAAAAAGTTTGGACACCCCTGAGGTAAAGGCACAGCCATGGAATTGCTCACGCCACTGCTGGTAGGAGACACCTCCAGCACGAGGAAGTTCTAGAGAGCACCCCCGACACTCCTCGAGTAAGCACGGTATTTGGTCTACTCTTCCACGCTGATCAGACGTCTTGAAAGAGATGGACGTACCCATACTTTATCCCACCGCTCGCAACATGTTGATCAATTGTGGTGAATGCGTTTAGAATGCTGAGTGGACAGATGCTGGGGTTGGGTGGATTTGAGAAACTTTCCCCGGTCTTTTAATTTCCGGGATATGGAATCGAACCTGCTGCCTTTGGATTGCAAGTCACAGGATGGCCAAACACCACCAGTGGTGCGCGACCCTTTCTATTCATTCGATGTGTCGGGCGCAGGGAGGGATTAACGGCACACACTTTTTACACAACCTAACCCGAAACAAAGCAATGGTACGAATCATTGGTCGTGAAAGCCCACGACCTAAAAGATGAGTGAGTCATAATCTTGGCAGGGAAAAACATACGTGTTCAGTAAATATGTCGTTTTCACAAACCAATTACGTACCAACATATCCCATTGAAATGCATTTGCAAATCCACTGCTGCCTGCATATTGCGGGACTCGGTGGAATGCGACCTGTCCCCACTACTAGTATTTTAACATCGGATTTTCCTTCCATTCGGGCAAACTTCCCAGCTTTTTGACAACGTCGTCATTGATGGGCAAACCCCACTTTTGAAAAAAGGGGACCAGATTCTTGTTGACTTGCTTCGAGAATGTCTCTGCCCACAGATTCATCTTTCCTTTGTTGTCCAACCCTTTGGTACTGATGCGTTGATATGCAGTGAAGATCTTCATGAATGCTTCCCACCCGAATGCCTCCTGCAACTATAATCAAGAGAGAGAGGCGACGAGAGAGAGAGAGAGCACACAAAGGGTTAGCAAACGGCAACAGTCTTGGCCAGCAGGGCCATAAATACTCATTTGTAACGTGCGCATAATTCATTCACTCTCACTTTCGAGAGATCGTTTACTTCAAGGACTGGGAATTCTCTGACAAGCGGGAACACAGCCAGAACTGGCCCCAACTTTTCCCAACGCTTGATTGGTACGCTTGACCAGCTGCACCAACGTGTGTTCATACGTGTGAGAAAAAAAAAACCCAAGGCAGTTCCGTGGACAAGTGGAATTCAGAATTTCCACCTCCCGCGGATTACGGGAGCGGTTGCAAACCGCGGGCACGCCGCAAACTCTTAGGGTTTGTCGATCACCAGGAGCACGGCTTATTGGAGTTCTGATGTTACTTGCGTTGGAGACCCCGGCAAGAGTGCACGGTAATTGTGCTCCAGGTGCAGTTCCGCGATTGTGTTCGCTCACGCCACTACCGGAGGAAGGGCTGTCACTGGAGGGAGCTCTGGTGAACACCCTGGACCATGATAATTGTTTTTTTACCCTTCGATCTGGCAACAAAACTGACATCTTTTTTTACAAGGAGTCATGTTTGCATAGACCACAATACCTGCAGTCATAATGCTCTAAGAAAAGCTGTCTCGGGTGTGGACCAATAAACTTCAAGGACAGTGCATACATTATCAGAGTTATGTTTTTTTTGCATTAAGACTGCAGATATTGTGGTCTATGCAAATATGACTCCTTGTAAAAAAAGGTGTCAGTTTTGTTGCCAGATAGAAGGGTAAAAAAACAATTCTCATTTTTTACTGGCAAATGAGGTTCCAATGGTGTAAACCCTGGACCATGTTTGGCCTATTCCTTCCACGCTAGCCAAACGTCTTGCAAGTGATGTGGAGCGCCCGCACTTTAGACCCATCGCACGCGACCCGAGAGGTCGCGCGTTACATTCCGCTGGGCGGACGGAAACGGAGGGATTTAAGAGAACTCGCCCAATTCTTTGAACCGCTGTGTCCGGGAGACAGCGGCTAGAGCGAGCGCAATGTGCCAACCGCCCGCCGCGCCACCTGTTGGCAGCTCCCCTCGACGCTGTCGCGTACCTGGAGGTAAGTCTCCAGACACGTCCACACGGACCACGTGGCCAGCTTCGATCCCTTCTTGAGGTGGTCCTTGATGCGCTGGGCCCGTTTGGCGGGCTGCAGCGCCGCGTGCGCTTTTTCCCGAGCGATGCCCAGCACCGTCTCGTGCACGTACGTGGACCACAGGTTGGCGGTCGCCTCCGTGGTGTGCGGCGGGAACTCCCAGGCCGCCCGCTGCTGGTTGTGGCCCAGCTCATGGATGGAAGGCCACATGCCCCTGATCATGCACTTCTCGTCAATGATGCCCTTGATGCACGACACGTGCAGCATGATGGGATATCCCGAATGCATTAAACCTGTGAAATAGCGGTTGCGTTTAAAAATGATGACAGAGTATTTTTTAATAAGAATTTGTTGATGTTGCTGCTGCCGTGTTGGGCAGTCGTACACAAGCACAATTAACACAAATAACTCAATACATTCATCAACGATAATGGCCTTAAAAATATATATAATAGGCGACGTTTCAGGAAGTTCCCCTTGTTCATAACACAAATAAAGAGTCTAGAGAGATGATTTAAACAAATAAAACATCCGACTGCATTTTTTTTTAAATAGACATATGAATTGTTAGCTAACAGTAGTTATTGGGTAACAACTCCTTTAATCATGAAAACAAATCCTAAATTAAACTAATATATTAAAAAGTACAATTATTAAGTGCTGCTGGCGCATTGCATTGTGGGAATATTTGTTCTTATGAGAACAAGGCACTATTCCACGCGGCAGTGCATTCCTGGGCCCAATCACCATCTTAATAAATATATTATTTACTTGTCCTGCGTTCTTGAGTCAGAGACGCTGAAGAATAAAACTATGAAACTAAAATAAATTAAATGATACTAAAAAGGCATTAGATGTGTCTAGCATTCAATAATAATGTTTTAAGTGAAGGTGAGACTTTCATTCAATCCTGCCGGCCGAATGGCATTCAGACACAGAGACAGAAAGAAAGAGACGAAAAGGGGCCGTCCGTAAATGACGTCACGCGATTTTTACCCCCCCCCTCCCTTCGTCACAAGGCGTCACAAAGAGTCAGACCCCCCCTAAATTATGACGTCACAAAGCTGTCCCCGCCCCCCCCAAATAAAACATGCTTCATATCTCACACCATGGGAACCTCATTTGCCAGTAAAAATATGATAATTGGGTTTTTACCCTTCTATCTGGCAACAAAACTGACACCTTTTTACAAGGAGTCATGTTTGCATAGACCGCAATACCTGCGCTTTTTGGCGTCATCTGGTCCAGCCCATGTGAGACTAGGCTCTAAGGAAAGCTGTCTCGGGTGTGGACCAATCAACTTCAAGGACAGTGCACATTATCAGAGTTATGTCTTTTGTTTGTATTATGACTGCAGGTATTGCGGTCTATGCAAACATGACTCCTTGTAAAAAGGTGTCAGTTTTGTTGCCAGATAGAAGGGTAAAAAACCAATTATCATGCTTCATATCTATTGTCATTGTAGTGCGTATTTAATGTGGCGCTGCACTCTGATGTTGTAGGAGAAAACATTTGTTAAAAAGTCTATTTAATTAAGTAGAACGTGTTGTCTATATTTATTTAAAGTTGCGCATTTTGATGTGACGTCAAATTTCTCAACCCCCCCCCCTTGTCACACATCGTCACAAATGTTTGACCCCCCCCCCCTCCCCAGGTGCGTGACGTCATTCATGGACGGCCCCAAAGACAGAAAGACGCACGGAGACAAATACGATGACACGCGAGTTTTCAAAGCACGTTGTAAAGCATTGCATTGGTATTACCTATAACAATCTGGACATCGGCCACAAATCTCTCTGGTCTTGAGAATGGAAATGGGGTGGCAGACAAGGTGGCAACGGCTTGCATGATATTATTCCACATCTTCATCAGACTCTCAGGGTTGTTCACCATCCTCGCATCGGTGGACGGGATGGTGAGGATGACGTTTTCGTTTTCAAACTCGGACCAGGGCGCCGGGTAGTGACGGATTGTCTGCTGCCAATCTGCCACGCCGGTCTTGCCTGCGAGAAAGCGCGCGCACACACGACGGGACCTGTGTTGAAACAGTCATTATAGTCATACTAATTGGCGGGTTAAACGTGGTGTTCGTGGCTTTTGAAAGCGCAGTTTGTCGCTGCCTGCTTATAAACTGTAAACTTAGAAACATAAATTACAAGGTAGGGCCCACTGAGCTATATAGATGTAAAATTTCGATTTAAAACTTTCGTGACTGCAGGGATTCATCTTCTTGGTTCTTTCGGTAAAGTTACGTAGAATGGAAATAATAAAATAATAAAAATAAACCATAATAAAATAATTATTATGTTTTATATCTATATAGATGTGTTTCAGAAGCAACCTGGCCACAAATGATAGCTCAAAGGAATGGCTCATCACGTGGGCATCTACAGCAGCCAAATACTTTAAACGCGTGTCTTAATTCTAAACGTGGAGGGGAAAACCGGAGGACTTCTGGCGAAAACTTTACACGACCAGGGAGAGAATATGTAAACTCCAGATATACAGGCGTCAAGGTCGGTAATCGAACCCACGACCTCCTGCATACCAGGCGAGGTAGTTAACATCTCGCCACCGTGTTTGCTCCATGATGCAAGTCTCCAACTCTTATTATCAACTCTAGCTCTCTTGCCTCTCTTAGTTGCTGTAACAAAGAGGCATTGCCTTTAATCAAGCCTCGTATATTACTTGGGTCTTTCGGTAAAGTCACGTAGATAGGTATAAGTAAAAAACAAACAATAAAAAACTACGACGCTTCGATCGCAAAACAAGCGTTGAGGCAGATTTTTTAAAGGTTTTCCTTTAAAACCTTTTTTTAAAAAAACCTTTAAAACAGTCTGCCTTAGCAGCTGTCCCCCTCTTTTATCTTCCTGATGACCACCGCTTGTGTTGCGATCGAAACGTCGTCGTTTTTTTGTTATTTTCTTAGAACCTATCTATGTGACTTTACCGAAAGACCCAAATAATATGAATTCCTGCAGTCACGACAGCTTTAAGTCAAGATTCAATCCTCATATATATACATCTTTGGGCCTGTGCTCGGCAACTGTGTTACACGTGGGGGGGGGGGGGAGTGCTGGGGGTGGAAGCGGCGGGGGGAGGGGGGGCGGACGGGGGGGAGCGGGCGGGGTAGTAGGGAGTGGATGGAGAGGGGGGGGGGAGCGGGAGGGGGGGAGTGGAGGGGGGGGGGGGTAGTGGGGAGTGGATGGAGAGGGGGGAGGGGGAGTGTGCGGGGGGAGTGGACGGGGGGAGGGGGGGCATCGGGCGGGGGGGAGTGGAGGGGGTTGGAGCGGGTGGGGGGCGATCTCACCGAGCTGGAACCAGGGAGCCTGCACCGCCCCGTCCACGACGACATCCACCGCTCCCAGTTTGCTTTGCTTGGGCACGACCACGTAGATGAGGCCCCCCCAGCACGAGCCGACCTCCAGCGTCTCCTGCTGCACCGGGAACCTGCGGGTGATGGCCGGGTGGCGCAGCACGGGCTCCTTCTTGCCGAAGAGCACGTCGGTGTGCGAGCCGATCTGGATCTGGGCAGGTGAGAGCGAGCGAGCGAGCGAGCGTCAGCGGCAGACGACAAGGGCTGAACCCCCTCTGGAGCATATTCCAAGCATATTCCAAGAACACAGGATGAGATGTTACTATCCTACTTGCGACATGGGTGACCTTTCTTGCCAGAATCAAAATATAACAATAGGTTTCTACCATTTGTGGCAATAAAACAGGTGTGGTAAGACGTTTAAACACAAATAAGAATTTTTTTTCAAGTAATCATGTCTGCATTAAGCACACGTACTTTTGGTGAACTTGCAAACAAAAAGACATGCTCTGATACTGACAATGCGTATGCTATTAGAGCATGTTTTTTTGTTTGCATGTTCACCGCATACTCTGATAATATGTGCGTTGTCCTTGAAACTGATTGGTCCACACCAGAGACAGCTTTCTTTTGAGCCTCGTCTCATTCGGGGTGAGATGCTCACCCCGAGCTCTCATTACCCTGATAGTGCAATGTCTTTGGGCTGTACGCCTTTTGGCGTCCTCTGGTTAACACAGCTTGAGACGAGGCAAACAAAAAAAGCTGTCTCTGGTGTGGACCAATCAGTTTCAAGGACAATGCATTTCTTATCAGAGTGTGTTTTTTGTTTGCATTCTGACCACAAGCATTGTGGTTAATGCAGACATGATTCCTTGTAAAAGGTTTCAGTTTGGTGTTTTAACATCTTAACACCTGTTTTGTTGCCACAGAAAAGGGGAAAAACGTATTATCGGTAACACCTATTATTATATAATGCAACTACTACTAACTACTACCTTTTAAAATTTTACCCAGGGAAGGCCCGCTAAGCTGTGTAGCTCTTTCACAAGCGACCTGGCCACTGATGATAAGGAAGTGGCTCATCATCGCGTGTATTTTTTATTTTTAGCATCCAAATCCTCTAAAACGCGTGATGTTGATTCTAAACGTGGAGGGGGAAAACCGTAGACCCGGTGAAAAATCCACGCGACCACGGGAGAGAGAGCGCGCCAACTCCAAATATACAGCAGCAGGCATCGCCAGGGTCGGGATCGAACCCACGGCCTCCTGCACACCAGGCGAGTTAGTTAACATCTCCTAGCCACCGCGGCGCCGGCGTTACGCGTGCAACACGGGAAGAACGCGGGCGCCAATGCACGTCTCGCGGTTCGTGCGGCAACACCTGCAGGCCGCCCTTGACGTGGGCTTTGGGCACCGTGATGCGGATGGTCTCGGCGGGAGGCGCGTACAGCCCGGTGCTCCTCCAGCAGTCGCTCTCTGTCGCGCACGCACAGACAAAGACCGTGCCACGTGTCGCCTTCTCGCCCTCTGCGGTTTCAATCTTCGCTGTCTCTCTCTTTTAAAAAAAAAAAATTACGATCAGTGGAAACAAGAAGATGCTCGGTGTATTCGGCACTTTGCTTCGTTCATCATTTCGTAATTTTTTTTTCATTTTTAAACTTAGCTCTGGCCCTCCTTCTCATTGCGCTCAATCCACGCTTTCGGTCTCTGTCTCTTCTCGCACCGGAACAAACTGCCCCCCCCCCTCCCCCGCTCCACATTGAGCAGTAACCTTCGCTCACCAAGTTTCCGCGCCGCACTCAAAACTCACTTCTTGTTACCCCTAGCTCACCCCACGACCCCCCTTAATCTCTCCATCATAACCGCCACCGTTACTTTTCCCTCTTCGTATTCTCATTACATGGCTTTCACTCATTTCTCATTCATTCATTCAATCCATTCAACATCATTGACTGTCATCGATTTTACTTTCACCGAATTCACTCATCACAGATTCCCCCCCCCCCCATTGTTTGCTATAATCAATTTCACTCACCACTACATTAATATGTACCAAGGCGCTATTTCAATAATTTTTAGATAAGATGTAGCCTTAACAAACTGTTGTGGCAAGTGCTGTTAGCGAGTTAAACCTACAAAGGCCGGCACGCCAAACGAGGTGTTGACACGGCAAGTACCACGCCCGGCCACCTTTGCCTCCCTAGTTGGCGATGTTTACATACCGCACCAAGTACTCATTTGAGGCTGAGTCGACTTAGAGGAGGCCCAGGATGGGTTCAGATAATCGTTACTGGGGTTGACCGTGAGGGGGAATCGAACCCGGGTCGCCGCGTTCGTAACGCGCACGCGCACGCACGCACGCGCGCGCACGCACGCACGTGCACGAGAACATGCGAGAGAATTGGATATGGGCGGTGACGCGGCACGGCAGTAGTGGCATTCGCCGCTTGTTTGCAGAGGTTCGCGGTTTATCGAATCTGGCAGGCCGCCCTGGTTAATACTGCGGTGGTGCCTGCTGTATTTACTCGTAAAAATATGCTTCACCCCCGCGGTGGGCGTTGCAAAATGTAAAAATTTGCACGGCAAATTGCTTAATCGGGAACACACAGAGCGATAATCGCCGACTACTGGCAGACTGATGCCCCCTTGAGGGCCGGTGTTGAGTCACCTTGTTCTGCGCAGTGTGACACAAGTCACTTGCTCCCTGTAAAGCGCTCTCAGATATCCCGGCGTGAAGAAGGGCAGATCTTTCCAACACAACTAATGAGCGGTTATTCATAAAAAACTCAGACATCTAAGTGCTTGAAGAGTGGCTAAGAATGAGATTGTCTTGTATGTCGATGTGGGTGTTCTTACCATGATTATTCCCATCAATTGTGACTTGCATCACACCTAGAAAGGCAAAACAATGCATTGATACACACATTGTAAACATTGAACTCGACCACGTCACATGCGCTTAAGTTCACTTGCCAACTCCGCTGAATTATCAATGCAGGAAACACCCTCGGTTAAAGGCGCGCACGAGTTTTGTATCGAAAAGCCACGTGGTGTAATTAATGGTAAATGCAGGCCATGTGTCCCCGAAGTGAGTGATGGATGGAATAATTTAATCGGAACCATTCAACATATCCTTTTATAAATATTGATCTGCATGGGCACTTAGGAGCTCAAGGGATAGGATAGGGAGACACGCTGATGGAAGGGAATTCCAATTGAGCGTCACGCTTTGTTGCACAAGGGTATATCCTCTCGAGAGCGACCGTTTGTAATTGACCAGAGAGGACGCGTTTACCTTTTGCGGCGGTTTTCTTAATGGGTATCCCAGGGAACTTTTGGCCCAGGTTGGGCATATTTTTCTCCACCTTGACACCGTTTCTGTAGATGGCGTTCGCGAGGGCCATCAGGAATCCATCGGTGGACTTGAGCTGTACGGGAGCATCGTGGCCAACGGGTGGCAGCTTCGCGCACGTGACGATCTGCCGGCCGACTTGCTGGAAGGGCTTGAAGCAGGCGTCGTCGTCGTCGCCGTGCAGCAGAGGCATGTAATCTTGCATCAGGCACGTCGACATTTTCTTCAGCTCCAGCGGATCTCCCGCGTGGTTGTGCACGAGGTGCTTGACCAAGTGGCACGCCGCGTAGCGCACGTTGAACGGAGCGGTGCCCACCTTGAGCGCGATGGGCGTGAACGTTCCGCCGCTGATGCCAGCGCCCAGGATGCTGATGCCGAACTTGTTGACAATTTTGTTGCCCGGGTTTTCGGTCAAGACGGACTTGCCCGGGTTCTTGGAGGCCCACCACCAAGCGTGCCCGCCGATCATCAGCCCGCCGCCCTCCGCGACGAACTCGTGCAGCTCCTGGGCCGGCATGTTGATGTAGGCGCCGCAGCAGAAGACGCTGAGGCCCGGACGGAAATCGGTCGCGGCGCTGGAGAAGCCCTCTTTGCCGAGCATCTCGTTCAAGCCCTTGACGCCGCTCACACCGACCTTGCCGTGCCTCTCCGCGTCGAGCCACCGCACGGCGTTCAAGATGAACGGCCTCATCGCCTCGGTGCCCATCTGCCCCTCGTGGCTGAGCACCACGACGCGTCCCTCGCCGTAGCGCGCCGCGGCGATCAGCGTGCGGTTGTTGAGGTCCACGACGATGGGGAAGGCGGTGGAGCCGTGTGCCACCAGCTGCGACGGGTTGCCCTCGACGGTGAACGCGGTGACACCGGCCACCAGGCGCTTGTAGTCGTTGGTCCAGTGGATGTTTTGTCTGCTCCGGATGAAAGAATTGATTAGTTAAATTTCGATTTAAAGCTTTCGTGACTGCAGGGATTCATCTTCTTGGTTCTTTCGGTAAAGTCACGTGACTCTACCGAAAGAACCAAGAAAATTGATTTGTTGTCATTGTTTATGTATATTTCATTTGTTTGACGCTCGCGGATGGTGGCCGTTGACTCTCTCAGAGGGAGAAAGAGAGAGAGAGAGATGCAGAGGTGTGGGAAACGATAGTTACTCCTGCAATTCGTATCATTGTGGGAGTAGCTGATAAACATTGCGGGAGAAACTGATGATCTAGCCAGATGTTTGTAAAACACAAAACATGCGAGACATTGGTATTCATTCATTAATCCCCCCCCCCCCCCCCCCCATTAAAGAGATGACGTCAATGCTAACGTAAAAAAAGTTAAATTATCCACGAGTGTAGCTCTTTAATGCAGCTATCAAACGACACGAAAGTGTCATTATCTAGTCCAAATAACAGTGAGAGATTTACTGCACAAACGAGCATTGCTTTTCTCAACTTTACGGCACTGAGTCAGTTCGGGTAAATGTCCGCATTCCCATGGCGAAGGCGAGTTTATCCATAGGACAAAACACGACTAACGTACCCACAAAAGTGGTACTTATTTTATCGACCCAGAGGGAGGGATGATGATGATGGGTTGAGTCACCCCATCATCATCACCCCCCCCCCCCAACCAGGATTTGAACTCGCAACCTTCCGATTGCGAATCACTGAGTCACTTACGGCGGATACATATTACACAGCGGGGAGGGAGTGGTGGGGCATGTGGTCAGCGAATTGTGAACTCTGACACCCGAATTCCATCCCCACCCACGGCTAACATCATTGACAATCTGAAGCGGTCCTAGTTACCCCGCCTTTCACCAACCAGCGCTAACCAGCGTGGTGAAGTATGGTCAAAACCCCCTCATGGCCGACGCAGCGTTGAGAGGCCTTCATCCAGCAGCGAATTGACAGAGGGCTGTCGAGTATTATTGCAACTCATACTGTCTTACGCGTCGCTATTTGCAGAATAGTTCTGGAATGAACAATAAAGGAATGTCGTCAGGTATCCTAAACTAACTAAAATACCAGCTAAGGCCCACTGAGGTATGTAGCTCTTTTTTTAAATCCTTTATATTAAGTTCACTTGCTTGCTTGCTTGCGCGCTTACGACCGTGCAAACCTTTCGGTCGTTTTTTAACCCACTTCCCGTGATCCAATCGAGCTGACATTTTGCACACAGACTCGTTGTGCGTGACAATTTATTTTCGTGAAAAAAATTCCCAAAATTTTACACTGTTTAGGGAAAACAAATTAAATATTTAATTACCAATTGCTTAATACTGGCAGACAATCATCTGACCCATAGGTGGCAGCCATCTCAAGCCAGAGGACGAGAAGACTCTAGCCGCCACGCATATAAAGGATTTAGAGTGAAAAACTTTGTTTTTACGGGTTTACTTGTAAATCCTTTATATTAAGTTCACTTGCTTGCTTGCGTGCTTACGACCGTGCAAATCTTTCGGTCGTTTTTTAACCCACTTCCCGTGATCCAATCGAGCTGACATTTTGCACACAGACTCGTTGTGCGTGACAATTTATTTTCGTGAAAAATTTTTTCAAAAATTTTACACTTTATAGGACAAAAATATTATATTTAATTACCAATTGTTTAATACTGCAGACAATCATCTGACCCATAGGTGGCAGCCATCTCAAGCCAGAGGACGAGAGGACTCAAGCCGCCACGCATATAAAGGATTTAGAGTGAAAAACTTTGTTTTTACGGGTTTACTTATTAAATCCTTTATATTAAGTTCACTTGCTTGCTTGCTTGCGCGCTTACGACCGTGCAAATCTTTCGGTCGTTTTTTAACCCACTTCCCGTGATCCAATCGAGCTGACATTTTGCACACATACTCGTTGTGCGTGACAATTTATTTTCGTGAATTTTTTTTCTCCAAAATTTTCCACTTTTTAGGAATTTTTTTTTCATATTTAATTTAAAATACCAATGTGATAAAAATGAAACTCTTACTCAATAAAAACAGAAATGAATAATAAAATAAAACCGATGCCACGCATATAAAGGATTTATAGTGAAAAACTTTGTTTTTCCGGGTTAATTTTTTCAGAAGTGACTTGGCCACAAGGGACACCTCGACGAAGTGGCTGATCACGTGGACATTTGGAACAGCCAAAGACTCTGAATGCACGTTGATTCGAAATGTGAAGGGAAAAAAATCCGAGGACCCGGAGAAAAATCCACGCGACCACGGCGAGAGAGATAGAGAGAGACACGCAAACTCCAAAATATACAGCAGGCATCGTCAGGGTCGGGATCGAACCGACGATCTCCTGCAAACCAGGCGAGGTGGTTAACATCTCGCCACAAAAGCACCAGAATGTGCCAGTCGCCTGTGCAATTTCTCACCTGAGAATAGTGGAGTTGGCAGGGATGTACTCCTTTATCTTGAACACGCCCTTGTTCCCCGTGTGCGCCATGAAGTAAACTCCCGCCACGCCGCTGATCTTGTTGCCGGGAAAGTGGCTCATGGCATCTTTCCCCTTGTTGTGGCTGCCCCAGTTCCACGCCTGGCCCCCGATCAGCAGGCCGCCCCCGTTCTTCACAAACGCCACGAGGTCACGCGCCAGCTCTTCCTCCTCCTTGCTCGACGAGGAGAAGGTGGTCGTGCAGTGGACCGCGGCGCTCTTGTCGACCTTCTCGGAGACGCCGGCTTTGATGCCGTTCCCGTCGAGGATCTTCTTCAACCCCTCGAGCTTGTGGATGACGGACACGTGGCCGTGCGGCGCCCCTTGCCTCAGCCACGTGACCGCGTTGACGAGGAATTTGGCGAACTTTGGCGACTCCAGGTAAGTCTCGTGGCCAAGCGCCACGAGTCGCCCCTTGCCGTAGCGCGACGCCGCGATCAGCACCTGGTGGCTCCCGTTGACCACGACTGGGAATGCCTCGTCTCCCGTCAGGAGCAACTCGGAGGGAACGGCGTTCCCTTCGAAATCCAAGCTCGCGATGCCCTTCTTCAGAATATCGTAGGCCCGTTGTTGCTCCATTGTCCTATATAAAAAAAGGCACGCGCGATTACGCGGGCGGGCGAATGATACACGGGGGTTGCAATCGAGGAGTCTTGAAACGATGACAATTGGTGAATCGGTCTCCAGCGGACCGCGAGCAATGAATGCACTGATCGGCACGCAGCGAACGAACAAATCGCACGGCGGCCTGAGGTCACCGCGTGGTACCATTTGCCGTAGTTTCTTTCTCACTTTCAATAAAGACAAACGCGCAGCCATGCATTTGTTCGCCACGCCACTGGAGGCGACTACTGCATAGAGAGCATTTGGTCTACTCTTCCAGGCTGCCTGGTGGACACAGTGTGGACAGTGTGGAGGGAAAAACTGGAGAACCCGGAGAAAAATCCACGCGACCACGGGGAGAGAGAGAGAGAGAGAGACACGCGCACTCCAAATACACAGCAGCAGACGTTAGGCTCGGAATGGAACCCACGACCTCCTGCACACCAGGCAAGGCAGCTAACATCTCGCAACCGTGGCGCTCAAACAATGCTCATGGCAACCCGAGTCACGAGACGGCTACTGCAGAGTCGCCACTTGACCTACTTGCTGCTCGTGGAGTCTGCGTCTCGTCCCCACGGCTGCTGCTGCTGCTCCGCTCGCTTTATAGAGCACGGTGCGGCTGGCTGGCTGGGGGGAGGACGGTCCCCCAGTCACACCCCTGCGTTGGGAATGACGGATGGGGTGAGGTGGGAGGCTGCTCAGGTGATATGCCCCCTCCCTCGCCTCCCCCCCGGCTCTCGGCACCTGCCGCAGGGACAGGTGTCGGCTGCACGGCGCGCGCGTTTCTCGAGACTCACAGCGCAGCGTTTGGAGACGCTCGCTTCCTTCGCGTGTGACATCGTGACTCAAATGATGCTTCGGTGAGCAGACATTTTAATGATAATGATATGAACTCGCGACCTTTGGACGTGACAGCCCCCGTCCGTCCGTCTTTCCCTCCCGCCTGCCAGCCAGCGGAGCCAGCCAAACTTGTTTTCGAATACACCTCGAGTGTGATGTGTGTGTGTTTTTGTTACATTGCCATGGCGCATTTCTTCATTGTCTCAACAGCTCAAAGCGACTTGCATCACGCACCTCCGATTCGCACGGGCGGCCACGTGCGGTGCGAAAGAAGTTCAACATGCGTGCATCACATCTCATCGCACACATTCCAAGGTGACCCCCAGTGATGGCTGTCCTTGTGCGTCACAAGGTGGCACAGCACTTGGCCTGCGAGAGGGCATTTGTCTGCCAGCAGCTGCTGCTCTCTGCTGTGGAATCCAAATTGAGTAATTGCAACGCTTCTATTGAAGACGAGCGTGTTTGTGTTGTGTCTGTGGGTCGTCTCGCTGTACACCCCTATCAACGCTGTAATATGCAAGTGTACAGTGGTAACACATGTCTTACATTGAGTAAGGTTATATGAGCTTGTTTGAAAAAATACGATTATGGGAAGGAATTTCAGAGTGGAGTAGTGCGATGTAAGAAGCATGGAGATTAGTATTGTGACCTGCAGTGTGGTGGTAGAGGTGAGTGTGTACGTGGGTGGGTGAGTAGATGAATGGGTGCGTCAGTGAGTGTGTGCGTGGGTGGGTGAGTAGTTGAATGAGTGCGCGAGTGGGTGGGTGAGTAGTTGAATGGGTGAGTGAATGTGATTGAGTGGGGTGAATGGTTACTCTTGTAAATTCAACTATCATTATAACCTCCTGAGTTCTAGCTTGGATAAACAAATAAACTTGAATGTGAGTGACTGTGTTGTTCTGACCTGGCGACCCGGGTTCAATTCCCGCTCACGGCCAACACTGGTGACAATTATCTGAACCGTTCCTAGGCCTCCCGTAGGTAGACTTAGCCTCAAATTAGTACCTGGTGCGGTGTGTAAACATCGCCACTGGGGATACAAAGGCGACCGGGCGTGGTGCTGGCCACCCACCCCCTCGTGTGCCGTGCCGGCATTCATAGGCGCACGCTAACAGCACTTGCCCCAACAGTCTGTTAAGGCTATCTTTGTATCTATCTTGCTGCGGAATGAAACAGGCTGAGAAGCCCCTGGGCTCGTGCTTGAAGAAGAAGAGGAAGATGAAACCGAGATGCAAAATGCCCCTGTTCTGTCAGAAGTTAAAATCTCTTCAACATCGTCATGAGCTCGGATCGATCCACCGCTGGATGAAGGCCTCCCAGAGCCACTTGCCACCTCTCACGATCCTGCGATGCAACGACCAGAATATTTATGTAGGAATCCGATGAGCTATGAAGCTGTTGTATTTTTACCGATTTCTAGTCGGACGACAATCCATCGAGCACCTGTCACACGGACCGATCTCGTCGCTCAAGGCGGCTGCGAATAAACACAACTGACATTTATGGAGAGAAAAAACTATTTAATTCCGTGCGACCGGACTGACTGTCCTGACGTGCTGTGTCGATCTTCACTGCTTCTCTCGCCACGATGCACCAATGTCAATACAATCGGTCTCACCCGCAACGTGACGATGTGAGTGAAGATGAAACTGATATTCTTCAAACCGATATATGGTGTGGAGGGTACGCCGATAGTAGAGCGTGGAACAAGAAGAAAAGAGAAGCCAAAATCGGTACCAGGCATTCTTTTAACGTATCGTTATGGAGTGGAGCGGTGGCGCAGTGGTTAGCGCACTTGCACTATGCATCCGGTGACTTGCGTTAATTCCCAGTTGTGGTCTTGGACTACATCTCTTTTACATTTACCAACCGGCACTGACCCACGTAGTGAATTATGGTCAAGCGACCTCCAGGACCAACACGGCGTGTGGACGCTGTCATCTAGCAGTGGATTGACAAAGGACTGATTCATTAGTATGTACTTTCGATACCCAGCGTATAGAACTTCTGGTGTGTACATTACGCACACTGATAATGACACATCTCTGGCTTTAAGCAACCGTTTGAGATTCACATTAGATCTTTTGGGCGAGCCAACGTAATTATCTGGCCACATTTGTGTCGTAAAACCATCCACCACCCGACATATCACACATTCAATTGACACGTGTGTACGCGTTAAACGAGCCGTTTATTGCTGTTTCAGCTCACTCACTCACCGGCAAGTTGAACACTTATTCTCACAGCCGAACGTAGCAATTAGACACGACGAGCGCTTCATCGCAGACCCAATCACAAGGACGCCTAATATTTCCCCAACCACTCCCAAAGCCTTCTCACCATTCACTACCACCCGCTCTCTCACGTGTATAACTTTGCGCAGACGGAGGCTGCCTGCGTACACGAACGTTGTTTATGTGCCGATGCATGTACGTACGTACGTCGAACTTCTTTCGCACCGTACGTAGCCAAACCGTGGCAATGCATGCCAGCATTGAGAGTCTATTTTGTTTGTTGTGGTGGTGGGTGGGTGGGGGGTGGTAAATTACACTTTGGGTCTTTAACCAAAAAGCCCCTTCCGAAGTGGCCTCCGGGAATTCGTACTTCACACCACCAACCCCATTCACTGCCGCAGCCACATTCCGAAGGACCGCGCCTCGGCTGTGCTGCAGCAGAAGCACCCTAATTGACGACTCGCACCAACCAATCGCTGCTTCGCACGATTCGGAGACACTTGCAAAGCGCGCACATTCCGAGCTGAGATGTAACAAGCGACAAGAACAAATGTCAGCGTGGGGTGTTAAATGTCGCGACGCAGAAATAGCACTCCGGTCGAGAAATAACGACTTTAAAGACAATTTCGGAAGTTTAACCCATATTGGGTTGTGTTACAACTGCAGTGCTCTAATGGTGAATAATAATTGAGCACATTTGGTATTCGCGACATTCCCAAAGCACGGAGCGTTTACGAGGTGTGCTGTTTTGTGGTTCAGAAACTCGGCCACGACCTTCGGTTGGAGTGCATCATTTATTAAGCAGCACTGGTTCAAGCAACACGTGCACGCACTGGATTTCGACATCCATTGGTCTCGCCAGCTGCGACGCGGGTCAAACATCGACACCGACAAAAGGAAACGGAAGCGAAAGCCGAAAAGTGCGCAGAGGAGTGCGTGGAGACGCACACGTTGACTCCTCCACTTACGAACACTCGATGTACGATCTTTCAGGGATGCAAACAAACCTGTCCGTACCGTCCTGTTGCCTGTACACCAGGAGAGGTAGTTAACATCTCGCCACCGTGATGATGATGATGAGAGAGACGCAAACTCCCAAATTTCCAATAGGCATCATCAGGGTGGGGATCGAACCCTAGACCTCGTGTATACCAGGCGAGGTAGTTAACATCTCGCCACCGTGATGATGATGAGATAGACGCAAACTCCCAAATTTCCAACAGGCATCATCAGGGTGGGGATCGAACCCTAGACCTCGTGTATACCAGACGAGGTAGTTAACATCTCCTAGCCACCGCGATGATGATGATGATGATGATAAACGCAAACTCCAAATATACAACAGGCATCATCATGGTCGGGAATGAACCCAAGACCTCCTGTATACCAAGCGAGGTAGTTAACATCTCCTAGCCACCGCGGCGCGCTTTAATTCCCAGCGTGCATCCCTCCAAGTCTCATCCGCGCACCTTTCAGTTTTTCCCCACTCTCCATACTTTTCCTACCAACGAGCCACGCGTGACAGCGGGCAGCAGCAGTAGTTAGTAGTAGCAGTCATGAGTATACGCACCGATTGAAAACGTTCATCGTTAGGCACATTTTTCTGTGTTATGACGTTCAGCTATAAGCAAAAAAAAGCAAGCACTTTCGAACGTCCACCATGGGTGTTTTGTCTCCGCACCGTGTTGTGGGCATTTGCACAATTTTTTTTATTCACGAATCACGCACGTGCTCGCGTTTCTCGATTCAGCGATTTGAGCAAAACGACGGCCACGTTCGCTGACTCCGCAGACACTGACCGCAGGGCTGTGTTGCATTTTAGCAACAGCTCCCCGTGATGGCGGTGGTGGTTGGACAATGGTGATGCTCTTTCAGCAATTAACGCGTTTCGGTATAAATAGGGCGACCGTTGCATGAGTCAAACCATTCTGGATCTTCCTGTCTGCAGCATCTACTCCACCATGAAGAAGGTATGGTGCTTTACATGCACCCACTGCACGTTTTCCCGCCGCGAAATGTTCATTTCAGAAAGACAAAATATTTTGGAACGTTAGTTATGTTTGTTCGAATTGATATTCCGTTTCGGAAATTGCTGAATGATTGTGAAAATATAAAAAAATAATTTAAGCTGCTTGAATATGGAGCAATTTGCTACGTTTATTTATAGCTACAGCTATCTCAATGGGCATGTCTAACTAAACTAAAACTTCGTGAAACGTCGTGAGAATTTTTTTGGTTTTATATTTATATTATTTTATTATTTCCCTTCTATGTGACTTTACCGAAAGAACCAAGACTATAAACTATAACTATGAAAAATAAATACATTTTATTTTACCAAGTAAGGCCCACTGAGTTATGTAGCTATTTTCAGAAGCGACCTGGCCACAAATGATAGCTCAACGAAGTGGCTTATCACGTGGAAAGTTTACAGCAGCCAAATATTCTAAACGCGTGATGTTGATTCGAAATGCGGAGGGTTAACCCGTAGAAGCCGGAGAGAAATGAACGCGACCACGGGGAGAGAAACACGCAAACTACAAATGTACAGCAGGCATCAGGGTCGGGATTGAACCGATGGCCCCCTGCAGTTAACATCTCGCCTAAAACATATCTGCCTGTTCAACAGCATTGGTTCAAGCGTTTCCGACTCAAGCTGGCGAGACACTGAGTGTCGAAACTAATTGTGATTCTTCACTATGTTGTTGTTACATTTTTCTTGCAGAGTTCGTTACGCTTCGTATTGTGCCCTCCAGTGGCATGGAGTGAAAGTGGGCTGGGGATTTTGCCCAATCCTGAACCATCTGGGCCCTCAATCAACTTAATAAACGAACGAGTGATATTTTTTTAATAGTCGATACACGCCGAAGCATTATTCCCTGTATCCAGAGCCGAATTGAGGTTCTTGTAGGGTCCTAGACACTTCTGTTTCGTAGGCCTTCAGTGTAAATGTCTCCAGTTGGTACTGCTGCCAGCCCATGTCACTACTACCGCCGCTGCCACTCGCTTGTTCCACGCGTACTTCGTCCAGCCGTTGGAGAGATTTCGTTATTGTTTCGTCTGTTCCCGAATTCGACGGGAGCGCAGATTTAATTGGAAACACCGTTGCCTATTCTTACTATTAAAAAAAATTCCAGAAGATATCTTGGTTACATTTTTTTAATCGTACAAAGCAAACTAAAAACATGGTAAAACATTATTCTTTCGTAGGCCCGAGGCACAGTGCGTACTGTGGGTCTATTAGATAATAAGGTCCTGCTGGCTGTAACCAGGGCGGCCTGCGCGATTTCAACCGCGAAAACTCCGCCACAGGCTGGTTGGGAGGGACGTCCCCCTTGAATTACGCACGTCACAGCCACTGTTGTCGAGACCCACGCTGTTCCTCTCGCGTGTGCGTCCGCAGATCGTCTTTTTCGAGGAGCGAGGCTTCCAGGGCCGCCGCTATGAATGCATCCAGGACTGCCCCAACATGAGCACGCACATGACGAGATGCAACTCGATCCGAGTGGAGGGAGGCGCCTGGGTGCTGTTCGAGCGACCGGACTACAATGGTAGCATGTACATCTTGGAGCAGGGCGAATATTCCGACTCCCAGCGCATGGTGGGCAACTGTGAGCGGATCGGATCCTGCAGGGCAATCCGTGGCGTAAGTTATGGGCAATCCCGCTCGTGTGGCTTAGTAGTGCGTTCTCACGAGATATTCGGTGCCGATTTGCTTCGACTTTTACTCCAAATTCTAGATTTGAAGCTTTCGTGACTGCAAGGATTCATATTCTTAGGTTTTTTCGGTAAAGTCACGTAGGTAAAAAATTAAAATTAATAAAAGTAAAATCAAATAAAAATTAAATAAAAATCACGACGTTTCGGAGGCAACACAAGTTTCCGTCTTCAGCAAGCGTGCTGTGGCGGTTCCACCTGAAGACGGAAGCTTGTGTTGCCTCCGAAACGTCGTGATTTTGATTTTATTTTATTAATTTTAATTTTAAACCTACGTGACTTTACCGAAAAAACCTAAGAATATTTTACTCCAAAATCTCTGCGCCCACTCACGCTCTCGATCCTTTCCCCGTCTTGCTTTCCAATCCCTGGAACAAACTCCCACTGCACTCACCTGCTTCCGTTCCTCCCGACAGTACAACAGCGCTCGCAACCGGATGAAGCTCTACCAGCAGGATGACTTTGGAGGCCAGGAGATGGAGCTCACCGACGATTGCTCGAACCTGCCGGACCGCTACCGCCAGCGCGAAGTGCGCTCCATTCGCATTTTGGACGGCGCTTGGGTGGCCTACGAGGAGCCCAACTACCGCGGGCGCCAGTACCTGCTCGAGCAGGGCGAGTACCGTAGGTGCAGCGACTGGGGCGCCTCCAGCAGGGTTGCGATTTCCGCATGGAAAATGCGGAAGGAGGGTTCAAATTTTCCCGCATTTTTGCTAAAGTCAACCGCAAACGGTGGAAAGACTACTCCTATGACCGCGCGCTTTTAACAACACGGTAATGCGTTCTATTGGAAAGGATACATGCAAGGCCCAGCATCACGTAGGGCTTTGAGTTACTGATTGGAATGAATATATGATTTCCGCATTTCCGCACAAGAACCACATACTTTATTCAAAAGCGGAGCCGTGATTACGAGCACATGTACATGATGTATCCTTTCCAATAGAACGCATTAACGTGTTGTTAAAAGCGCGCGGTCATAGGAGTAGTCTTTCCACCGTTTGCGGTTGACTTTAGCAAAAATGCGGGAAAATTTGAACCCTCCTTCCGCATTTTCCATGCGGAAATCGCAACCCTGGCCTCCAGCCCCGTGATTCAGTCTCTCCGCGGCATCAAGAAATACTGAAGTCGCATTCGTCTCGGGTGAAAACCAAAAACTCCGGGTTCTCCCGTGCGCGCGCGACGATGCTGTGAACGTCACGTTTCGCGGAAATAAATGAACCTGAATTGCATTTTGAGTCTCGGTTTCATCTTATTATTCTTCTTTATCATGCACGAGCCCAGGGGTTTCTCAGCCTGTTTCACTCCGCAACAAGACAAATACAGAGATAGCCTTAACAGACTGTTGGGGCAAATGCTGTTAGCGAGCGCCTATTAAGGCCGGCACGGCACGGCACACGAGGGGGTGGGTGGCCAGCACCACGCCCGGCCGCCTTTGTCTCCCCAGTGGCGATGTTTACACACCGCACTGGGTACTAATTTGAGGCTGAGTTGACCTAGGGGAGGCCCAGGACCGGTTAAAATAATCGTCACTGGTGTTAGCCCGGGTGGCCGGGTTCGTAGCGCAGCGCGCTAACCGCTACACCACCGCTCCCCACTACAACAACACACGCGCACACACTCGAGTTTGCTCGATATTCGCGGCTACACCGAACCAATACATCAGTGGGCCTGCGTGGATGGATGGGAATGCATTATGGCTGATAGGGAATGCGCTTTTTTTCTTCTTGGTTCTTTCGGTAAAGTCACGTAGAAGGGAAGTAATAAAATAATAAAAATAATGCACGAGCAGAATATGACTTTGAAACCCCCCGCCCACCTCCTACGCATTTGCCATAAATATGCTAAATTCCTCTTGATATGCAAATTATTTTGTCAAGGCGCTCTTCTTCCTCCCTCCAACCCAGCTTAAATATACGCTCCAAGCTTGGTGGTGTTTCATTATTCACCTGAGGACGGCTGCTTGCGTTGTGGCCGAAACGTCGTGAGAATTATTTTATTATATAATATTATTTTATTATATTATTTTATTATGTTTTATTTTTATTGTTTTATTACTTCCCTTCTACGTGACTTTACCGAAAGAACCAATAAGATGAATCCCTGCAGTCACGAACGCTTTAAATCGAAATTTAAAGGGAATGCACTATTCTATGCTTACACAGTCCTGATCTCGCCGAGGACAAGGCAATCAAGTGGCGTTGTCAAGGTCCTTGACAATAATACAGGGAGGAACAATGTTCCACACTGCCCACCAGGGATTATTTAGCTGTCTGTCTGTCTGACTGTCTGTCTGTCGTGCATAAATAAATATATAATACACACAGCTCTTTGATTGGTGGAGACCTACTGCCGGGTACGGAGAGGGGAGGTGCCTAAGGGAGGAGGGTCAGGGGAGGGGCCTAAGGAAGGGGGGAGTCAGGAGAGGGGCCTGAGGGGGGGATCAGAGGAGGGGCCTAAGGGAGGGGGGGGGGTCAGGGGAGGGGCCTAAGGATATGGGGGGTGGTCAGGGGAGGGGCCTAAGGGAAGTGGGGTCAGGGGAGGGGCCTGAGGATATGGGGGGGTGGCCAGGGGAGGGGCCTAAGGGAAGGGGGGGGGGGTAAGGGGAGGTGCTTAAGCAAGGGGGAGGGGCCGATAGTTAAGGGGGCTGGCTACCTGGCTGTCTGCCTGGCTACCTCAAGTCAAGTTATCTTGTATACAGGTAGGAACAACAGGTTCCACACTGCCCACCAGGGATTATTTGTCTGTCTGTCGTGCACGAATGCGCTGTCCAACCAAGTTCCTACCTGCCCACTCCGAAGGAACGTGTTTAGCCCAACTGCGTCCGTGTATTCGTGCCCGTGTCTTTGTGTGTCTGTGTGTGTCTCCATGTCTCTGCGTCTGTTGGCCCAACTACGCATGCACGGCCGAGTGGGTTGGGAGGGCCGGTGGTGGTGGCTGACGACTTTCTCTGCTGCAGCACTGCGCCAGGGTGAACAATGGAGAGGCAAGGGCTGGAGATGGGGCGTTTGGGGGCTTGAGGTGTCGTTCCTTCCTATAATTCCGACAGTTCCGTGGCACACCTGGGATTTCCCTACAGCACACCTGGGATTTTGCCACGGACACATCTGGGATCTTTCCACAGCACACCTGGGATTTTGCCACAGCACACCTGGAATTTGTCCACGGGCACACCTAGGATCTTGTCAGAACACACCTGGGATCTTGGCACAGCACACCTGGGATTTTCCCACGGGCACACCTGGGATCTTGCCACAGCACACCTGGGATTTTCCCACGGGCACACCTGGGATCTTGCCACAGTACACCTGGGATTTTGCCACAGCACACCTGGGATCTTGCCACAACACACCTGGGATTTTGAATGAATCGGGAGCACACGCAAATCAATCGGGAGCACGTGTGAATGAATAAATCGGAGCACGTATGAATGAATCGGGAGCACGCGCGAATGAATCGGCAGCACGAATGAATGAACTAATCGCAGCACGCGTTCCCGTGGTCGTGGGGACGCCATCGCCCCCCCCCCCTCCGGCTACGTCACGCGCGCACGCGGATTTGCAATCGCGCGGTGCCCGCCTCGGCCACCGTTCCTGACGTCACGCGGCAGTCACACGGCACGCGTGGTGGTCGTGGCGGCTGAGTCGCTCTCTGCTGCGTGAGTCCGCGTCGCATTTGGACTTCTTTCGCACCCTACGTGGGCCTACGGTTGACGGCAGCAGCAGCAGCAAGAAGAAGAAGAAGTCCATCGCGCGCGTTCGTTCGCAAATCTCCGAGCCGAATGTCGTGGGCGCGCGGGGGCGGGCGCGTGCCCGTGCTGGACGTGCACGCGGGGAACGCGGCCGCGTGCTGGGAGAGCGCGCGCCGCGCAGTGCGCGCAGCCTCCTTCATCGCCATGGACGCGGTGAGGCGGGGTGGGGGGCGGGGGGGGTGGGGGGCGGTGAGGTGGGGGGGGGGCGGTGAGGTGGGGGGGGGCGGTGAGGTGGGGGGGGGTGAAGTGGGGGGGGGCGGGGAGGCGAGGGGGGGGGGGTGGTTGGCGGTGAGGCGAGGTGGGGGGTGAGGTGGGGGGCGAGGTGGGGGGGGGGGAAGGGGTGAGGTGGGGGGTGGTGAGGCGAGGTGGGGGGGGTGAGGCGAGGTGGGGGGGTGGGAGTCGAGGTGGGGGTGGTGATGCGAGTGGGGGGGACAGGTGGAGGCGAGGTGGGGCTGGGGTGGGGCGGTGAGGCCGAGGGTGGGGGGGTGAGGTGAGTCTAGGTGGGGGGTTGAGTGTGGGGGTGCGGTGCAGGTGAGGCGAGGTGGGGGGTGAGGTGGGGGGTTGCGGTGAGGTGAGGCGAGGGTGGGGGAGGGTGAGGTTGGGGGGGGCGGTGAGGTGAGGCGAGGTGGGGGTCGAGGTGAGGACGAGGTGGGGGGGTGAAGTGGGGGTGGGGGGCGGTGAGGTGGGGGGGGCGGTGAGGTGGGGGGGGCGGTGAGGTGGGCGAGTTGGGGGGGTGAGGTGGGGGGGTGCGGTGAGGTGAGGCGAGGTGGGGGGGGTGTAGGATGGGGGGGGGCGGTGAGGGTGGGGGGGGCCGGTGGAGGTTGGGGGGGGCGGTGAGGTTGGGGGGGCGGTGAGGTTGGGGGGGGCGGTGAGGTGGGGGGGCGGTGAGGTGGGGGGGTGAGGTGAGGTGAGGGGGGCGGTGAGGCGAGGTGGGGGGGCGGTGAGGGGTGAGGTGAGGCGAGGTGGCGGGCGGTGAGGCGTGCGGGGGGCACGGTGAGTGGGATGCGCGACCATGATCTACCCACTGCTGGGTGGAGGCCTCCCCAAGCCGCCGCCTCTCGCGATCTTGCGAGGCCACAAGGCGCACGCGACCTGTGACCCGGCGCTGTGGAGGGTTGGTGGTTCACCGACACGCGCCGCATGTTGCGAGGAGGACACCCTTGCCCTGGCTCGCCACGAGGTGGTACAGCAAAGTGTGGACTAATCTCCATCTGTTCCGTCTGTAATGGGATAGAGCGTTGCCCCCTCGCGCGTGTGGCTTTCCTCCCACGTGTTGTATAATGCTCATCATAAATGGACTGAAAATGTAATCTTAAAATATAACCCCATGTAGAAAGAGCCTCCTCCTGAAAATCGGTCTTTGGATTCAGTGCGGCCTTACTGGATGTATAGGTATTGATTATTGTTACTATATTGCACTTGCACAAGAGTCGATGCCTTGTCATTTGCGACTGTTTAGGTGTTTGAACATCTTAACACCTGTATTAATGTCAGTAAGGGCGATTAAGGCATTGTCTTTGTTTGATCGTCTTGATACTGGCAAAAAGATCCCGTAGATAAGTGACACGTTATGTGTTATCTCATACAGTAGCAGGGTTGACGTGTGACCTCGTGTGCACGCGTGTGTTTTGTATTTACGCAGGAAATGAGTGGTCTGGGTAACAGAAAAGCATTACTTGCCCAGTAAGTGTTCAAACACAAGAACCATAACGCTGAATACAATCGCCTGTACCATGCTTGACACGCACAAATGATATTCGTAACAGAATTTTATTTTCTGAGTAAAGCGCATTAAGCTAGAAGATCTTTTTCACAAGTGACTCAGCTGACAGACGACACATTAGTATTAGTTGTCATGTGCCACGGCATACATCCAGGAACAGCTTCCAAAACCTGCTCATTTTCTTATCTGCTCCACTGTGAAATTCCCCATTGTAGCATCGCAAACCAAGCAAATGTATATTCTAAAAATATAAATCTGCTGAAAATCTTGGTAGTATGAACCCAATGGGCTACTATATTAAGTAAGCCCCATTCTTGTCATCTTACGCACCTACCGGCGTTGTTAAGGTTCCACCAACTTTGTTGTCTTGGCTCCGGAACACATTCCTGCGGAGGGAGCTGCTAGGAACGTTGGGTTGCTCGGTCAATGGCCAGGGTCAACGGCGGCGTGGTGTATTCCGCAAATATGCCCGACTGTGAGGACGGGCACAAGCCGGCATGAGTAGGTTAAACGTTGAGTTTTATAAGGGCACCACGGGGTGGCTAGCCCCTCCCCACCCAGCCCCACCCCTCCCCCCACCCAGCCCCACCCTCCCTCCCCACCCAGCCCCTCCCCACCCTTCCCATCCAGACTCTCCCCACCCTCCCCACCCAGCCCCACCTTACCCACCCAGCCCCTCCCTACCCTCCCTACCCACCCAGCCCCTCCCCACCCTCCCCTCTCCACCCAGCCCCACCCCTCCCATGCACGACGGACACAATAATCTCCTGTGGGCTGGTGTAACCAGGAGGTTCCAACCAGTATTATTGATATTTGAATGCAAGTTGTGTGTGTGCCTGCAGGTCAATAGAAGAGCGCTACATTGCGATTCGTAATGCAGCAAGGACACGCTCCCTGCTGTCCATCGGCCTCGCCTGTTTCCGCCTCCTTCCTGGAAAGGTTGGTTTGTGTGTGTTGGATCCTCTGTGAGAAGACGGTTATAGCCATCGCAAGCATGCTACCATGTCAGGTGGTTTGGGATGAGGTTCTTGGTCATGTACACCAATGAGCCAGATGGCTCAGCGGCAGAGCGAGTGAGTTCAAATCCTGGTTGGGGGTTGACTCGACCCGCCAGAGTCAAAATACGTATTTATCCTGGAGGAATCCGATGAGCTATGAAGCCCATCATCTCAGTGGGGGTCGATACAATTAGTACCACAGTGATTGTTGCATGGATATATCCGCCCCTGCCGTAGGAACAGAGTATTTTCACCACTTGCTCAAGGCTGTTAGTGACCGCTGCCTCAATACGGATTGTATACAGTATATGCACATGTAAGTAATAGTATTTATTATTGACGTGAGGTTGTGTGTTTATAACACATTCCTGCGGAGGGAGCTGGTAGGAACGTTGGGTTACTCGGTCAATGGCCAGGGTCAACGGTGGCGTGGTGTATTCCGCAAATATGGCCGACTGTGAGGGCGGGCATAAGCCGGTGTGAGTAGGTTAAACGTTGAGTTTTATAAGGGCACCCTGGGTGGGGAGGGTGGGGAGGGGCTGAGTGGGGAGGGTGGGGCTGGGTGGGGAGTGGGACTGGGTGGGGAGGGGCTGGTCACCCCGTGGTGCCCTTATAAAACTCAACGTTTAACCTACTCATGCTGGCTTGTGCCCGCCCTCACAGTCGGGCATATTTGCGGAATACACCACGCCGCCGTTAACCCTGGCCATTGACTGAGCAACCCAACGTTCCTACCAGCTCCCTCCGCAGGAATGTGTTTTCCATCTGTATGGGGATTGAGTGTTACCCCCCCTCACAAAGACTTGGATTTTTCTCCAGGGTACACCAGTTTCCTCCCATCCAGTATGTATAAACTCTCGTTAATTGAGTTGGTCAAATATTCCAATGTAGGATCACAGAGCTTGGGCAATCGTTGATGCTGGTTCTGGCTACCCTCCAACTTGATTTTGGTTCCCCATGCCTTTGAATAATTTTTTCTTTGAAGAGTGAATAAAAACGTTGCGTTACAAATTTTAAAAAAATGTATGACTAATGTTTGATGTTATTTTTTGTTTGTTCAGGGCTACAGCAGATATGAAGTGCAGGTTTTGAACCTGACGCTGCTTAGCACAGAGGAGTACACTGTGGAGCCACAGTCCTTAAAATTTCTGGTGGAGCACGGCTTTGATTTTAACAAGCAGTACACACAAGGCCTGCCCTACCGACCTGGCAGTGACATGGTGGGTCCTGCTTTCCAGCCTTGTAGTGTGTGTGTTGTTTGTGTCTCATCTGTCCTGTTTGCAACTTGGATAACAGGTCCCTTACAGCGTAATGTGAGTGTGTGCAATTTGAATTCGGCAAAACACCCTAATATAGGACCACAGAGCTTGCAAAATTGTTGCCGCCGGTTCTGGCTGCCCTTTCCGCTCGCCTGTCGCTTCTATGGCACCTCTGTGTTAAAACTGTGCACGTAAATAATTCTGCAGCAATTTGAGATGTAATTTGCATGAACGATGGCGCTATATAAAATAATATTAAAGTAAAATATTGTTATGGGTGTGGGGATAGTTGCAGAAATCTAACAATCCCCCGCTGGACACGGGGTTTATTTGACCATACCATGCTGGTCAGCGCAGCCCATCACATAGCCCCTAAAAATTATAAATGAACAGTTATTACTCCGATACAAATGATAAATTCGGCCCTTGGAAAACTTCCTTTAACACGTAGGCTTTCGTAAATGTTGCGGGCGTACTGAAGTGGTAACTAATTAGCACGTTTTGTTTACGTGACAAACCTTACGAATTGGCTGAGTCGGTTTGTGATGGGTTAACATTTACGTGATCTAACTCCACAAAAACTTTATTTATGGAAAACTGTTGTCATATGTGGGACAGGGCATCCAGTTCTTAGCTCAATGCGCTCGATGGAATTCGTATAAAAGCAGTCGGGTTGATTGATGATCCATCACTCACTAATGCTCTCCAGTTACTCGCTCACTCACCGGGGTGATTCAACTCCTAATCATGCTTCTATTGCTGCTGCCATGGTTAATGTTCCCGTGAATTTCACTCATTGATCCCTCAACCAAGTCTCATCGATACTGTGTTGTACCACCATACTGCAGGTCATAACAATACACCCTCTTACTCATTCACACACTTACTCATCTGCTTACCAACATACTCGCCACACACCGCGGGTCAAAATACGTCTTTTTTTTGCTTCTTTCGCACTGTTCCGTTTTGGACTTCTCTCCCATCGTCTCTTTTTCCCATGAGTTTATAACCTCGCTCAACTCAAGAAACGTGGTAACTCCTCTATTACAGGTTTGATGGTGCTGTTGTTTGTTGCTGGATGCTTGACACGTTGGGCCTTTGGGCCTGTGTTGAGCAAGTGTTTCTAAAAAAATATATATTGTGATACGTATCCTGTTAATATGCAGCAATTCCGTTGATGGCTATATTTTGCCCTGTGCTACAATTCCTCTCTCCACCTTTGCTCCCGTGTGGGTGTCTGTGTGTGGGGAGCGGCGGTGTAGCGATTAGCATGCTGCTCTATGATCCCAGCGACCCGAGTTCGATTCCCGCTCGCGGCCAACACCAGTGACGGTTATCTGAATCGGTCCTGGGCCTCCCCTAGGTCGACTCCGTTGAGTACCTGATCCGGTGCGTAAACATCGCCACTGGGGAGACAAAGGCGGCCGGGCGTGGTGCTGGCTACCCACCCCCTATGTGTGCCGTGCTGGCCTTCATAGGTGCTCGCTAACAACACTTGCCCCAACAGTCTGTTAAGACTATAACGGGGGGGGGGGGATCTTTGTCTTTGTGTGTGCCCGCAGACTGCCTCAGACAGCACAGCGCCTGGTGCTCGGGCTCTGTTCTCAGAGGTGGTGCTTGCCGAACGGCCGCTGGTGCTACACAACGGTCTCCTGGACCTGGCGTTCCTGTTCCAGGCTCTGCATACCACCCTGCCACCCACGCTACAAACCTTCATGGCCGACCTGGCCACCCTGCTCCCAGCCGGCATCTATGACACCAAGCACATTGTGGAGACAGAAACGGATATGGCAGCTTCCTTCCTGGAGTACGCCTTCCGCAAGTGGTAAGGTGTTGGGCGCATCTGTGCCTGTGTCTGTGCAGTTATTTTTCCCGGTCGCAGGTTGGAGCAATTGAAAATTCGACCAACAGGAATGTGAAAGGGACAATTACGACCTGAAGCATTTTGATACAACCATATGGGATGATCTAAAGTATGTTTGATTTGTAATAGATTTTTGGAGTAGGCTAAATAATTTGACCACATCTTTTTTTGTGATACCCTACTCCACCCGATATAGCTGCTCACGTGATATTGTCTGTGTGTGCCCACAGTACATGGGGAGGGATGTGTTTCTGTGTGCCCACAGTACACAGAGAGTGATGTGTTTCTCTGTATGGTCTCACAGTACACAGGGAGTGATGTGTTTCTCTGTATGTTCTCACAGTACACGGGGAGTGATGTGTCTCTCTGTGTGTGCCCACAGTACACAGGGAGTGATGTGTTTCTCTGTATGGTCTCACAGTACACAGGGAGTGATGTGTTTCTCTGTATGGTCTCACAGTACACAGGGAGTGATGTGTTTCTCTGTATGGTCTCACAGTACACAGGGAGTGATGTGTCTCTGTGTGTGCCCACAGTACACCGGGAGTGATGTGTTTCTCTGTGTGTGCCCACAGTACACAGGGAGTGATGTGTCTCTGTATGTTCCCACAGTACACGGGGAGTGATGTGTTTCTCTGTGTGTGCCCACAGTACACAGGGAGTGATGTGTTTCTCTGTGTGTGCCCACAGTACACAGGGAGGGTGTGTCTCTGTGTGTGCCCACAGTACATGGGGAGGAGGGTGTGTCTCTGTGTGTGCCCACAGTACACAGGGAGTGATGTGTTTCTCTGTATGTACTCACAGTACACGGGGAGGGGTGAAGTCGGGCGTCGTGGGCAGCGGCGTGCACGTGCAGTTTGGTGACGTTCCCCCGTCCCTGCTGGACCACGTGGATGAACGGCTGTGCCCCGAGCCCCGTGCCGGTCCAGAGAAGAGCGAGGAGGCGATGCAGACGGAGCCTGCTATATGCGAACGATTTGCGGTAACCACTACGACCATCCCCTCTCATGATGGCACCGTGTAGTAATAATAATATTAATTTTGATTTAAAGCTTTCGTGACTGCAGGGATTGATATTCTTGGTTCTTTCGGTAAAGTCACGTAGAAGGGAAATAATAAAATAATATAAATCAATAAAAATTCTCACGACGTTTCGACTGCAACACAAGCAATCATCATCAGGTGTGAAATCTACAGAAAGAAAATTAGAAAAAAGTGGCGGTTTGTCCTGACGTCAGCACCACAGACAGCGATTTGGCAGTTTGCCAGATGGACGAGTCCATCTATGTTCGGAAAAGAGGAGGGGGGAGCAGAAAATGGAATGCGGTCTGAAAGTCAGCGCAAGCGTGAACACAATCAATTAAGACCCGAAATGGTTGATCAAATACGTCCAATGATTGCTAAGCCAGAATCATCTTCTCGGTTGAAATTATCTCTGTGTTTGTGAATAGCCTCATGAACGAACCTCTCATGGTAGCCAGATGGCTTGCAAAGAACCCACAGTACACAGGATACGCATCACAATATTAATGTGTGAATTTTTCTCACAAACTTATTCGGTGTAATATTTAAACGAGAACGTGCACGACAGTTCCCCTTATCCGGTGCAATGTGGGCAAACAATGTTGTGGATTCTATTTTCCGTGGGATTAACAGCCGATTGTGGGGGAAAAAAATCACACATAATCGTGGGTAATTGCAAAAAAATCATGGGTAATTGTAAGCCCTTTCGCAATGACTTATGGCACACTTTGTGGATGGCAGTTGATAATTGGAGGAATAGGTCCGTGGTTAATTGGAGTTTTCACGGATCCTACAGCTCCTTTGGATGATAGGAGTCACGGGTAATAGGGTCGCAGATGAGATATTTTTCCTGGGAAGAAATTTACAGCTTGGCTAATATCAATGTAACCTCACGGAAAATGCCAAGTTTGCCAATTATAGACCCAGGAAATTCTTACCGCTACTACCATGGTTACTCTTCCTGTGAACTTGTTGATTCCTCCACTGACTACCAGAATATTTTATTTAATCCACACCATATTTAACCATTGCACCGCAGGTCACAACAAAACCGCACTCATTCCCTTGCTCTCTCCCCGCACGCACTCACTCGCTCGCCTCACTGCAGGTCACAACTTCTATTTTTGCATCTTCCCTGCTCCAATCTCGAATGCCCTCCAGTCGTATATTTTCCAAAATTCTTGCTAAATCAAGGAATGTTTTACTCTTAGCTATTACATTATTGATGGTGCTGTTTGTTACTGGCCACTTAATGTTTGGGTCTTTTGGCTTGTGCTCGGCAACTATATTTTAAAAAGTCGAAATGTGACCTCCAACGAACATGCTCTCAGTATCCCTCCATCACGTGTTAAGATCCTCCCCATGATTGCCAATCTCAATGTGTCGCTTCGAATGCCTGCCTCGGGAACCTATCCTCGATCTAATGTGTGCTTGTTTGGTTGTATCATTATAATAGTAATAATCAAGTTGTCTTTGCGTTGATAAGGACGCGCGTGCTTTTAAATGTTTCAGCAACTCAAAAGCACCTCGCGTATCACATCTCATCCTAAACATTCAAAGGGCACCTCAAGTGGCAGCTGTCCCTGTGCAGGACAATTGGGCATTAGACTACCAGGAGGGGGCGTTGGTTGGTCGTCGTTGTAAGAGACCTGCCTGAATCGGGCTTACCAACTGACAGTCTGATTGTTGCGTGCAATCCCAGTGGAGTAATTTGTGGTATACATTTTTTTTTTTAACATGGCAAATTTGGACCATGACGCCAGCACACATTGGCCTACTCGTGTCGAATGACGTTGGGGGATATATAACGTCCGTGGTTAATGAAGCAGATGGTGCATCGTTTTTTATGGTTAACACGGCTGCAGCATTAATTGGGGCGGTCTGCCAATTTGAACGGCAGACATCTTTAATGAGCGGTAAACGCGCTACCGCTGGGCCAATTGACTGTGCCCATTGTCTGTGGCTTCCTGGGTGTGTGTGCGTGTGCAGGGGTATGGCTGGTGTTCATTGGGAGTCAAGTGTCCACTTTCGCACGACATGGAACGCATCCTGGATGACCACGAGAGGCTGGTCCAGACCAAGCGGCAACGTCGCTCACGATCCCGGAAAAAATCTCGTGCCAAAAGCGAGACGGACGGCAGCCCCAGCAGCCAGCCCAGTGTTCTCGTCGATGACCCAGCAAATATGGCTGAAGTCCAAGCCGTTCGGGACAACCAAACCGTTGCCAAAAGAGAAACCGACTTTGGTGACGACTTGGTGTCAAAGCGACCCAAGATGAGCGAGGAACACTTGGAGACGGTGGAATTAGAGGAGCGGGTTTCCAGCCCGTTGGATGTACCTCTCAAAATCGAGGCACCTGCCAAAATTTCCAATGATGACGATGGCGGCGAGCCAGGTGACGGGAAAGAGTCGGAGATAAAACTGATGAATTCGGCGGTGGCAGTGGCGTCTGGGAGTCACCGGGCGGGCTTTGATGCGTTCATGACGGGGTTTGTATTTGCCAGCGTCCTTGCCTTCCAAAACGGGGGCTCTAGCCAGTGTGCAGGCGATGTGGGCGAGCAGATTGTGCCAGACGTGACGGAGAGCTGGCTTCCGAGCTGCCGCAACAAACTTTATCTGAGTGGCAAGGCTATGCCGCTGCACGTGTACAAGAGTGCCTTCTCGAACTCGTCCCGGGCGCATCGTGATAAGATGACACGGTTGGGCAAACACATTGAGTGAATGGCTCCTCGGTCGAACCCAATGCACAGGTATTTACAGGCAATTGTATGGTTCGTAATTGATTTCTAGGTCAGGCCACAGTTATTTGGCCAAGTTTTGTGTCATTCAACTTACCAGACGAGACAATAATTGGCCAGCTTGTACATACGATAATTTGTTTGGCAGTATCGTGCGGTGGTGGAGTTTCGAAATGACACAAATTTGGCCAGATCATAATATGACTTAACCCAAACATCTATTACGAATCACTCTTTGGTCTGTTATGCCATTGAGTAGGTGACAGTTGTTGGTACCCTAAGGAAGTGAAAAGGAGACTGGAGGTCATCAGATGGCTTTGGTTAGCAGCACTGACGCTGGTAGTAGGTTGTAATCCATTCAGCCACCTGTGTTTAAACTGGGTGGATAAGTTCTTAAGCATATACAGCAAGGCTCAGTCTAGTCCCTGATAACTGCACTAAAATGGCATTAAAATTTGGTTCTTCACTTGGGCTAAATTCCTTCTTCCAGACTTAAACATATTGGTTGGACTTTGACGATGCTACTCTTTGGTTCTTTCGGTAAAGTCACGTAATTATAAAATAAAAACAAATCACGACGTTTCGGGTGCAACACAAGCGTTGGTCATCAGGTGGGAAAGCATGGTCTGCTGCTGAGGCAGACTGTTTTACTCAGCTACCAACACCAATGACGATTATCCTTTTAAAAGTCTGCCTCAGCAGCAGACCATGCTTTTCCACCTGATGACGGATGCTTGTGTTGCGCCAGAAACGTCGTGATTTGTTTGATTTTATTTTATACCTACGTGACTTTACCGAAAGAACCAAAGAGGATGGATTCCTGCAGTCACGAAAGCTTCAAATCAAGATTTTTGACTATCCTTTGAACATCAAGTGAAAATGTGTGCCCCTAATGTTGTGGACAAAAATGTCACTCAAGGGATCTCAGAAGTACGGCAAGTTCTCATTTAACACGGTAGATGCGTTCGTGTAAAGTGCCGTGTTAAGCGAAAAACACGTTTAAGCGAAAATAAACTCCCCTAAATATTGTAATGATAACGTTCGGCAAGATACAATGTACACACACATGGTCAGATGGCGGGACAAATAACTGAGGGTACTGTATCATTCCACGTACTTTATCTTCCCTGCGCAGCTCAAGAAAGTAGATTGTCGTCGACCGCTGTGCGAAGTGTTCCATCATGGAAGAACCGCATTCTACTTCTTGGTTCTTTCGGTAAAGTCACGTAGAAGGGAAGTAATAAAATAATAAAAATAAAACATAATAAAATAATTCTCACGACGTTTCGGCCTGTTCTTCACCTGAGGACGGCTGCTTGCGTGTTGTGGCCGAGACGTCGTGAGAATAATTTTATTTTATTATGTTTTATTTTTATTATTTTATTATTTCCCTTCTACGTGACTTTACCGAAATAACCAAGAAGATGAATCCCTGCAGTCACGAAAGCTTTAAATCGAAATTTAACCGCATTCTAGTGAAAATGCGTTGTGTGAATACGCGTTAAGCGAGGACATACCGTGGATATGAGATATTTTTAATTGTGGGTCATTCGCGAACAAGTGGGGTTATGCAGTGCGCTTTAAGAGTAGGGTGTATTTTTATAGTCCGTTTTCCACTGCCACATCTGAGCCATGGCAGCACGGGGCTATCGTGTTATGGGTGATTTTCCACTGGCTATTTTCCGAGCCGAGCCAGAACCACTTTGTGCTTCATTGGTGAGCGTGCACTGTGTGAGTGTAGGGTGGTTGTGTATCGGTTAACGGACTGCGCTATGAACCCGGCGACCCGAGTTCGATTCCCGCTCACGGCCAACACCAGTGACGATTATCTCAGCCGGTCCTGGGCCTCCCCGAGGTCGACTCTGCCTCAGACGAGTACCTGGTGCGGTGTTTAGGCATCGCCATTAGGGAGACTAAGGCGGCCGGGCATGGTGCCAGCCACCCACCCACCCCCTTGTGTGCCGTGCTGGCCTTCGTAGGTGCTCGCTAACAGCACTTGCCCCAACAGTCTGTTAAAGGCTATTAGTTTGTGTACATCCATCTTCACTCGTTCAACGTGTGCTACGTCCGTGGCACAGCTTGCTTTTGCAGTGGAAAAACAACCTGCGCCTCCTGAATCGCGCAGAGCTGGCTCGGCATGGCTCTGGAACAGTTCGGATGTGCCAGTGGAAAACAGGTGTCAAGTCTCATGCCATGAGGCCAATAGAAACAGTAATAATGAAATTGTGTGAAAAACACCAAAAATAAAATAGGTTGCGTGTAATTTTTTAACTTTGTCATAAGGTTTCGACTTGCACAACGTATTAATCTTACTTGCAAATGTATGCAATGTTCACAATGCATTTCCCTGTGCCTCCATGATGCCTAGCAATGTCTCGGAGAATTTCCAGTATTCTAAAATGTCCGTGTTTTTATTAAAATAAAAAAAAACATATTTTGACTTACAAATTTGAGTTTTTGTTTTTTGCAGAAGCTTCATTAGATTTGATGTCTCATTTAATATTTTAATTAACCTAAGCCGTGGTCAATCCACCGTTGGATCTTGCACGTAGGGAGGGCATTTCATCAATGGGATCCATCAAAGCTCGCACGCACAATGCACTGCAGGCCTCGTGCGGTATTTCTGGTAAGAATGGAGATTGATTGAAGTGTCTTCAACTTCACAGGTCGACTGCATATAGTACTTTGCATATGGTGGATGATGGTGCCCTTAAGCTATCACCGTCTCTCACGATCCCGCGATGTGATAATCCACCTATAAACTACACATGATCCAATACAATAATACCTCGATATGCGTATATTGATTAAACAAAGTTGTGGTACAGCGAACATTGCCATTATTTTACACACAAAGCTAAAAATAAAGTTAAATGCTAAATACATTGAAATTAAATATAACATTCATTAATCTGTCAGTTTAGAATTATCACGTGGTATTGCATAATGTTATTTTCACTATAAATTGTCTATTAACAATATGGTAAGTTTACGAAGGCTGGGAACGCATCCTCGTAATAAAGTTATAAGGTGTTCAGTATACTAAGTTTAAATATACGAAGCTCCAAGAAGGCATCTACTTCGTATTTCGAGGTATTATCGTCTGCACTGATCACCTCTTGGGCATTTTCCTTGCTATATTTGAAGTCGTGACTGCAGGGATCCATAGTCTTTGGTTCTTTCGGTAAAGTCAAGTAGGTATAAAATAAAATAAATTAAATCATTATTTAATTTAATTGATTTTATGTTATACCTACGTGACTTTACCGAAAGAACCAAAGAGTAGTTTCCTTGCTGTGGCTGCCACTCCCTTCATCAATTCCCGTGAATCAATCCTAATTAAGTTTCTTAACAGAATGTCTTTGCCGTGCGTCTGTGATCTGTTTTACGTGTTCCTCTTTATATTTGTTTCCAAGCGTGCCCATTTCTATGCTTCTTCGTCACCTTGACGTTTTTGTTCCATTTTCTTAATGACTATGTTTGTGATCCAAATCTAAGAGCAAGTAGTGGGCAGTTGATTGAACGTGTCTTCATTAAGCACACCTATCATCAACATTAGTCCGTAATGTATAGAATACGGTAACTATAGAAGTCATGCAATTGCAGTCAAAGAATTGAACGCAAACCCTTTGGAACATCCACCGAGATGGAGTGGTGTACTGATCATGGATACTGCTGTTGGTGTTTATTGAACTGCAGTGCACGGTGCCACGTGGAAACCACGTGTGTGCCACCGGCCTGTGGCGTCATCATCACGAGTCGACCCAGCCCCCGCTCGTCTCAATACAAGATCAAAATTACACAGCAACCAGGGTTGCGATTTCCGCATGGAAAATGCGGAAGGAGGGTTCAAATTTTCCCGCATTTTTGCTAAAGTCAACCGCAAACGGTGGAAAGACTACTCCTATGACCGCGCGCTTTTAACAACACGTTAATGCGTTCTATTGGAAAGGATACATCATGTACATGTGCTCGTAATCACGGCTCCGCATTTGAATAAAGTATGTGGTTCTTGTGCGGAAATGCGGAAATCATATATTCATTCCAATCAGTAACTCAAAGCCCTACGTGATGCTGGGCCTTGCATGTATCCTTTCCAATAGAACGCATTAACGTGTTGTTAAAAGCGCGCGGTCATAGGAGTAGTCTTTCCACCGTTTGCGGTTGACTTTAGCAAAAATGCGGGAAAATTTGAACCCTCCTTCCGCATTTTCCATGCGGAAATCGCAACCCTGACAGCAACGTTGAACGGCCGTATTTTGAAAGGGGCATGATTACATCTGGATCAGGATTGAAATTGGATAGCGGCCAGCGAGAGCCAACATACAGTGGAATATAACATTTATTAAAAGGAAACATTACAAAGTAAATTATAGTCTTTCAACAAGTGGATATTGTGCACCGTGGCAAATACAGGACGGTCCATGGATAGACTAATTTTAATAACCCTCTTAACGTTCTTCTCAACAGCAAATTGAACATTGCGAAAGCGATGGCTCAATATATCACAGAGTGTGAACAGATGTAACGCGTGCATTGAGATTGGTGGGAGACGTTTTCTCTGCAGTGTCCCCCTGCTATTCAGTGGACACACTATAAACGGATCACCTTGAATGTTATCCAACAGCATTTAACCCCGGCTGCTGTCGATCAAACCCGCCCCAGCGGCGATGTAACCTTTTACAAATGTAATCTTTAAAAATTAAGATGTTCGTTTGGTTAATATATGACTGAGGTGGTTAGAAGGTGGTAGTCCAACGATGCATTATTGAATCTACCTGTGAAGCTATGAAGTGTATTGAGACTCATGACTTAAATTGAGCAAATATCCCATTGCAGGACTCGAATTGAAAGTCTTGAGGCTCAGCGAAATTGCTTCTGTTCCTCAAGCTGCTTCTGTTCAAGCTGTTTCCGTTCCTCAAGCTGACTTCGTTTCTCAAGCTGCTGCTGTTCCTCATACAGCCTCTGTTCCTTCAGCTTTTTCTGTTCCTTAAGCTGCTTCTGTTCCTCAAGCTTCTGTACCTCAAGCTGATTCTTAAGCTGCTGCTGTTCTTCCAGCTGATCTTGTTCCTCAAGTTGTTGGTTCTCTTCCTTGAGCACCTGTTCCAGTTGCTGCTTGTTTCTCGAGCTGCTTCCGTTCCTTGAGCTGTTTCTTTTCCTACTTGAACTGCTGCTTTTGTTCTTCCAGCTGCTTTTGTTCTTCCAGCTGCTTCTGTTTCTCAAGCTGCTTCTGTTTATCCAGCTGCATAAGCTCCTTCAGTCGCTTATTTTGTTCCTTGAGTTGCTGCATCCGTTCCTCAAGCTGCTTTTGTTCTTCCAACTGCTTTTGTTCTTCCAGCTGCTTCTGTTTCTCCAGCTGCTTAAGCTCCTTCAGCTGCTTCTTTTGTTCCTTGAGTTGCTGCTTCTGTTCCTCAAGATGCTTCCGTTCTTCAAGCTGCTTCTGTTCCTTGAGCTGCTTCTTCTTTTCCTTGAGCATCTTCTGTTCCTCCAGCTGATTCTGCTTGTCAAGCTGCTTCTGTTTTTTGAGCTGATTCTTCTCTTCCTTGAGCTGCTTCTGTTCCTCAAGATACTTCCGTTCCTCGAGCTGCTTCTGTTCCTTGAGCTGCTTCTTCTTTTCCTTGATCATCTTCTGTTCCTCCAGCTGATTCTGCTTGTCAAGCTGCTTCTGTGTTTTTAGCTGATTCGTCTCTTCCTTGAGCTGCTTCTGTTTATCAAGCGGCTTCTGTTCCTCAAACTGCCGCTGTTCCTCCAGCTGCTTCTGTTCCTCCAGCTGCTTCTGTTCCTCCAGCTGCTTCTGTTCATCCAGCTGCCTCTGTTCCTCAAACTGCCGCTGTTCCTCCAGCTGCTTCTGTTCCTCCAGCTGCTTCTGTTCATCCAGCTGCCTCTGTTCCTCAAACTGCTTCTGTTCCTCCAGCTGCTTCTGTTCCTCCAGCTGCCTCTGTTCCTCCAGCTGCCTCTGTTCCTCAAACTGCCGCTGTTCCTCTAGCTGCTCCTGTTTCTCAAGCTGCTTCTGCTTCTCAAGCTCCTTGTGTTCCTCAAGCCGCTTCTGTTCTTTGAGCTGATTCTTCTCTTCCTTGAGCTGCATCTGTTTCTCAAGTTGCTTCTGTTCTTCCAGCTGGTTCTGTTCCTCAAGCTGTTTCTGTTCCTCAAGCTGGTTCTGTTCCTTCAGCTGATCCCGTTTCTCAACCTGTTTCTGTTCTTTGAGCCGATTCTTCTCTTCCATCGGCTGCTTCTGTTCTTTGAGCTGCTTCTGTTCCTCCAGCTGCTTCTGTTCCTCCAGCTGCTTTTGTTCCTCAAGCTGCTCCTGTTCCTTGAACACGTGCATAAACACATGCACACATGCACATATGAGCACACATACAAAGATCCCCCGTGTTGCCTTAACAGACTGTTGGGGCAAGTGCTGTTAGCGAGTAGCAGCACCTCTGAAGGCCGGCACTGGCACACGAGGGGGTGGGTGGCCAGCACCCCGCCCAGCCGCCTTTGTCTCCCAAATGGTGATCTTTACACATCGCACCAGGTACTCATTTGAGGCTGAGTCGACCTGGGGGAGGCCCAGGACCGGTTCAGATAATCATCACTGGTGTTGACCGTGAGCGGGAATCGAACTCGGGTAGCCAGGTTCGTTGCGCAGCGCGCTGATCGCTACACTGCTTGTGTGCACAGGCACATGCACACAAGCGCACATACACACACGAGGACACACGTACACACAACAAGACACATACCCGCTCATGAATAATTCTGGCACATTCCGCCACATCTTGCAGACTGATTGTTGCAATGGGGACGAATGCCGTTAGGAACGAGAAAAAAACCCACTACTAATACTAACCCCACAGCTGTCGTGACTGGCACAGAATATTTAAATTTTAAACCTGCAAAAAGTAATCAGTAATAATAATGTACAGGAATCTCCCGGTCAACCGCGAGTGGCCGAGCCACATGGGAGCGAACGACAACCACATCAATTCCATACACCCAGCCATCAAATTCACCATGGAGGTAGAAAAGGATGGCATGCTACCTTTTTTGGATGTCCTAATCAAAAAGACCAGATGGCGCATTGAGCCACTCTGTCTACAGGAAAGTAACCCATACTGACGCCTACCTAAAACCTGATTCCCACCACCATCCATCCCATAAAAATTCCCTCATCAAAACGCTACACCATAGAGTTCAATGTATCTCCGACTATGAACACCTAACCAGTGAATTCGAACACGTACACCAGGCTCTCAAGGCGAATGGATATTCTGACTACACAATCCGCAAAGCCATCATCCCAACCGTGAGGAAGAAGCCATCTGAGGATCCAATCAAAACCATCACCCTTCCATACATAGCATGGGTAGCCAAAAATATTCCAAAATCATGAACAAACACAAGATCCAGGTCCGATTTAACACAGTACATAAAATTCGTGATCTGATCCCATCTGTGAAGGGCACGATTCCTGACATGCAATATCCCGGCGTCTACAAACTAAGCTGTATCTGCGGCAGCAGTTACATTAGGGAAACTAAGCGACATCTCTCGGACCGTGTTCGTGAGCACAATGCAGATTTGAAAGCCGGTAAGACCAATACTTCTGCCGTGGCTGATCATTATTTTAATGCGGCTGGCTCACACGAAATTGATTTCTCTAAGACGATGGTACTTTGCAAGCCGACTGGCGATCAACAAAGATTCGTTCATGAAGCCATCCATATATACAGACACAGACACAATTTCAACCGAGAGGAAGGTCATAGACTCAGCAATCATTGCAAAGATGTCATCAACCACTTTGGGTCATGACTTGACTTGTGCTTTCTTGTCAATCAACCTCCACCGTCAGCAGTGTGGTGTGTGGAGCGGGGTGCAGGAATTTCTTGGCGGCCCTTTGCTGCATTGGCATTGCTGCTGCATTGGCATTGCTGCTGCATTGGCGTTGCTGCTGCATTGGCATTGCTGCTGCATTGACATTGCTGCTGCATTGACATTGCTGCTGCATTGACATTGCTGCTGCATTGGCGTTGCTGCTGCATTGGCGTTGCTGCTGCATTGGCATTGCTGCTGCATTGACTTTGCTGCTGCATTGGCATTGCTGCTGCATTGGCATTGTTGCTGCATTGACATTGCTGCTGTATTGGCGTTGCTGCTGCATTGGCATTGCTGCTGCATTGGCATTGCTGCTGCATTGGCATTGCTGCTGTATTGGCGTTGCTGCTGCATTGGCATTGCTGCTGCATTGGCATTGCTGCTGCATTGGCATTGCTGCTGCATTGGCATTGCTGCTGTATTGGCATTGCTGCTGCATTGGCATTGCTGCTGCATTGGCATTGCTGCTGCATTGGCATTGCTGCTGCATTGGCATTGCTGCTGCATTGGCATTGCTGCTGTATTGGCATTGCTGCTGCATTGGCATTGCTGCTGCATTGGCATTGCTGCTGTATTGGCGTTGCTGCTGCATTGGCATTGCTGCTGCATTGGCATTGCTGCTGCATTGGCATTGCTGCTGCATTGGCATTGCTGCTGCATTGGCATTGCTGCTGCATTGGCATTGCTGCTGCGCCCATGCTGCTGATACACTTGGGCTACGCACATCTCCAAACCTTTATGAACAGTTTGCCTTTAGAGGCGAACCCATTTTCCTGATGACGACCGCTTGTGTTGCGATCGAAACGTCGTGATATTTTTTATTCACTTTACTTTTATTTTATAATTTTTTCTATCTACGTGACTTTACCGAAATAACCAAAGAATAAAACAGGTCAACAAAAAAAAATTCTGGCCTTGACTATTGCAGCTGTTATGGACTAATTTCAGGGTGCTGATTCCAAATCTGATCTCAGATTTGCTCTATCACATCTCATTTTATGCTATCGGCATACCCCATTTTCATTGATTTTACCCGAAATTAACTCTGTCACTTATGACTGCAAGTTGTTGCGAGTCAGTGACTGCTTTAGTGTTAAAATATGGTGCTGTATTTTTAGGATAGTGTGTTTATAATATCATTTTATGTAGATATCCACATTTATTTAATATTTTTCTTCTGCAGTTTTTATTGAAAATGCTATATTTGATTTCTCAAAAACCTGATGTGATAGACAAAAACTGATACCTTAAAACCGTTGGAATACCTTATGCCAGAAAAAGTGTGTTGACCAGTGTATAAGAGCTGCATACCTCAATACATTCGGGCGCGATCGGTCAAATCAACAATGGGCGAGGTACGAGGACACGCACTCGTGTGGATGTGAAAGGAAACCTGATCATGCGGCAGCAGCTGCTCATGATGCAGCTGATGCAGCTGGTGCAGCTGATGCAGCTGGTGCAGCTGATGCAGCTGGTGCATGACATGCTGCTCCATGAAACACTGCTCTCTCAGCTGGTCCTGCTGCTGCTGCCTCTCTCTAGCACTCGGGAGCGGGCGGGGGGGCAAGACATATTTATTGAAATGGAGGTAAAATCAGTAAAGACGTCGTCAAGGTCAATGTCATTGATGCCACCGCATCACCTTGTCATGTCATTTCTTCCTTCATCTTCATCCTTCCTTAACTTCCAATTACTGCCAACGTCTGACTTTTAAGTTTTCCTCTTGTTCCTCATTAGATCCTTTATTTTTACAGCGCCGTTTTGAGTCGCGTTCCCACTATCTGGCCGGAGGTCTATATATTTTTTTGAACGCGGGAGAATAGTAATAACAAAGCAGTGAGATGAATGTGAAGGGAAAACCTGCAGCACGCGTGGCAGCAAATGCTGCCCATGAAGCTGCTGCCGCTGCTGCTGTTGCTGCTGCTCCCGAAGCTCACATCGTTCACAGATCTGCAGCGACTGCAGCTGCTGCAGATGCTGGTGTCGTCCATTCCTTACAGCCACGTGGGCCTGGAGGGACACACGTGGGGGGGGGGTCAATCAAGAGGTCGTCATTGGCAATGTCCCATCACTACCAACATTGAAGTCCCATCACTACCAACATTCTGATTTGAAGTTGTCCGCTCGTTGCAAATGATGCGCGTCTCTTACAGCCACATTTACGTGATCTTGATTTGAGGTCTCCAATGTTTAGATAGCCCTCATGCAACGTCAATTACATTTACAAGACTTTCTTGCCTTCGCCTGGCGAAATGAGAGACACCAGTGCAAATCCTACGCCTGAATCGCACCCCCAAAATCGGGAAGCGTGGAATTGTTTTCCTCCAGATCCTCCCTCCACATTTATAATCAACACGCGTTTAGAGTAGTTGGCTGCTATGTATTTCCACACCGATACTACAGCTTCAAGTTGAGCTATCATTTGTGGCCAGGTCGTTCCTGAAGGCAAAAAAAGGTAAAATATATAAAGCTCAGTGAGCGTTACTTGGTAAAATAAAAACATTTATATATATTATATGGTTCTTCAGGAACTGTTCCTGATGACGGCCGCTTGTGTTGCGATCGAAACGTCGTGATTTATTTTATTTTATTTCTACCTACGTGACTTTACCGACAGAACCAAAGAGTATGGATTCCTGCAGTCACGAAAGCTTCAAATCAATATTAAATCCCAATAATCCGATCGAAATCTCTAATTTCGATCGGATCATTGGGGGGGCACGTGCATCCCACCCCACTGGCTCCACCAGTGCCCCCCTCCCACTCCCCATAGTACCTATAACACACCTATTGCGATGTCAGCCTTTCAAATGATAACCTTAATGTCTTCACAGACGTGAAACAGCAGCGCCGACTGCTGGACACAACTGGCAACCGTCGCTCGGCGGCCGTTGCAACCGTCGACAGTTGGGGTCCGCGTCAAACAACAACAGACGAGCAGGGCGACAGCCGCAAGCCAAACGCATCCGCGTGAATTACACCACGCACTAATTCTAGATTTGAAGCTTTCGTGACTGCAATGATTAATATTCTTAGGCTTTTTCGGTAAAGTCACGTAGGTAAAAACATTAAAAAGTAAAATAAAATATTTTATATTATTTTATTTTACTTTTTAATGTTTAAAAAAGTAAAATAAAATAAATATTTTATATTATTTTATTTTATTTTTTTATGTTTTTACCTACGTGACTTTACCGAAAAAGCCTAAGAATATTAAAAAGTAAAATAAAATAAAATATTTTATATTATTTTATTTTACTTTTTAATGTTTTTACCTACGTGACTTTACCGAAAAAGCCTAAGAACACCACGCACTGTTGACCGTGGTCCCTTGCTGCACCAGGCTGTGTATAAGACCCCTCCACGCACACCCCCAACCGTCACCGTGACTCTCACAACCGTCACCGTGACTCTCCCAACCGGCCCCGTGACTCTCCCAACCGTCACCGTGACTCTCTCAACCGTCACCGTGACTCTCCCAACCGTCACCGTGACTCTCCCAACCGGCCCCGTGACTCTCCCAACCGTCACCGTGACTCTCTCAACCGTCACCGTGACTCTCCCAACCGCCCCCGTGACTCTCCCAACCGTCACCGTGACTCTCCCAACCGGCCCCGTGACTCTCCCAACCGTCACCGTGACTCTCCCAACCGTCACCGTGACTCTCTCAACCGTCACCGTGACTCCCCCCAACCGGCCCCGTGACTCTCCCAACCGTCACTGTGACTCTCCCAACCGACCCCGTGACTCTCCAAACCGTCACCGTGACTCTCCCAACCGTCACCGTGACTCCCCCAACCGTCACCGTGACTCCCCCAACCGGCCCCGTGACTCTCCCAACCGTCACCGTGACTCTCCCAACCGTCACCGTGACTCCTCCAACCGTCACCGTGACTCTCCCAACCGTCACCGTGACTCCCCCAACCGACCCCGTGACTCTCCCAACCGTCACCGTGACTCTCCCAACCGTCACCTTGACTCCTCCAACCGACCCCGTGACTCTCCCAACCGTCACCGTGACTCCCCCAACCGACCCCGTGACTCTCTCAACCGTCACCGTGACTCTCCCAACCGTCACCTTGACTCCTCCAACCGTCACCGTGACTCTCCCAACCGTCACCGTGACTCCCCCAACCGTCACCGTGACTCTCCCAACCGTCACCGTGACTCTCCAACCGGCCCCGGACTCTCTCAACCGTCACCGTGACTCTCTCAACCGTCACCGTGACTCTCTCAACCGTCACCGTGACTCCCAACCGTCACCGTGACTCTCCCCAACCGTCACCGTGACTCCCAACCGGCCCCGTGACTCTCCCAACCGTCACCGTGACTCTCTCAACCGTCACCGTGACTCCCCCAACTGTCACCGTGACTCTCCCAACCGTCACTCCCCCAACCGTCACAGTGACTCTCCCAACCGTCACTCCCCCAACCGTCACCGTGACTCCCCCAACCGTCACTCCCCCAACCGTCACTCCCCCAACCGTCACCGGACTCTCCCAACCGTCACTCCCCCAACCGTCACTCCCCCAACCGTCACCGTGACTCTCCCAACCGTCACTCCCCCAACCGTCACTCCCCCCAACCGTCACCGTGACTCCCCCAAACCGTCACTCCCCCAACCGTCACCATGACTCTCCCAACCGTCACCGTGACTCCCCCAACCGTCACTTCCCCCAACCGTCACCGTGACTCTCCCAACCGTCACCGTGACTCTCCCAACCGTCACCGTGACTCTCCCAACCGTCACTTCCCCCAACCGTCACCGTGACTCCCCCAACCGTCACTCCCCCAACCGTCACCATGACCTCTCCCAACCGCCACCGTGACTCCCCCAACCGTCACTCCCCCAACCGTCACCGTGACTCTCCCAACCGTCACCGTGACTCTCCCAACCGTCACCGTGACTCTCCCAACCGTCACTCCCCCAACCGTCACCGTGACTCCCCCAACCGTCACCCCCCCAACCGTCACCATGACTCTCCCAACCGTCACCGTGACTCCCCCAACCGTCACTCCCCCAACCGTCACCGTGACTCTCCCAACCGTCACCGTGACTCTCCCAACCGTCACTCCCCCAACCGTCACCGTGACTCCCCCAACCGTCACTCCCCCAACCGTCACCATGACTCTCCCAACCGTCACCGTGACTCCCCCAACCGTCACTCCCCCAACCGTCACCGTGACTCTCCCAACCGTCACCGTGACTCCCCCAACCGTCACCGTGACTCCTCCCAACCGTCACGGTGACTCTCCCAACTGTCACCGTGACTCCCGCAACCGTCACCGTCACTCTCCCAACCGTCACCGTGACAGTCTTAACTGTCACGCGTTGTCCTGCCCACCAACACGTTAGGGGTGCGCATCAGAGGACAACATTCCGAAACACCGCGGCCACCACCGGTCTCTGCACCTGATGACTGAATGGAGGTTTGTTACTCGTAGGTAGGTAACGCTTCGTTTGCAAATGAACAATAAAACTGCTCTCAAAGTTGAATATTTTTTAAAATTCTTATCAGGCGCCATGGTGTTAAGGATTACCCTGTTTGAGAGCACCTAAAAATAAAGGGGCATTGCCCGAAACGTCGCCTATAATAATACGTTTCCATTCAGGTCCCCCTAAAGGGCCACCCAATACCCCCACAGGCCTCCCAAATACCCCTCAGGCTCCTCATACTCTCACAGACTCCTAATGCGGCTAGAGACCCTTAATATCCCCACACACCCCTATAGACCCCACAGACCACGAAACACATTCCTGCGGAGGGAGCTGGTAGGAACGTTGGGTTCCTCGGTCAATGGCCAGGGTCAACGGCGGCGTGGTGTATTCCGCAAATATGCCCGACTGTGAGGGCGGGCACAAGCCGGCGTGAGTAGGTTAAACGTTGAGTTTTATAAGGGCACCACGGGGTGACCAGCCACTCTCCACCCAGCCCCACCCAGCCCCACCCCTCCCACCCCCCACCCAGCCCCACCCAGCCCCTCCCCACCCCTCCCACCCCCCAACCAGCCCCACCCTCCCCACCCAGCCCCTCCCCACCCAGCCCCTCCCCACCCTCCCAGTCCCTCCCTGCACGACGGACACAATAATCTCCTGTGGGCTGGTGTAACCAGGAGGTTCCTACCAGTAATAACCCGAACACAGTCCTCACATTCCCACAAGCCCCATAGAGCCCCATTCGCAGACACAGACACAGACCTTACACCCCCACAGACCCCTTAGGGGTGGTGATTGCCGTGGTGATGCTGGCAATGATGCTGATCGTGATGCTGGATATCAAGGAAGTGATGGTTGTTATGTTGGTGCTGATAATGCCTCTAAAGATGCTGTTTGTTGTACTTCCCCCGCACCTCCGATTAGCACAGTAGGCTACGTACGGTGCGAAAGAAGTTCAACATACATACGTATAACGCACATAAGGTACATCCCGTATTGAAATACAAAAAAACTACAATGTCTGAACCGGTATTGGGCCTCCCCTGGGTCGAATCAGCCTTTAATTGAGTACTCGGTGCTGTGTGTGAATATCACAACTGGGGAGACAAAGGCGGCCGGGCGTGGTGCTGGCCACACCACCCCCTCGTGTGCCGTGCCGGCCTCCTTCACAGGTGCCACTCGCCCCAACATTCTGCGAAAGGCTGTGGCGGTGGGGACACCAATGTGCCACCGTATGTGTCACCGACCACGCGTCCGCCACGTGTCAATCGATATACTCTTGGGACACCCAACGGGGAAATGTTTTAATAAATAAAGAGTCGTCTCTGTGAGCCCGCCTCGGAGGCGGGAGGTGGCCCCATAAATAAACTACGAGGTGACGTGGGCACAGAGGAGGAGGAGGAACGCCCGGGGCTCTTGCAGGGAGGCTGGGCCCTCTGCCATCGTCAACAACAACATCATCATCGGTTGTGCGGCCATCTCCTCGGTCATCTTCATCCCGTCACCTCGTCCCCATCACCCCGTCCTCGTGACCATCCACCGCTGGACATGGCCAGTATCGAAACGTCGCTGCGCTACGAGAGGGTTGCCGCGAGCAGTGACGAGGAAGCGGAAAGAGTGGAGGTCGTTTTGCTCAGGTGAGAGACTCCCCACCCCCCGGCAGCGGTCAGAGTACGAGGGGCATGGGGAGGGGTTCAGGTGAGAGGGGGCGGGGAACAGGTGAGCGAGGGGGGAGGGAACAATACAGGCAGCGAGGAGCCAGATACGTGGGGGGAGGAGCCAGGTGAGATGGGGCGAGGCGAGAGGGGGAGAGGCCAGGTGAGCGAGTGGGGAGGGTTAGGATAGAGTAAGGAGGGGCCAAGCCTGAGGGGGAGGGGTCACACAAGGGGGGGGGGGGGGGCAAGCCAGAGGGGGGGGGGTCAGGATAGAGTAAGGAGGGGCCAAGTCTGAGGGGGAGGGGTCACACAAGGGGGAGGAGCCAAGTGAGGGGGAGGGGCCAGGTGAGCGAGGGGGGAGGGGTCAGATAGAGTAAGGAGGGGCCAAGTCTGAGGGGGAGGGGTCACACAAGTGGGAGGAGCCAAGCGAGGGGGAGGGGCCAGGTGAGGGGGGGGGGGCAGGTGAGCGAGGCGGAGGGGGTGGCCGTTATCGATTCTTGCTCACGGCCAACACCAGTGACGATTATCTGTATCGGTTCTGGGCGTCCCCTAGGTCGATTCAGCCTCAAATGAGTACCCGGTGCGGTGTGTAAACACGGCCACGTGGGAGACAAAGGCGGCTGGGCGTGGTTGCTGGCCCACCTATCCCCTCATGTGCCGTGCCGGCCTTCATAGGGGCGACTCGCTAACAGCACTTGCCCCAACACTCTGTTACAGGCTACACGGGGGATCTTTGTCTGTGTGGGGCTGGGCACGTGACCCCCTCGGGGGGGGGGGGGGGGCTCTGAGCCACGGGTGGCGATGCAGCGAACAGTCGCCTTGTTTGTGCCGCTGTGCAAAGGGG